AACCGTCTCCGAAGAAACAACATCTTCAGCAAACTTAAAATAAATAAAAAGTGAATTAAATTCACCAAACAACAACAGTAACAACCTTAACGCAAACTTTACAACGCCACCATAAAGTGATTTTCATTTGGTTCTTGTAATTTGGAACTTTTTTACTACTTTTAAAAGTAAAGACTAAAAATTTTAAAATTTTTATACTGCTATGAGCCAGAGCCTGAGCACGGCATGGGCTTGAGTCGGAGCTTGAGCTTGAGATTCAGCTTGAGATTCAGCTTGAGCTTGAGCTTGATATTGAGCTCAAGCCTGAGCCTAAGCTTGAGCCTGCGTTTGAGTCTAAGCCTGAGCATGCGTACTTTTATAAAGCTCAAAAAACTTACCCGCCTTATCTTTCCTAGCCCATTTTAGCCCGAAGCCGGGCCAGATCAAAGCTACAAGCTAGGTCAGGTGGCTCCTCTTGAGCCTAGTTTACATACATTAAAAATCAAACTTTATACGATGACATGTAACAACAAGAACAATCATGTACTACTAGTAACTCACTTTAACACAAATTAAGTTGATTTAACGTTTCACTGAGCAATGCGTAAACAAAGTTTTTGCAAGGTTCAAAACCGAAATGAACTTGCTTTTACTTTGTATTTTACTACTTTTAAAAATTTTGTTACTTTAGAGTAAAACAGAGTACAGTACAGTAAGATAGAGGGTATAAGGTAACACTTTTGAAACTTACAAAAAATCTGTAAAAAACAAAAAAAAAACGAAATAATGATTGTTTTTGACAGTGGCAACCGGTTGTTAAAGTGTCAAAACAGGATATCCGTTTGATTGACGCATTATTTAACAAAAAGCACCAATTTGTCACATAAAGTTGCTTTTGATACTATAGTAAGAATATATTAAGACTGCCCGTTCCTTACACTACCATAACTCGTTATACATTACATGCTTTGCTTACAATATTCTATCTTCAATAGGGTAGTCATACTGTTTCACACTACTACGTTTTTACATATCCTACTCTTCTGTACTCTGCTCTGCCCTAACTTAGACTTCAGTACACGACCATATCTTATAATACAGTACCCAACCCAATTCTACACTACAACACCTAACTCTACCTTAGACTACAGTATTCAATTATGCACTAAAGTACTCAGCCCTACCTTACATTGCAGTACCTAACCATATTTTAAACTACATTACAGACTTATCACTATCTTTGTAATATAGTACTCGTAAGCCTAAAATAAAATTTTTAAAAGTAGGAAAGTCAATAACAGCACAAACTAAAGACAGAAAGGCCAGTAATTAACGAGAATCTCGACCAAATTAATTGTAATGGCCTTCAGGAGACAATGTTGTTGTGTCTAATTAAATTAGTAAATAAATAAACAAATCGACAAGTAGGGAGCACAAGCGATGTGTGTAGAGTAGAGTAAAGTAGGAACAAGTAGTATATGATAAGGTAGGGTAAGACAAGATAGGTTAAGGTAAGATAGGCTAAGGTCAGGTAGGTAAAGTAATATACGACAGAGTAAGATACAGTAAGGTACAGTAGGGTAAAATAAAGCTAGACAGAGCAAAATAAGGTATGATAGAGTTGAGTTGAACAGGTTAAGGCAAGGAAGAGAAGGGTCTAGGCAAGGATATGAAGGGCAGGGTAGTCAGAGCAGAGCAGGAAAGATCAGGAATTTTAAAGCAACGCTTTGCAAAACAAGGTATATAGGATAGAGTAGGGTAGGGTAGGGTAGGGTAGGGTAGGGTAGGGTAAGGTAGGGTAGGGTACTGTCTTTTTCATACTATTGCTGTACATGTACAAGATGCGCCATAAAGATTATTTTAGCAGGTTTCTGAGAACAGATCTGTTTGGCCAAAAAGTAAAAAGATTGCGCCGCCGGGAATAGTTTGTCACTTTTTTCATGACCACACTTGTTTATCCTATTCACATATTGAAAAATGTTTTTTATGGTATTAAAAATATTATTTTTTATATTCATAAACATAATACTCAAAAGGGCAATTTTAACTCTAATTTGCGCTGGGGGTAAGGGGGGGGAAAGTAAAAAACATTCTTTTGTAGTAAAAGGGCAAAAAAAAATTTTCAAAATTTTTTAGTGACGAGGGGGCAAAGGGGGGGGAGGTGGAGAGGAATGGGGGACTAGAAAGGGGGGAGGGGTAAAAAACAAATAATTTTTTAGAAAAGGTAAACCAACAAGGGGGGGGGGAGAAGGGGGATAGAGAGGAATAGGGGACTAGAAAGAAGGGGGGGGGGCTTACGTAAAATGGGCCTTGACTTTCAAGCCCAGCCAAGGCTAAATTTAGCTCAAGACCGGACCGTCTCTTACCCTTAAGGGGGGGGGGAGGAGGGTAGAAAAAAAGGAGGGGGAGGGGGGGGAGAAAAAAATGAAAAAGAAAAATTTTATTATGGCTGGGTAGGGTAACAAAGTAGTATGATCCAAAAAAACTTATGTGAGATCCATCCCCCCCCCCCCCCCCTCCCCCATCTTCTGTCGTATTTCTACCCCGCCCAAAATATAATCGTTTTTAATTTTTAAAACCTATTTTTACTTTATCGTATTTTACCACACCTATTACCCAAAAATATCCCCCAAAATTAATTTCTACCCCAACATAACTCGACGAACCGCCTGTCGCCTTCCAATCATAATCGACCACATTCGAAACGGGCAAAAAACACGAAATAAATAAATGTTGGGAAACGTCGTGTTGATTTAAGTCAAGACAGATGTTATGTCTTTTATGATTATCTCGGAACAAAGGCACGTCTAAACAACATTCTTTGGTTTTGGAACGTTTTTAAATTTTAAGTGTAAAATACGTCATAGTGTAGAGTATGGTAGAGAAAGGCAGGACAGAGCTTGCTAGAATAAATTAATGTAAGGCATAGTAATGTAGCATAGTTTAACGTAATGTTGGGTATAATACAATAAAGCAGACTATGATAAGTTAGGATAAGGTAAAGAAGTAAAGTATGACTTATTTAAGGCTTAATTTTCAAGCTTACAGTTGTAAAGCTTAAAGTTTATTTTTCAGCTAAAAGTTTATTTTGAGCCTAAAATTTAATTTTAAGCCTAAGATTGTATTCTTAAGCTTAAAACTCGTTTTTGAGTCTAAAATTTAATTATCAATTTCAAAATTTATTTTTAATTCTAAAATACCTTTATAAGCCTAATTTTTTATTTTTATTTTTAAGCTTAAAATTCATGTTTAAGCCTAAAATTTAATTTTAAAGCCTAAGATTCATTGTTAAGCTTGATTTTTTATTTATTTTTAAGCCTAAAATTCTTTTTTAAGCCTAAATTTTTATTTTTAAGTCTAAAATTTAAGTTATTAGCTTAAAATTCTTTTTTAAACTAAAAAGTTCCTTTAAAGCCTAAATTTTCATTCGCACACCTAAAATTTATGCTTCAAGCTAAAAATTCTTTTTTAAGCTTAAATTTATTTTTGAGCTTAAAGCTGTATTCTTAAGCCTAAAATTCCTTTTTAAGCCTAAAATTTATTTTCTAGCCTAACATCTGGCTCTTAAAAAACAAAAACTTAAAAAAAAAAAGTCAAATACGGAAGTAATTTATATTCACCATAACCTCATATAACCTATAAAAACAAGCAATACTGCATAGTAAACTCTTACGTAGTTAAAAGTTAAAATATTCCAAAAAAATGAAAAGAAAGTTTGTAAAACAACAGAGCAAGAAATCTTTTTTACTCTGATACTTTCGACGACATATCACAACAATAGGCTCAGTGGGCGTAACATGAACATGTTCTACAAGTTCTCCGACCTTCTCTTTGCTTTTTGCGGAATTTTAACTAGATATGGCACTCGGTGGTTATTTGAAGGAATTTGTTGCAAAACTAAAACTAAAATAGCCATAGCCCAAGCCTAGATCTCTAGCCCTAGCTCAGAGCCCTAGCCCAGAGCCCTAGCCCAAAGCCCTAGCCCAGAGCCCTAGCCCAGAGGCCTAGCCCAGAGCCCTAGCCCAGAGGCCTAGCCCAGAGCCCTAGCCCAGAGGCCTAGCCCAGAGCCCTAGCCCAGAGGCCTAGCCCAGAGCCCTAGCCCAGAGGCCTAGCCCAGAGCCCTAGCCCAGAGACCTAGCCCAGAGCCCTAGCCCAGAGCCCTAGCCCAGAGCCCTAGCCCAGAGCCCTAGCCCAGAGCCCTAGCCCAGAGCCCTAGCCCAGAGCCCTAGCCCAGAGCCCAATGTTACAAAACTAAAATTTAAGTTTTTGAACCCGAACGAGTACAAATATCCTATATTTGCCACATTTGTTATTACAATAAATCTTTGGTGTAACGTGTGTTGGTTTAAGTTATATATCAAATTACACAAATATTGACACATGCATAAAACATTTGATTAAAAAAATAATGTTTCCTAATATATTCTTTATAGTACTAATGAGATTGGTTTGCACACTAATGGTACTCAAAGCCGAGTGCTGGACGGGGGGGGAAGGACTCCCCCCCCCCCCCCCTCTCAGAAAAACATTTTCGAAAAAAGTTTAACGTGGTCCCCCCTGTGGACTTTTTGGACCCCCGCCCCCAGACCAAAAGTCTTCGTCTGGCTCTGATGGTGCTGTTTCCGGTACAAGTGGTACTGTTATGAAACGTCAGGTTTGAAAAACGAATGTTTATTAAACTATTTTTTGGCGCGTCTGATGCCATTTTAGAACTAATGGTACTTTTTTATTACAAGTGATATTGTTTTTAGTACAAGCGGTACTATTATGATATGCAAAGTCTAAACAACTTTTTTTAACGTTTCTGATACTATTTTGGTACTAATAGTGCTGTTTTTGGTACAAGTGGTACTGTTATACTAATAAAGAGTTTTAAGTTTATTGTCATCAAAGTAATGATTCTTAACTTTAGTTTAGGTGCGTTATTCTAAGACTTGAGGTAATTTGATAATGCACTTATAGTTAGTTGTTGCTTTAGATTTCAGCCAAAAGAAGAACTAAGGTTGTGAACCAAAACATGGCTAGTAAACCAAAGTATGAGTAGTAGACTTTCTCTTTTGCTCCAAACTCAACACTGTTACTACACTCCTTCCCGTAGCACCATACAGTTTCAGCATGACCCAATTTCGATAATACTTGATGTGCATGATAATGGCAACACCATGAACTATGCCATACGTTATTAGTACACATGAAGCTATTGGTGATACTATGTAAGCCAAAAATGGTGACAAAAAGGACAGCTGTAACATGACTACAGGAATGTAAAAGAACAGACAATTGTAGATCAACATGTAGATTAAGAAGCGCTGTAGATCCTTCTGCATCTGATACGTCTTCTTGGTCAACACAGCCTTGTTCTTCTCGACTTCAGAAGACGCTAAATAAGCTGAAAGCGCGTTTAAACCAATTGAAATCACCAGCTTCGACAAGGCTAGTATAACATAGAGTTTGGCGCTGTTTTGATTAATTACAGAAACGGTTAGACTCGGCTCAACTTGTTTTAGTTTAAGCAAAACTTCGTCTTTCAGTTCAAGTACGGGATTACTAGTAAACCCAGCTAAATATTCTGCGATGGACCAGAAGTAAACGGATATTATCATAGTGGCTAGAAAATACTTGGAGTTACTCCCACTTTCTAACCAGATTATGAACCGCGGTCGGTGGAGCTAAAAATGAAAAATTTGTTTTAAAGTATAAAACTCATTTTAGCTTGGGTAGGATGATTAAGCATAAAATAGTCTTTTGAGACTAATTTTCATTTTTGAGATTTAAAATAATTTTTAAGCCTAAAATTCTATTTTTAAACTTAAAATGACATTTTTAGTCTAAACATTTTATTTACAAACCTAAAGTTAATTTTTAAGCCTAAAATTAATATTTAAGCCTAAAATTAATATTTAAGCCTAAAATTAGTTTTTAAGTCTAAAATTCTATTTTTAAACTGAAAATGCCATTTTTAGTCTAAACATTTTATTTACAAACCTAAAGTTAATTTTTAAGCCTAAAATTAATATTTAAGCCTAAAATTAATATTTAAGCCTAAAATAAATATTTAAGCCTAAAATTAGTTTTTAAGTCTAAAATTCTATTTTTAAACTGAAAATGCCATTTTTAGTCTAAACATTTTATTTACAAACCTAAAGTTAATTTTTAAACCTAAAGTTCTATTTTAAGCCTTAAATCCTTTTTTAAGCCTAAATCAATTCTTAAAATAAAAATTTTATTAATCCTAAAATTGTTTTTTATTGAGTTCACTATGTTGTACTTACCTTCAAAGCCATAGCCTGGACACTAAGCCCAACAATACTTAAACTACTGTCAATGAACACACTTGATGCCGAAAATAAAAATTCGGTAAAATATCCAAAATCACTCGAGATATGTCGGCCAATGGGGCCTTGCATGTAACCACCATTATAATACGGTATATCTTTTGGCTGTATTAGTGCAATTTCTACTGTTGTTTCAATTCTAGACGCGATTAGACATACCAACAGGTGCTTGAAGAATTTGAAGTGTTTAGGCGATTGAGTTACTACCACATAGAGGCTCAATAGGGCTGTTGGTAAGCCGAATACGGCTAGTACAAGTTGGGCGTAGTATTGAATACAGTTGATTTTGTATACGAGTTCAAACGTAATTTGTGGCATAACTAAAATGACTAATAAAAATTTAAATAAGTCATGTATAGTAGTGCAAACTCAAATCACAAAATTAATTTTAACAGTACTCTAAGACGTGTAATGTTAGAGAACGTACTAAAGCATACACAAGCTTGAAATAGACGTAGTACTTCATGTACGCTTTATTAAAAATCTATCGAAAGAGTGACTGCCTTTAAATACCTCGGTTTAGAAATCAGCTACCGAAGGAACTTAGTACCCGAAGTGGGAACACGAGCAAGAAAGGCATGGGCGACGTTCCAAAGATGGCGAGAAGTAACTACTAGTCCAATGACCAACCTACGACTCAAGCGAAATTTCTATATGGACTGCCTGTTACCGACAATAACATATGAAGCCGAGTGTTAAGCCTCGCAAGAAAAGCCCATCGAAGTTGATTAGAACGAGCAGGAAGATAGAGAGAATGATGTTGAAGATAATATACAGGGTGCGTAAAAAGTGGTGTTACCAAACTTTACCGGCCATTTTCTCTATGTTGCGGTTAAATTATTTAAAATTTTTTATTTTGTCTTATTCTCCGTGGTTTTTTAATTCTATAACCATAAAAGTTAAGTCTTCATTGTCTACCGTCTGTCTGTATTTAGATGTCTTGTGCCAAGCCGCAAAGGGGGGACACTTTGAAACCAATTGACTATGTTATAACTAGTACTACATGTTACTATTGTTAGTTGTTGTTTTAGTTATATTTGTTGTTAAAGTAAATATTTGATTAAAAAACCTGTTAACACCGCTTTTCACGCACCCTGTAGATAAACAAAAAAAAGAAAGAAAGGGATTCAAGAGCCCCAGTCTAGTTGCTACACAGAAGAAGTGAGACAGTGCATGGATGATGTTGTAGGCACACGATGAACAATGAATGAAGGAAAGTCCATCATAAAGTGAACTCCGCAGACAACAGACCAGTTGGAAGGCTGGTCTGGAGGCTCACCATCTAAACACATGGCACTCCTTTACGAGAATCTACATCAAAAGCAGTGATACAATAAATTTAAATTTTACATATTGTATTTTACCTCGACGGAATAAAATAAATAAAATTGTAATAAACCACAGAATACGACGATCAATGTAATATATATTAACAGCTTTATAGTACAATTCCAAAAAAACAGTACTTTTATAGTATTATATAGTAGTATGTTAATAGTACTAAAAAGACCGAAAGTGTACGCCCGACTTTGTACGCCACTATGAAGGCAGAAATTTTTCACCCCCCCCTCTAACTTGGCTGTGAGTGAACCAATTGGGACCAAACTTGGTATAAATACTCATAGTACTGGGGACTGTTTTGATATAGCGAATTGTCAATTGGCTTGTGGCATTTCGTTTTATAAAAAAAAATTTTTTTGCGGTGAAAAAAGTGGGAAGTTATTGTTGACCCCCTTGTGAAATAGAGCGTTGTTGCTGTGATTTTGTCGAATCTTTGCAAGAAAAAGGTAAGGCATGGCTATTCCATCATTTAAGGTAGTTTTTAGGATGTTGACTCAAAAAGAAAGAGATGAGATTGCGGACTGTTACAAAATGACTATGAGTATCAAGGAAGTTGAGAGAAGGACCGGTCACAGTAGAAATACTGTTAGAAGAGTTATCAGAAACGTGCCTACAAAGCAGGTTGGACGTCCAGAAAAGATTGACGCTGCTACTTTTCGCAGAATCCGACGGTTTGTAGAGAAGGAAGTTCGTGCTGGACATAAGGTAACGGCAAAAATAATCAAGGAGAACTTAAATCTGGGGGTAACTCGCCGGACAATTAACATTGCGTTGAAGAAAAATGGCATTACTTACGAAATAGTTAAAAGAAGACTTCCGTTGAGCCCTTCTCATTTGGTTTGTCGCATGAACTTTGCGAAAAAGCACCTTGACCTGAAGACCGATTTCAGTAAGTGGATTTTTACGGACGAAAAGAAGTTTTCTTTTGATGGTCCTGACAATATGGCCAGCTACGGTACTCCCAATGCACGCTTAAAGCGGATCAAGCGCCAGATGGGCGGAGGAAGTGTAATGGTACTAGGTGCTATTTGCAGTAATGGCAATATCAAGATTAAGGTGAGTAAAACCCAACACAAAATGTGATCATGAGGGCTGTTTTAGGTTGTAAACGGAAAATACAAGTCAAAAGACTACATGAAAGACCTGAAGACCACCTTCATCCCCTGGGTAATTGAACAGAAGGGCCGTAAAGGCTGGTGTTGGCAACAAGACAACTGTACCATTCACACATCCAAAGAAACCATGGACTTCTTGACGAAGAAAAAGGTCACAGTAGTTGATTGGCCATCCCGATCGCCTGATTTGAGTATTATAGAAAACGTCTGGAAGCTTCTAGAGGATCGGGTTTATCAACACGGCCAGTTTTACGACAAGGGCACGTTGGAGCAGAAGATTTTAGAATGCAGCGAAAACTTTCCAAAAGATGTGATTCTAAATCTTTATTCATCGATTCCTCGACGATTGGAAAAAGTTCTAGCCGCAGGCGGTGACGAAATCTAGGAATCTAGGTTGACCCTTTTTTTTTAATGTTTGTTATTTTTTGTTAACGGTAACCCAGCAGGTCCTGGTTCCGTTTGTGTTGTTATTAGGTAGTCAATAAACTATATACCAAGTTTGGTCCCAATCGGTTCACTCACAGCCAAGTTAGAGGGGGGGGGGGTGAAAAATTTCTGCCTTCAGTATATCAAATATATCAAACGATTATTAATACAACATACTAGAACAAACCCAACCTTTTACGTAAGTAGCCAAAAAGTAACCCATACCCCCTTAGTTAACGCCAAATCAACTTGTTTTGAACTAAAAACCTTTCATTTTTTAGTTTTTCAAAGTGAATTCGAAGAAAAAACGGTAATTTTAATTTATTTATTGTAATTAATTCTAAAAAGTTGATTGTTACAAGTAAACATAAAAAATAAGGAAAGTGCCATACATAATAGACACAAATTTTTTCATAATAAGAGGTTTCTTGGAACTGCCGAATAGCTCGACCATTTTAAATTTGATTGTTTTGAATGAGATTTGTGTTATACAAGAGCATTTTAGACAAGGGTGTCGCAGTCAGGAGCGTCGCTACAGATCACAGTCCAAAAAGCGTTTTGGACCACAGACAGGGCCGGGCGCTGGGTAGACATGAGCAACGGGCCGGGCTTGAAAATTGGGCCCGGGCCCAAAAAAAATTTAAAAAATTTTATAAAATTTTTTATTTCAGTCCCCGTTTATGTTTATCGATTTTATTGGGTTCTATGATCCATAAATGGTCTAAAAAAACAATTTAAAGCCAATTTTCCGTTTAGTTTTTAAGTTTTAAAATTTTTTAAATTTTTAAAAAAACGGGCCGGGCCTAAAAGTTAGGCCCGGCCCGTTGCTCATGTCTAGCGCTGGGGGAAGGGGGGTGGAAGTGGGGAATTCCCTCAGAAAAAATTTTTTGAAAAAGTTGAAGTTGAACGTGGTCCCCTGTAGATTTTTAGAAAAAATTTTTCGCAAAAAATAGGCATAGGCAGCAGATTTTTTCGACCCCGTCCCCAGACCAAAAGTCCCCACCTGGCACTGATCACAGGTACCACCTACCTATGGACCTATTTTTCAAATTTTTTTTCACGTACAGATACCTTATCTGTGGAAACCTGCTTACCTGATGTCTCCCCCCCCTTCTCCTGTCTCTGCTTTGGACCATTCTCACAGTTCCCGCTTCCGCCAAAATTTTATTTTTTTTAAATTTCGCACTGGATTACAGGAATTCCCCCTCCATTCCCAATGCGGGGACGAAAAAAAACCCTCTCCCTCCAACCTTTCCTCCACCTAGACATAAGCTACGGGCCGGGCCCATTTTACGAGCTTGGCCTGTTTTTGATTTTGGTCAGGCTGGGCTCGATCAGAAAATTTCTAGGCCTGGCCCGGCTCGTTGCTCATGCCTACCCCCAGGGGTGGGCGTGGACTTTTGGTCTGAGGGCGGGGGTTGAAAAAATCGGCACAGATAAAGCTACCTATGCCAATTTTTTGCGAAAAATTTTTTGTGGGAGGCCCTCAGCGCCCTGCCTACCCCCACCCCGCCGAGAACACTAGTAAGTATGTATAATCTTTACTCAACCTGACAATCATGCTCGGTGTTCCAAGAGTAATAGCCATATTTTACACTGTACTAAACACATCAATAATCATTTGCTTTCAGCCAGCATTAATTATTGTTTGCGTTCTGTCGGTGCAAGTGTTCATGGTTGCAGTAGAAAAGGAAAACAAAGCCAACAACTACTCTTTTATATTATATATTGTACTTTATTCCAGACATTCAGTTAACCACACTACTCGTATATCTTTCAATTTTGACATTATGACGTTTAAAGACCTTTAACAAGATCCAATTCTTGTAAAACTTGATATGCATCAGTACGGCCACACCATGCACAATGCCATAAGCGATGAGTACTGATGAGGCAAAAGGTGTTACAATGTAGGCTAGAAAAGGTGATAAATCACTCAACTGTATAATAAAGATTGGCACATAGAAGAAGAAGCAGTTGTAGACAAAGATGTAGATTAAGAAGCGATGGACATCCTTCTGCATCTGATACGTCTTTTTCATGACAATACTTTTGTTACGCTTAACTTCCATCGACGATTTGTAAGCAGCGTAAGCTGTTAGGCAAATTGAAACAGCTAGTACTGATAAGCAACTACCACGGTACAATATTGCACCATGCTCGGTGACTTCAGAAGCGTAGAAACTGACGTGAGTGGATTGAAGTCGAGTTAGAATCGGATCGTCAAAGCTACGGACTTGGACGTTGTTGAGCACGGTATAGACTTCCAATGCTGCCAGGATGTGGACAAAGATGACTATTGAGGCCAGAAGGTAGAGAGAGTTCTTTCCTTCATCTACCCAATGAATGAAGGCTGGTTTGTGAACCTAAAATTGAGTTTTTTGGAAGATTAATGCTATTAATATTACAGTGAGCAAGGAGGAAATATAGCAAACTTAAGATTAAAACTAGGCTAGGGTAAAGCTTAGGTATAGCTAAAGTAAGGTCACGGCAAAAATTAAAATCAAAAACAATTGTTAGATTTAAAAGCATGGCTAAGATTAAGACTGAGGTTAAGGCTCAAGCAGAAGCACAGGCTCAGGCTCATGCTCAACTTCAGGCTTATTCTCAGGCTTAAGCTTAGGCTTAGGCTTAGGCTTGAGCTCGGGCACGAGCTCAAGCCCAGGCCCAGGCCCAGGCCCAGGCCCAGGCCCAGGCCCAGGCCCAGGCCCAGGCCCAGGCCCAGGCCCAGGCCCAGGCTCGAGCTCAGGCTCATGCTTAGGCTCAGGTTCAGACTCAGACTCAGGCACAAGCTCTGTCTCAAAATCAAGCCTAATCTTCAGCTTAGTCTCACAGTTTGTGAGGTTAGAGTTGAAGTTGTCAAAAATATAAACCAACCTTTAATGCTAACGTCTGAACAGTAAAGCCAATCACGCCCAATATACCGTCGATCATTACACTCGAAACACAAAACATTAGGCCTAAAAAGTAGCCAACTTCATCGCTTATTAGTCCACCAATCGGACCCTGCATGTAGCCACCAAAGTAATGTGGTATCGTTTTTGGCTGGATCAGTGCCAATGAGAACGTAGTCAAGAACCTTGATATAACCAGGCAGGACAGTAAGTGTTTGAAGAATTTGAACTGTTTAGGTGATTGTGTTAGTATCAAGTACATACTAAGCATGGCTATTGGGCAACCAATTAATGCTAGGGATATCTCCACGTAAAATTGGAGATGACTAATAAACCGGACTTGCTCCCACGTTATGTAGATCATTTCTGAAGAATTGTTTAATTTTAGTATTTGCGAGCGACAGGTTATACGATATATAAAATAATTTTTTGGAACACCCTGTATATTTTTTTACATATGCAAAAAAGTTTTTGCCAGAGTTTTGCTTTTTGGACGGTCAAGATTTTTGAATTTATTTTTCTCGCCAAACTCGTACCTCGAAAACTATGACAGATATCGGAAGACCAATAGCATCTAGACGGGTCAGCACCATAACAAATAAAAAGAGGGGTAGGTAGGAAAAGTTTTACACCTATCCAATCGGTAAAAAAAAGCGCGGGGAAACAAAATTCAAATTCCGAGTTTTCGCATTGGGTCGAAGGGGATTCCGTAATACAGTGCGAAAGGGTACCCCCCCCAGAAAAAAATTTTTGAAAAAAGTTGAACGTGGTCCCCCCCCTGTGGATTTTCGGAAAAAAAATTTTTGCAAAAAATCGGCACAGGTAGCTCCTTCGATCGGCCCTGACTGCGGGTATGGTTGGAAGCGAGGACGGGGAGGGAAAGGTCAGGTAAGCAGGTTTTCAACGGATAAGGTACATGTAAGGGAAAAAAAATTGAAAAATAGGTAGGTGGTAACTGTGGTATTTCCTCCCCGTCCCCCCCCTCTCCGTCTTTTCCGCGGGGATTCTTCCCCCCCCTTTGAGAACACTATTTGCAACTTTTGTCTTGTACAGAAACCTCTTGGTAGTCTTCTCAGAGGGGGAGGAAGAGGGGTGGGAAGGGGGGGGGGGGAATTCGCGTGGACTGTACCGCGGGGACACTAAGTCTCGTCCATCTGATTTAAAAAGTTAGAACAAGAAATAAATAAAATTTCAAAAACCAGTTAAACCGTCAAAACAAACGTTTTAAAAAGCATGAAAAAGCAATAAAAATAAGTGAATGCCAACCACTGCGATACAAAATACTTAATTAAAAACCTTATTCAAAGAGCCTTACCTAAAGGTCTGGCAAATATAATCAGACGTTAAAGTAATGCAATTTACGTCAAAAACAAATTAAAAATGTTCTTTAACACAAGTAAACATAAGAAACGGGCAGCGCCGGGCTTAATATTTAGGCCAGACCCGTCTTCTATATTGTTTAGGCTCGGCCTGTTCTTCATGCCAAGACAGTTTTGGTGTGGTACCGGCGTTTGATAATGTCATTTTACGTAATGATACTGAGTCTAACCTTTCTATGTTTCACTGTAACGTGTTTAATCCTACTGTACCTAAGCCTTCTAAAGCGTAAGCCTACTAAGCCTGAGCCTTCGAAGACAAGACCTACTAACCTATGCCTGCTAATCCTAGGCATAGTGAACTTAATAAGATTATTAAGCTAAGACTACTAAGCCTAAGAATACTAAACTTAATAAATCTGCTAAGCGTAAGCCTACTCGGCCTGTGGAAAAAAGATCTTATAAAGCAAAAACAAGTTATTACTCATTTCGAAGCAGAACTACAAATTACAGAGCACACATCGGTATATTTAAAGGGTTACGTATTAATTGAATTTTTAGTCACATTTTCAATGTTCGTAGTCCATATGACAGTCACGTAAAAAGTTAGATTTGTAATGTTAAAATAAACATATTATGAGTACATAAACAAAAGTTCATGAACCTACCCTACCCTACCCTACCCTACCCTACCCTACCCTAACCTACCCTACCCTACCCTACCCTACGCTACCCTACCTACCCTACCCTACCCTACCCTACCCTACCCTACCCTATCCTACCCTACCCTACCCTACCCTACCCTACCCTACCCTACCCTACCCTACCCTACCCTACCCTACCCTACCCTACCCTACCCTACCCTACCCTACCCTACCCTACCCTACCCTACCCTACCCTACTCTACCCTACCCTACCTTACCCTACTCTACTCTAACTATACCACTCCTTTCACACCTTAACAAGCATAAGATCCTTCTCTTTTGTTGCGCATAGGCTGTTACTGTTCGCAAGCACACACTGTTCAACAACACTGTTTATCTGAGGCTTTGGCAAAAAAATAAAATTTATCAATCACACGAGTATATCAACTACAATAAACAAATTTACAATATGCAAAAAGTAAGAGAATAAAGTTTATGAAACAAGGCTCTTTATTGTCCAAATGTGAACATTAACGGTGAAAGGAGATCGTGGCCAGAAGTCGTCGTTTCCCCGAAGACAAGTGAGTGTGAGAGAGCGTTGGGAAAGCGGAGAGAGGTGAAGAGAACAATATAGGGCTTATCACGTCGTTGAACAAACTATCATAACATCCTCGATGAAAATTGGCGTTGGATCGGGTGGGTTTATCTTCTGAAAGTTGAAAAAATTTTAATATTAGTTTAAAAATGGCAAAGAAATCAAGAATTTTTTTTTGGACGAAATGTCACAAATTTTATTGATTTTTTAAAAAGCTTTAAATATGAACAAAACTAGTAATAACAATATAGTTTTTAATACATTTTAATAAAAAATCACATTTTCAAAAAAAAATTTTTGGACGGAATGTCAAAAATTTTATTGATTTTTTAAAAACGCTTAAAATTAACAAAACTAGTAATAACAAGATAATTTTTAATACCTTTTGATAAAAAACCGAATTTAATAAAAAAAATTTTTGGACGAAATGTCAGCTTTTTCATTGATTTTTTAAAAACGTTTAAAAATAAACAATAATAGTGATACTAATAAAATATTTAGTTATTTGTTGTTAAAACATTAAAAATCCAAAAAAATGTTTTTTTGACGAAGTGTCAACAAATTCATTGATTTTTAAAAAATGCTTAAAATATAACAAAAATAGTGGCAATAATGAAGTTTTTGATATTTTTCGTTAAAACATAAAAAATTTTTAAAAAAATTTGAACGAAATGTCTACAGTTTTATTGATTTTTTTATAATTTGCATTTTGTATATAATTATATATTTTTTGTTCACAGTCCATTGAAAATTTTGACAGTTATTCAAACCAAAGCTGACATTTCGTTCACTTGTTAATAAAAAATATCAAAATTTTGTTTTTTTTATAAAATACGATCCGCAAACTGTTTTTCAAAATTATAAATCAATTTTAAATCCTTACCGCTTTCCAAAATGCATGAACTGCCGGTCGAAGGCGGACGGCGCTAGCCGCTTGCCAAAGTGCATGAAGTCGCGGTTAATGTTCTTTTTGGCAATCAACTGTTCCAGGGTCATTGAACGTTTGCCAAAGGGCATGAAGGCACGGTTAAAAGACTGAAGATTTACATTTTTATCAAAAGTTTCAATTAGAAATGGCATTTTTTCAAAATTTAAAAAAAAATTTAATTTTTTAAAAAATTTTTTTTTTCAAAATATTTTAAAAAAAAGGTCATAATAACATAAAAAATGTATCAAAAATCATACCGGATCTTCATAAGCATCAGCACGTTTGCCGAAGGGCATAAACGCGCGGCCAAAGTCTTCGTTGGCTGCTCGTTTGCCGAAGTGCATGAATTCTCTGTCAAAGTTTCGCTTGTCGTCGACTGTGTCTGAAACATGGTTTTTATTATTATCAATGTCATATACAATACGTTACAGAAAAGTAATTTAAAATTATTTGAACACTGATTGGGCTTTCAAAGTTGTAAAAGAGAAAATTTGATGTCTACTACAATATCAAGTTGTATCTCAATTTCTTAACTTTTGTTGTGGATAAAATATATGTGATTTTGATGCACATTAAACGTAATTTTAGAAACTATTAACATCAGAGTCAAAAAAGTTTGCTTTTGAAGATATTCGGGCTCTTAAAGTTGTGGATGAGCCATATGATGTCTACTACAATATCGAGCCATATCTCAATTTCTTTAATGTTCTCAAAAATGAAATAAATGCCAGTTTAATTTAAATGGAACATGCTTTTCTTAAAAATAAAAAGAAGTGTCAATAAGAGTTGGTTTTGAACACATTTAGGCTCTCAAAGTTGTGGAACAGATACTTATTTGATGTCTACTACAATATCAGCTTATATCTTATTTTTTTAGCCTTTTTTATTTCCGTATTTTACATCAAAAAGTGCCAAATTGAATAGCACATTTAGTAAAGGTCGTTTTATGTTAACATTTTTTTATAAAAACAAGTTATGAGTCAAAAAGTAATGGCACTCCTTTATTTTTGCCAAAATTTCCAAAAACTGAAATTTTATTAAAAAATTTAAATACAAACTAAAAAAAACGTCATTTTTAATAAAAACCTAAATATAAACTTAGCAAACTTATCAAAAAAGAATAAGTTTCATATCAAAACTTACAGTACGCATCTTCCGCCTGACAACACAGTAAACAAGATAGGAGAGCGACCAAGGCGGCAAACAGATGAGTGTATGTCAACATTTTGGATAATAAATTAAAGTAGGTGAAAAGGTGTGGAAAATGTCTGGAAAGAGCGTTGGATTTTGTTCGATCACTCCCAAAACGTCGAGGTTCACCTGAAATTTCGTATATTATTGTAGGTTTTGGGGCTGTGTCACGGAATAGGGTTATTGTAGAGCACGGTATACTGTAATTTCACAAATTTTTAAAAATTGGATATAACAAAGTGAAATAAGTTTATACAAATATGCGTAAACAATTTTTGTAAAATACGGGTGGCCCTGTGTTTTTTTGAAAAATTCAAATTTTTAAATACCCGCCAAAACAGTTCTTTTTTGCATTGTGCACTAAGTATAAAAAATGGCAAAAAAGTCATTTTTAAGTAACTGTCTTTTATCTAAATCTTAAAAGTGTTGTTTTTTATGTTTGTGACCTAAAAAATTCAAACTCTTAAAATCCCGCCGAAATAATTTTTTTTGGCATTGTGCCAAAAAAAATCAATGTTTAAAAAGTGCAAAAAGTGACATAAAATACAAAAATTAATTTAAATTTTAAAATTCAACTAAAGTTTTAGCATTTTCAAGTCAAAAAATTCAAATTTCAAACTTCAAAATTTCCGCCTAAATTTTAAATTCTTGGCATTGTGTTTCAAGCCTCTTAAATCAAAAAATAAGCTAAAATTACCGTAAAACCAAGAAAAATTATAGTATTCGTTATGAATGACTTAGGTTTTTACACTTTGCATACGTATATATACAGCTTTCGAATAATAGGATGTAATAACATGATGAATATTAACTCATAACAATAAATTTATTATAGCACGTCTCGTCTTTGATTAATAAAATATAATATGTGCGTAATCGTTTCCTCTTTTCACAAGTACGTTATATTCATTATAAAAAATATTGGATTTTGCATGAAAATTACTGTATATATTGAGGTGGTCATCACTTGCATACATGGGTATCAATAATAACAATAAGAGCACCTACCCTACCCTACTTCCCTACCCTACCCTACCCTACCCTACCCTAACAACCCATTATCCTACCTTAGCATAACCTTTCCCTGCTTTATCATGGTCTTATTCTGCCTTATTTAGAACCTTGCCCTATCACAACTTTACCCTGCCTTATCATAACCTTACCCTCCCTTATTATGACCTTACCGTACTCTATAATAACTTTACCTTACTCTATTATGACATTATTCTACCCTATCATGACTTTACTCTACACTATCATAACCTTATCCATGCTCTCTTCGTGCTATAACAGTACTACTAAGTCATCATAAAGTACCAACCCTACTATAATATCAAACTAAAATCCAACTCAATTTCAAAATCCCGAAAACTTTAAAACCCCCGAAGCCGTTTAGTACGCGGTACTCGGCAGACGATTAAACGATAAAACAAAAAGTGTCATCGTTTTATTTTTCGCCGACTCAAACCCGAAACGCCCTCTGGGCACGTCACTTTTGTTTCGGAAACCCAAACTCATTGAGTTAATAAGAAAAACTTGGACTGGGATTCCCATGCATCATACTTAATATTGTCATCGAACGGGATATAAACAATTTTGAGAAAGTTTAGACGTACTTAAAGAAGTCAAAAATAAAGTGGCATATTGTGACAAAAAATGGCAAGAACTTTCTTTACAAAACAAAAATAGCAAGAACTTTCTTTACAAAGCAAAAAATGGCAAGAACTTTCTTTACAAAAAAATAGCAAGAACTTTCTTTAAAAAACAAAAAACGACAAGAACTTTCTTTACAAAACAAAAAATGGCAAGAATTTTTGCTACAAGCTGAACAATCGCAAGAACTTTCTTTACAAAACAAAAATAGCAAGAACTTTCTTTACAAAGCAAAAAATGGCAAGAACTTTCTTTACAAAACATAAAATAGCAAGGACTTACCTTTACGTATTATAAGAAGCCATGGTATAACTCAAAGCCCGCAGCCTGCACGCTTTTAAAAAATGTGCCGACATAAAGAACCCGCCATTTTTATAGAAGATTACAAAAAAGATTTGGCGGGTTTTTTATGTCGCCAACTAATACTTAAAACTACAAATTTTAAAGAACAAACCAAACATTTACAACAGTTTAACATACATCAAAACACTATGTGAATAAAAAGTCACCAACATTATACTGTCGATAGACCAGACGTACTATCAGTACAATGACCTTAGTCGTAATGTTTATACGACTTATAATATAGAGTTAACATTCACAAAAACTTGCAAGGTTTTGAGCTGTACCAAGTCTAAAAAGCGGCAAAAAACTAATATTATTGTGCTAGGAAAACCTTGTTGTCGTTTTACACAGCTTTACATTGTAACAAACGACAAGGTTTTTTTAAAAATTTTAAACTAAAGCAGACTACCCTACTCTGCCTTACCTTACCCTATGCTATCTTATCCTAAAAAAAACAGAATTAACAAAGGTATGGAAAACAATAGTGGACACACGTAAGGAAGTAGAATTTCAATATTTTTACAAAAATTGTGTTAATATACACAACCTTACAAACTAAAAAAAAATATTGTTCGAAAAGAGGCGGAGATTGTCTATAATAGAACATGATATGAACTAGATAAAGAAATATTAGGTGCCGACATAAAGAACTCGCCATTCAGGAGATTACAGGCAAAGCATAACGGGTTCTTTATGTCAGCACCTAATAATTATGATAAAGTTAAAAAAGTTTTGAAAATAAAATTCCTAAAAAAAATTAATAATACAGTAAAACCTCTTTATAACAATCTTTTCTATAACAAAAATTTTGCATAGCGAACAAATTTGAAATCGCCAGCCAAAACTGCACAGTGCATTCCAAACTTATTTACTAAAACCTCTATAACAAAAAAAATTTAAATCTCCAAAAAAACCTCTCTCTGAGGTCCTATTTTAACCATTTAAAAACTTGCATTTTACTTTATTTTTTGGAAATGACACTAAAAATCAGAGAATTGCTAGTTGCACGTACTTTGGAACTTGAGCATAACATAATGTACGTAAGAACACAAAAACACAAATGTCCAAACTAATCCGAGAAATATCGTTTTCGTCTTTCCACCCTCATATTAACACATCTTTGCATTTTAGGAATGTTACAGTAGGCTAAAGCACATTTTTTTGCCAAAAATTTACCAAAACTTCAAAAAAATTTTAAAAAAATTTTTGTTTTACCTTTTTTTCTTCCCCGCCCTGCAAAACATGTTTAATTTTTTTGAAGATTTTTTATTTACCCCTACCTTGCCCCCTTCCTCTAACTTAAGTACAGGGTGCGCGCAATGTTCTGTTACGGGGTTTTTTAATCAACTATTTTTTTAACAACAAATATAACTAAAACAACAACTAACAATAGTAACATATAGTACTAGTTATAACATAGTCAATCGGTTTTGATGTATCCCCCCTTTGCGGTTTGGCACAAGCGTAAACGCTTAAAAAAGTTTTCAGCGACCGGCCGCTGTACCTCCGGTGACAGTTTGCCCCACTCTTCGATCAATGCTTGTTTAAAAGACTCCAAATTTTAGTGTCTTCTACAACACACCCTAGCCTCCAATATCGACCACACACTGTAATCCATAGGATTGGGATCGGGATAATATGGAGGCCATTCAGCAGATGCAATGAAGTCAGGGAAATGGGTTCAATACCACTCTTGCGTTGATTTTGATTTATGGGCCGGTGCAGAGTCTTGCTGAAAGATCCATGCGGCACCTTTAAAGCTTCTGAGCTGAAGGGAGTACCACAGCTTCCAAAATGTCCCTTTGATACGCTTCTTTGTTGATCTTTACGCCTTCGTCGACAAAAATCAAAGGAATCTTGCCCGAAGCACAGATACCGGCCCAAACCATAATGCCCCGAGGGTGTTGACGACTTGCCACGATGGCTTCAGCTTTAGGAGGCACTGTTGAGTATTACCTGTCATTTTGGGGATTGTAGGCCTCTGTACAATGTAAATATCTTCTCATCAGTGAAAAGAATTCGTTCACATTTTTGACCAGCGGCCCGCTGGTGAAGCAGTTTACATCTTGTGAAACGTAGCGCCTTGTTTTCTTCAGTTAGCTTCTGAACTTTTTTGAGTTTGTACGTCTTCATCTTAAGTTTCTTTCCCGCTATGCGCCCTAAAGTAGTTTCTTTGATTCCCGTCCTCCGGCCCATTTTTCGTACTGGGGCCCGTGGATTTCGCTTGAAGCGCTTCTTGATCATCTGACGATTGGCCAAGGTGTTAACAGATGCTGGAGGCCCACTTCTAGGTCCGTCACGGTCATGTCTAAGCTCTTCGAAACTTTTTACGGCTCTGTGGACTGTCATTCTTAAAATATTCAACAACTTCGCGACTTTGGGGTTACTTTTTCCTGGGGGTGAGAAAAGGGCCGGGCCGGGCCCACTTTAAAGCCCGGCCCAGGCCCGGGGCCCAACGTTTAGGCCCGGCCCGTTTTCAATTTTCTCTCAGGCCGGCCCGGCCAGGCCCGTTTTAAAAACTTTTAAAAATTTTAAAACATAAAAAATAAACGGAAATTTGGCTTTGCATTGTTCTTTTAGATCATTTATGTATCATGGTACCCAATAAAATCAAAAAAATCAATGGGGATTAAAATAAAAAATTTTTAAAAATTAAAAAATTTTTTTTTCGGGCCCGGGCCCAATTTTCAAGCCCGGCCCGTTTCAATTTTAGCTCAAGGCCGGGCCTAGACGGCCCGTTTCTCACCCCTACTTTTTCCTTCATTATATAATTTGATAACGGTAGCCCTCATGTTTGACATCTAAATACAGACAGACGGCAGACTATTGAGACTTAACTTTTATGATTATGCAATAAAAAAACCACGGAGAATAAGACAAAATAAACAATTTTAAATAATCTAACCGCAACATATAGAAAACGACCGGTAAAGTTTTGTAACAGAACATTGCGCGCACCCTGTAAAAAAAAGAAAAGTCAAACTATTTTCTAAATAATGTAAATGTTATATACTACGTATAATATCTTAACATAATCCGTTTCCGTTCCTTCTTAAGCTTAAATTTGAATATTAAGAAAAAAACAAGCAATGTATTCACGTTACGACGCTATTTACATTCATTTACAGCCTACCACCGGTAACCGGATACGGTGTGCAACGTTGACAAAAACAAGACGTATTCAATATGTAGAAGGGATTAATATACTGTAATTTTTCGAAAAATAAAAGAGAAGAGGAAAGATTAAAGGCTAACGGTAAAGGAGAAAGCAAGGCAATGCCAGGGCAAGGCCAGGGCAAGGCCAGGGCAAGGCCAGAGCAAGGCCAGGGCAAGGCCAGGGCAAGGCCAGGGCAAAGCCAGGGCAAGGCTAGGGCAAGGCCAGGGCAAGGCCAAGGCAAGGCCAAGTTATTCTATGTCTCAAAACCTTAGTCCATCTCTCATGCTGTACTATGTATTATGTATACATGCCCCCAGTACACCCTACAGACTCATACCCTCAAGCGATAAATCTATATGTCCAAGTGCATATCGTCGAATCTAAATATTATATCTCAACCCTCATTAATCTTTCACGTTCCTAGACATTAAAACCGTCTCAAGCCTATAACACATAATTTTCGCCTTAAGCGATAAATTATTAGAAGAAAGAATGGGAATTAATGAAAACCAATGAATAATACACGAGGTGTTCGGGATCTTTTAAAAATTAAATTTTTAGGTTAAAAATGATAGTTTTAAATAAAACTAGCGAGAAGAAAGGCAGAAAATCTGACCGTTCTTATCCCAATACCCCTCCTTCAACAATAGGTATATACAAACGTTTATTTTTTTAAATCAAGCATTCAGACGAAAAAAATTATGAAATTTACCGCCTCCTTACCTTCATACTACAATTTTAGATCTTTGTAAGGTTACACGGTCAAAAAATAATTTCTATTACATATATAAAGCATGACATATTTTTAATTTACCATAGCCTTACGATAGCCTTACGTTAGCTCAGGCTATTGTAGGGTTGTGGTAAATTAAATTCCTACCCTAGCCTTATCCTAGCTCTACTTTAGAACTAACTTAGCTTACCTTAGTTTTACTCTGGCCCTACCCCTGAATATATTAGCCTACCCTATCCCTACTCGTAAACTACCATAGCCCTAACATTTGCTCTATCCTAGTTATATTCTTGTTCTGCCTTAGCCTCACCGTAACCTTAAACTAGCCCTGCTTTATCTCTATTGCAGTCTTACCTTAGCCTTACCGTAGTCCTACCGTTAACCTCTGCACTTGATTTACACTAATCATACTTTTGTACTACCCTGGTCTTAAGTTAGCCTCATCCTAGCTTTATCCAGCCATGCAACCGCTTTAGCTGCCCTATCCTAGTCCCATCCTACCACTGTCTTTGATCTACCTTAGACCTACCAAAGCCCTGCCTACACCCTAGTCCTACCTTTCTTGTTAGTCCTAACATAATAGCTCCTTATCGAGGCTCTACGCATGCTTTACCTTACCCAAACTGTAGCTTAGCTTATAAGTACATTTTTTTTATAACACGCCCTTTTTTCATAATCTTACCTATCGTCATGCAAAAACTTGCCACCCAGCACTACCAATGACAAGTCAAAAGTCAAACCTAAAAAAAAATTTTTCAATTATCTAAAACAAAACATTTTTAAATTCAAAACTCAACAAAATGCGTTTGTAACCAATTTAAATATTAAATAAACTTTTGACAAACTTCGCCCCACCTACACATTAAAACTCGACCTAAAACAACTTGAAGCGTGGCACGTTTATGATCGTTTAACCCTCCCTTTTATGAGTGGGTGGGTAAACGAAAGCGAAAATACGTTGACTGAAGAAGGGAAGAAGAGGAAGAAGCAAAAGATTAAGATGATACTACAAATAAAAATAAAAGTAATCGAATACTATTTAAGCATCTTATTTTAGAAGCAAGTAGTTTTTGGTCAGGGGTGGTGCAAATTCAGTTCAGAACAGCAGTTTTAAGGTATAGATAAACAAGCTAAGCCTAGTAGAACCTATGACAAATTAAGATATAAAGGGTGTGGCTAAAGCTAAGGCTCAGGCTCAGGCTCAGGCTCAGGCTCAGGCTCAGGCTCAAGCTCAAGCTCAAGCGCAGACTCATGCTCAGGCTCTGGCTCAGACTCAGACTCAGGCTCAGGCTCAGGCTCAGGCTCAGGCTCAATCTCAGGCTCAGGCTCAGACTCAGGCTCAGGCTCAGACCAAACTCATGCTCAAGCTCAAGCTTAGAATTAGGCTCACGTTCAACCTCGCGCGCCGGCTTTGGGTGAAGCTCAACCTGAGCTCAAACTTAAGATCAAGTTCAGTCTTAAGCTGAGCCTCAGACTCAGGCTCACGTTCAAGCTAAAGCTGAAGTTAAAGATAAGACTAAGACTAATATATACTAACGCTAAACTGAGTTCCAGCTGACCCACAAACGTGTAACAAGACCTAACCGCCTAGTTCCGTGACACTCCACCCCAAATGTTCCTATAAACTTCAAAAACACCTTCAGCTTTTACACCACGTTAACTCATGCGAACGCAGCATTCTAAGAACAATAGCTGAGAATATAAACCTAAGCCTATTCACCACAAACTTATGAAAACATTCTCAGCCAGTTTGACGTTGGAGGTGAGGCAGTTAGCAAAAGACTTCACTGAAACTTTGAAAACATGTTATTCTACGTACTTTGAACATCCTGGAAAACATGCGTACTTGATGGTACGATAAGTGTTATATGCTTTGTGGTACGAGGAAAAAATGAATACGGTAATGTTCAAAAATCTATTTTTTTAAATTTCTAACTATCTAGTACCTACAAACTAAAAAATTTGTAAAGTAGATTTTGGTACTATATAGCACGAAAACTTTTTTTTGTTATACTGTATATTTTTTATGTATACAAAATGATATCAAGCACTATTTTTGTACTCTCTTAGTACCATACTATACAGTACCAAACATATTTTTGAAAAATCCTAACTGCCATTATTAATCATTTACTACCAAAAAACCCTATTTAAAACCCCCTCAACGTACTCTAATACCTTGACAAACACCACTTCAGTTACGTACCTAACAATAAGACCTCTTCTGAGTTTCATCAGAATTTTTTATCAGTTTTTTTTTGCAAAACAGTTTAGACATTCATCTTGCAGTAGGGAAAAATGATACTTCTGAATTTGAAATCAACAAAAATAAAGTAATTTTTAGGTATAGTGGTGTTGTTAGAGAAACAAAAAAGTTTAAAAATAAAAGCTAACACAAAAAAAACTTTTTTACTTTAATTATATACACCACCCTACCCTTGCTCTACACTCGTCCTAGGCTTGCCCCGACCTTGCCTTGGTTTTGCTCTACTCTTGCTTTACCCTTGCTTAACTTTTGTCTTACTCTTGCCCTACCCTTGTCCTATTCTTGCCTTAGCTTAGCCCTGGCCTTGCCCTGGCCTTGCCCTGGCCTTGCCCTACCCTTGTCCTATTCTTGCCTTAGCTTAGCCCTGGCCTTGCCCTGGCCTTGCCCTGGCCTTGCCCTGGCCTTGCCCTGGCCTTGCCCTGGCCTTGCCCTGGCCTTGCCCTGGCCTTGCCCTGGCCTTGCCCTGGCCTTGCCCTGGCCTTGCCCTAGCCTTGCCCTGGCCTTGCCCTGGCCTTGCCCTGGCCTTGCCCTGGCCTTGCCCTGGCCTTGCCCTGGCCTTGCCCTGGCCTTGCCCTGGCCTTGCCCTGGCCTTGCCCTGGCCTTGCCCTGGCCTTGCCCTGGCCTTGCCCTGGCCTTGCCCTGGCCTTGCCCTGGCCTTGCCCTGGCCTTGCCCTGGCCTTGCCCTGGCCTTGCCCTGGCCTTGCCCTGGCCTTGCCCTGGCCTTGCCCTGGCCTTGCCCTGGCCTTGCCCTGGCCTTGCCCTGGCCTTGCCCTGGCCTTGCGCTGGTCTTGCTTTGGCCTTGCCCTGGCCTTGCCCTAGCCTTGTCCTACTCTTTTCTTAATCTTGTCTTATTATGAGCTTGCCCTTGTTTTACCTTATCTTACCCTTTATGTACAATAGCCTTAGCTTCGCTTTAGTTTTGCCTTGCCCATGCTCTATCCTAGCTTTACCTTTGCCCTGCCCTTGCCTTAACTTGGCTAGCTCTTGCTCTATCTTCTTCTTTGCATTACTCTGTCCTAGCTCTAGGTGCTACCCTTCCATACCCTACTTTTTAATTAACTTCCTTCCCTGCCATTTCCAATTACAACCCTCATAAATCTTGACTTTGACGACCTCTCGAAATGATATAAACTCGTATCATATTGAGTATATATAGTACATTCGGATGATGTTTCAAATCCATCAAAATCCCCTCAAAAACATGGCCAAATGCATTAAATTGGGAAAATCTCATCAAACGCAGACCTCGTTCAATTACTTTTTTGCACTGCTTTTCGCTACCGTAAGATTGGTTTAGCATGATGATGAAATGAGTAAGAGGAGTAAGAAGAGAAGAGGATAGGAGAGTGATAAAGGTAGGGTAGTTTGAGAGAAAAAGGGGGAGAAAGAGAGTTTAAGAAAAAAAATAAACCGAAGAACTTAAAGAGTTGAGGAGGGGGGGGCTGGAATAAAGACAAGCCAAAAATTGACGTAGATAACATTGTTATCAACGTAAAAAACAAATTGAAGCTATTAGATTTTTCACATAATTCTCTGTCTTCTAATTCCAAAAAAGTAAAATTGAAAAGGAGGCACAGAATTATTTGAACAACCTAATATAAGAACATACTTTTTTCTACCCTACCCCACCCCATCCCGCCCTACCCTACCCTACCCTACCCTACCCTACCCTACCCCACCCTACCCTACCCTATCTTACCCTAACTGCTCTACTCTACTTTTTCCTGTCCTACCTTCACCTACCGTGCTGTACCTTATTTGTTTTTGCTCTACCTTCTTTAGTCTTGTCCTACCTTCTTCAACTCAGCCGTACTAAACATGAGGAACAGGCTGGGCCAATTTTTTAAGCCCCTGAATGTTAGGCTTGGCCTAATGTAAATTTTGCTCAACACCCGCCCGACCTGTTCCCCATGTTTAAGCCCTGCCTTCTTCAAACTTAGCTTACCTTCAGTTTTACGCAAGAACAGGGCCAGGCACTGGGGGGGAAGGGTGAACAAGAGGGAACCCCCCCTTTCTCTCAAAAAAATTTTGAAAAAAAAAGTTGAACTTGGTCCCCCCTGTGAATTTTTGAAAAATTTTTTTGACCCCCGCCGCCGGACCAAAAGTCCCTGCCCGGCACTGCGCACGCCGACTCAAAAAGTCTAATATTAGAACGTTCAACAAACCAACATTACCAAATCTCCCTATGACATAACAACAACACTACGTACTACTCCTCACAGCACGTCAAACTTAAAAACCCTCGACCTTCACCATCATCGGCCGAACGCAATATTTAATGTTTATTTTGGTCAGACAAGAAAAATCTAATTTTGCGCAGTTAATAATTCTCGAAAACGCAATAAATCCACATGTTTTTGACGACATTCCGAATAGATATCGTAATAACGACAATATTAGTCAAAAAAGCAATGTTAGGCTTCTTTTGGAGGCGTATGAACGTATATTGTAGCCTATATTACTGTTATAATGGACTTTGGGGAAGATTTTTGTATATATTAAATACTATATTAAGTTCAAAAGTACAGTACGTTTATATGGCAGACGAATAAGATTGGTAGGTTTGGGGTAAGACTAGAATAAGCGTCATGTAAAGCAAGGGTAGGGAAAGAGTAGAATAAGAGTAGAAAAAAGGTAAGACAAGGGTAAGGCCAGCGTAGAGCAAAGATAAGGCAAGAGTAGAGCAAGGGTAAGGAAAGGGGTAGACCAAAGGTAAGGCAAGGGTAGAGCAAGGGTAAGGCAGAAGTAGAACAAATGTGAGGCAAGGGTATGGTAAAGCGTTAAAAAAATTTTTTTAAAAATCCAAAAAACTTTAATATCCTTTTTTTGTCATACCACTTTTTACATAGGTCTTATAAGTACTTGGAAACACAGAAAAAATGAATATAGCTGAAAGTGACAGTTTGCAACAAAATACACATTATTAAAATAGAGAGATCAATGACTAACTTTATCAAAACGTAGCACAGAGCCCTAGCCCAGAGCCCTAGCGCAGAGCCCTAGCCCAGAGCCGTAGCCCAGAACCCTAGCCCACAGCCCTAGCCCAGGGTCCTAGCCCAGAGCCCTAGCTCTGAGCCCTGACGCCTGAGCCTGGAGCCCTGAGTTCTGAGTCTTAGTCCAAAGCCTTACCCTAGAGTCTAACCTCTTGGACTCGGGTTAGAACATCACTTTGAAGACCTTGTTTTTCTGGGATCTTAAAACGTTTAAAGCTTGTGTTTTCTCAAACTTTAAGGATGATACTATTTATACAAGATGTACGGAGTAAACAAACAAGGAACTCTTTCTATAATATGTTTAGCCTACGTTTAGGTTACAACTTTCATTAGGAGGTGTAGGCAGAGGGGAGTTGCGGTTTTTAAACGGTCTTTTGCTTATACATTGACATTTTTCAAAATTCCCTAGTGATAACCTATTACATTACGTAACAATCTACGTAGTTTATAAATTTGATACTATTAAGTACGTGAAAACGATAAAAAAAGTTTAAAATGTCATTACTTTTCAGCGTAGAACGTTAAAATCGGAAAAAGTTTCTTTCTTTTGCGGAACGTTCGTTCTTCTTTGTCATCATAACTAGTTTTGCAAAAAAATGTCATTGTGAAACAATTTTTGAACAAAAAATGCTTTTTTGGTTAGAAATTAGATTAATTTTAACTTTTTTCAAAAACGTAAAGACCAACGTACTATTATTAAAAACGCCATCACCAACGTGCAAAAGATAAAGATTACATTATGGTAAACGATGCAGATTGTAAAATGCCAAGATTAAGATGTTCGACGAGGTTAATCTTTATAGTTACGTATAAAGTAATTGAGGGTAGGTCTTGAAGTATGTTTAAAAATCATACCAGCCCTACCCACATACTTGAAAAAATTTTTAAAGTCCACCCTTCCTTCCCCTCCCTACTTCGTAAGAATATACTCAACCCTTGCCCATACCCATGGCTCACCTTTGCCCTACCCTTGCTTTACCCTTGCCTTACTATTGCTTTTTCTTTACCTTACCCTACCTTTGTCCTACCCTCGCCCTACCCTTGCCCTACCCCTGACTCATCTTTGCGCTACCCTTGCTTTGCTCTTGCCTTGCCATTGTTTTTCCTTTACCTGACCCTACCCTTGCTTTAACTTTGTCCTACCCTTGCCCTACCCTTGTCCTACCCTTGCCCTACCCTTGCCCTACCCTTGCCCTACCCTTGCCCTACCCTTGCCCCCTACCCTGCCCTACCCTTGCTCTACCCTTGCCCTACCCTTGCTCTACCCTTGCCCTACCCTTGCCCTGCCCTGCCCACTTGCTTAACCTTTGCCCTACCATTGCTTTACCCTTGCTCTACCATTTCCTAACTTTGTTCTCTCATTGCCCTACCCTTTCTCTACCCTTGCTTTACCCTTCCTACCTCACACAATCTCCTACACCCTTCTTTACACAAAAGTTAATAGAAAGGATACGGACATCTATTACCGTACATAATTACCTCCACGTTTTTTTCATTAAACTATTTAAAAACACAAATTAAAAACTTATAATCCTCTAAATTTTTTTAGTTTCTTAACCAGAATAGCTATTAGAATGTACTTGAAAACAAAAACAAAAGGTATGTTCCGATTAACAAGTTCTTAGCATAAGATGTTTAGCGTAGTACTTACTTACTAAAAAGAATGTCGTATAGCTGTCTAATAACCAGATATATAAAAAAATAACCCTACACTATCCCCCTCCCCCTCCTACCGTACAATAAACTCTGAAAGACCGTTTAAAAACCGCAACTCCCCTCCGCCTACACCCCCTAATGAAAGTTGTAACCTAAACGTAGGCTAAACATATTATAGAAAGAGTTCCTTGTTTGTTTACTCCGTACATCTTGTATAAATAGTATCATCCTTAAAGTTTGAAAAAACACAAGCTTTAACCGTTTTAAAATCCCAGAAAAACAACCTCTCTAACGTGATGTTCTAAGCCCAAGTCCAAGAAGTTCAATGTTTATTGACCAGTGGCATACGGTGTCTTTCATCATCCCTATCCTAACCTGTCTTAACTCTGCTTTGCCCTGATGAGTGAGCCTAAAGCCTAACGTTTGTTTTGTGATGGTCATTAGCTTAGTTGAGCCTAAATATGAAACTAGAACAGACTTTGGTCGCCAAGTTTTCAGTAATAATAGTTTAGTTATTAGAGTCCAAAAACATGGTCTGCTCCTTTGTTTTAACAATTCGAAAACGCCTTCAAAGATACTATAATGCTATTGTTATTCATAGCACGTTTGACACGTTAGGTAATCCTATTGTTGTTTTAACGCTTCCTACGTTTAAAAGTCTAAAAACTATTTTAGCCTTCATTTAAAAACAATGTTCACTAAATTTTAATGAAACGGTTTACAGTTTTAAGTAATAGAACAATTACTGTAGCTAGAGGGAACAATATGCCTAAGGCAAAAGCTAGAATTAGAGCTAAAGGTAAAGATATATCTAGAACTGAAAATCGAAATAGAAATACAACTAAAGCCAGAGCAAAAGCTAGAGCTATAGCTAGAGCTAGAGCTAGAGCTAGAGCTAGAGCTAGAGCTAGAGCTGGAGCTGGAGCTAGAGCAGATCAAGAGCAGGAGCAAGAGCAGGAGGAAGAGCAAGAGCTAGAGCTAGAGCTAGAACTAGAGCCAGAGCTAGAGCTAGAGCTAGAGCTAGAGCTAGAGCTAGAGCTAGAGCTAGAGCTAGAGCTAGAGCTAGAGCTAGAGCTGGAGCTAGAGCTAGAGCTAGAGCTAGAGCTGGAGCTGGAGCTGGAGCAGATCAAGAGCAGGAGCAAGAGCAAGAGCTAGAGCTAGAGCTAGAGCTAGAGCTAGAGCTAGAGCTAGAGCTAGAGCTAGAGCTAGAGCTAGAGCTAAAGCTAGAGCTAGAGCTAGAGCTAGAGCTAGAACTAGAGCTAGAGCTAGATCTAGATCTAGACCTAGTGCTAGAGCTTTTAAAACTTAAAAAAGCAAGACGCAGCTTTAAAAATAACGACAAACTTCGATCTATGAAACACAAGAGTAAAGGATAATAAGATTGGAGTTTTAAATTCAATTTTCCAAACAATTTTACTTTTCAAATTAGTCCGAACTTGAAAACGTCTACTGTTTACTAGGAAACTGATATCACAGTCCTTTTTTCAAAAACGTGTAAATAGACTTGAATCATTAACATGATAAAAGTTTGTTAGTATGTTTCCAATAATTGTCATAGTTTTTTGACTTTTTGTTCAAAAGATAATAATTTTTTTAAAATTTTAAAAATTACTGTACTCGTCTTTGTTCAAGGTCCAGGACCAAGTCCAGGTCACCTTCCAAGCTTAGGTTCTAGAGTCCTCGCAGCAGCCCTTGTATTAGCCCTAGTCCTATCTCTAGCTCTAACCCTAACCTAGCCCTCAGTGGAATAGCTCTAGCCCTAATATACTACAGTAACCATATATGTACATAACTTTCAACACACTCTATTACAATTTCATAACACAAAATTTTACGCACGCTACAGTAACCGGCACTATCTAAATTTAAAACATTTCCAAAATTTTTCATAATCTGAAACATATATAGTAAAAACATATCAAAACACCCTAATCTGATGTCAATCTACATCAAATGTATATAGAAACGTCTTGACAAAGACCACCACCAACCTCGTGTCATATACCAAGAACAACACGTCACTTCAAATAGAGTGTTCAAAAAGAACCGCCAACTCATCAATTCCCTCCTGAACATAACACTGCACAAAATCCCCCCAGGGCATAGTTATGGTCATATAGTTATAGCGGGTAAAATGTAAAATCGACAAAATAAAGCAGTAAATAACTCAAGTTTAGAAAATACACCATACCCTACCCTACCCTACCCTATCTTACCCTACCCTACCCTATCCTACCCTACCCCACCTACCCTACCCTACCCTACCCTACCCTACCCTACTTTTTCCTGTCCTACCTTCACCTACCGTGCTGTACCTTATTTGTTTTTGCTCTACCTTCTTTAGTCTTGTCCTACCTTCTTCAACTCAGCCGTACTAAACATGAGGAACAGGCTGGGCCTATTTTACTTTTTTTAGGATTATCCTTGCCCTGCTCTTAAACTCTACCTTTGTCATTTTTTGCTAAAAAGCGCATTTGAAAATACCCAAAAATAGTGTTATAGACAAGATAAGATCTACTGTAGTCCGTGCTGTGCATAAAAACAAATAACTTTTACATAAAAATAATCAAGAATTACGCTTTTCAAAATAAACAAAATTTCGTTTTCTCATGAAAACACTTAAAAATTATGCATTCTTCTTTCCTTTACAAGCTAACTATTCAATCCAAACTAGAGGAAGTATAAGTGCACAATAAACAAAACAATGAACTTTCAACTTTCACTATTCACAGGTCGTTTCATAAGAATTTAAGGGTCCTTATGCCAAAAATATTGCTGACATGCTACCTGTAGACCGATTTTTCAAAAATTTTTTTTTCGTTTTTCCGCGTACAGGTACATGTTACCATCAGGGACGTCGCTACGGTTTTTCTCTGGGGGGGGGGGGGGGGAGTCACTCCTAACAATCCCCCCCCCCTCCCCTCCAGCGCCCGGCCCTGACAAATTTTATAAAAAATGTAAATATTATGTCATCATTATAAATTTAATGAAACAACATGTCACAACAACTTTTATTTTCAAAAATTTACTCCCCCCCTTTCCTCTATCCTCCCAAAAAAACCTAATAATAATAGCAAAAGTATATACTCTTCTTGTTTATCTACAGTGTACCTATGCTTTTTTATGGTTTTTCATAAATATTAAAGTATTAACCATAAACATGCTGTGAGAATATGACAAAATGACGCGTTCAGTTATAATAAAGTGTAAACACTCATGTAGACAAAAATGTAAAAAATTCATTTTAATCAAATTTTGATTAGTAGTTATTGGATAATAAAATTATTTGAAGTTGATACTTTTAACACGATATAAGGTTTTTAGTAACTTTACTTGCTTAATAGGATAGAGATATGGCTAGGCTTAAAGCTACGACTTAAGCTAGCTTAAAGCCATAACTACGGCTAAGTCTGGTACCAGAGCTAAAACTAGGGCTAAAGCTAGAACTAAAGCTAGGGCAAAGGCTACAATTGAGACTAGAATACGTTATAGAATAGCAAAACCCACCAAGTCTATATATCTAACCAAAGTTCTCCCTTTTGCTATAAAATTACGATTTCTACTCAAATTAAAAAGGCATAAAGTTTAATAGGGCAACTGGGTGTCCTCTTTCATTAAGGCTAGTTAAAAATTTCAAAATGTATATTCAAACTGCAAAAAAATTTTGTAAAATTTTGAAAAATTTTGTTATTTTTTTACCAGTGATAAACAGTTCATGCGCCCATACAAAATAGTATACATTCCTCCCCCCCCTTATGACAGTCCACCTCGCGGGTAACCGAATACACTATACCTCAATACTGTAGAGCTTTTAAAACCCTACAGCACATCAGAATTCATTATGAAGCAAACAAACAAACATCCAAAATTTAAAATTGAAACAACAATCACTCAAAAACGTTGTTGACTTCTGTTCTTGAAATGGGCCGTTCAAACACTGTCATGTAGCCACAATGCAGTAACAAAGCGCTATCTTCCCTAACGTGTCATGTTCTGCATTGACTCGCCTTGCCCTACCATGTCCAGTCCTGTTCTTTGTTGTCCTGCCTTACCCTGTCCTATTCTACCTTCCCTACAGTACCTCACCCTACTTTAACCTACCCCTCTTTATCGTGTTTTACTCAGCTTTATTCTGCACTATCCTACCCTATCCTACATATTTCGCCCTGTCCCACACTAACCCCTACTTTCTCAAGTACTGTAACATCTTCCCCCACCCAAAAAATGCCCGAAAGGCACGTCATGAAAAGCCAGTCATAATATAATAATGTAACAATTTCAGCCTCGAATTCCGTTGTTTTTCGAAATTCGAAGCAATTTTTTGATTTTTCGTACGAAAAACAAGTGCACAGTCAGTCAATTTTCAATTAAAAATATGACTTTTTGGAGAGGGTGTCTATCATAAACACGACATATATTATACATCATCCCGAATGAAATAGACTTTTTACATCATTCAATTTGAAAATTTGTTTTATGATGAATGCGTGGTTAAAATTGAATTTTTGAGAAATAATTGAAAAATGATGACATTATAAAATAGGAAGTGGCCACTGGTAATGTAAAATTTAAAAAAAAACAGGTTAGTGTTTACAGTTAAAGTTTTAGCAGCTTCAGTTAACTTGTGAATCCGTTTGGTAAACATCAATTTATTTCACTTCATTATATATTGTTCTTGTTCGTTTGTCGAAGAAAAGTTTATCATTATATCATTGTTGTTGTAGCTCTATGGTATACTTGGTTCTGAAAAAGATGTGAGTGCGTAAAGCTTCTAAATGTAAGATCGTTTGAGAATCGTAATCTTGCTCGAACCTTCTAAAACCAACCTAAAAACGTAAAAAAATGTCAAAACCTTTATCTCTAAAATATTATAAAAAAAAAGAAAAAAAATCAAAAAATGAATAAGGTTTATAAATATCCTCATTTCTAATGCAAAAAACCTAAAAGTCATTTTTAAAATCGTAAAAACTTTATTTCCAAAACCAAAAAAATCGTTAAAAAATTACATTGTGACATGTTACAATATACATTTGGATATGTAGAATCATAAAAACTTCTAAAAATCTCAAAAAAATTTTAAAAAATCTTAAATTTTCAATAAATTCGAAAGTGAAATGGTAAAAACAGTTGGATATAGTCGTATAATTCAATATGTGATTAGAATGGAATAGCAACCTCTAGATTTTTACTAATAATTGATTTGAAGAGTAGTTTTAAATCGACTACTGTAACTTAATGTAATAAAAATTTTCAGCTACTGTAACTTAGTCTTCTTCCATTATGGCGTGACGAGAGCGGGATGAAATCACGGCTGATGACATCTGGAAATGGCAGTGTTAACTCAAATTTTCTGTCATAAATAATGTCATAATTAAAAATCGACCAAAAATTTTTTTAATTCAAAAATGCCATTTTCTTTAAATGTAAAAATTCCATTTTCAACCACATACAACCCATCCTTATACATGTATAGTATTAATATCCTACCGAATGAGAAAGTCCTCTATTCAAACCAATGCCAGAAGCCGATCGTGATTTAGCTCTGAATTTAGACAATGAATTCTCAGCCAGATCAGCACGTTCTTCAGCATCCTCGAGCATGTGCTGAAGTTGTTTGTACTTGGCCAGGTTGGTGTTGGCCAGTTGTTCCTGTAAACAAAAGTTTTAAAATTTACCTAGTCATGTCACAATCTTTAATTTTACAAAAAAAAATCAATAGTGACATTTCGTCTCATAGTAAGATTTCGTTTCATAATCAATTTTACGGCCTGGTTGTTCAATATACATACTTTAGACAGACGATATTTTAGGCTTACACAATTTTCAATAAGTCAATAATGCGACGAAATGTCACATAGTCTATTAAAATCAATATTGACATTTCGTCTTAAAAATTTTTTTAAAGAGCTAGCCCAAAATGAATACAATTTGCAATGAATCAAAGAACACGGCAAAATAATTTGCAAAAATCTATAATGCGACGAAATGCCACACCTGTTTCTTAAAAATCAATATTTACATTTCTTCATAATTTTTTTAAAAAATACACCCCATAATTAAATTAAAAAACAAACATATATAATTGTGCGTATTTTACAATTAATATCCACATTAAAAATTTTTAAACTTACCGCCTCCTCGACCTGTCGTTTGTAGGTCTTGATCTTAGTCTGCAACTTCTCCACCAGATCGTACGTTCTCTCCTGAGTCTTCTTATCTTCCTCGACCTGGAACTGCAATTCCCTGCATCTTCTCTCCTTATTTCTGTAGTTTTTGTTAGTTTCAGCGTGACGATGATTCTCCTGCTCCAATTCTTGCTCCAGCTCCTGGATCCTGGATTCAAGTTTGGCCAGTTGGCGTTTGCCGCCCTTTAGACCTAAGGATTCGGCCTCGTCCAATCGAACTTGTAGATCTTTGATCTGAAGCTCCATGGCCTTGCGTTGACGATCAATGTTTTGACTGTGATCTTGTTCGGCTTTGAGCTCTTCGGCTAGCCGAGCAGCGTCGGCTGAGGCTTTACGAGCTTGTTCATTTTGAGAGTTGAGCTCGTTTAAGGCGTCTGAGAGCTCTGATTGGGCTTGCTAAAATTGACAATAATTAAAAATGAATTTTTGATTCCTAAAATTCTATTGATGCTTTGTAAACAAAGTTCTTGCCATTTTTTGTTTTGTAAAGAAAGTTCTTGCCATTTCTTGTTTTGTAAAGAAAGTTCTTGCAATTTCTTGTTTCGTAAAGAAAGTCCCTGCCATTGTTGTTTTGTAAACAAAAAATCTCAAAAAAATCTTTTTTTGTTACCTAAAATCCATAAAAACTACTTTTTCTTACCTAAACTTCCATCAACCCCTTTTTAATACCTAAAAACCATAAAAACGTCCTTTGTATTACCTAAAATTCCACCAAAACCCCATTATTTACCTGTAGTTCTGCCTCATATTTCCTTCTGATCGACGCCAAATTGGCATTGGCATCAGTCAATGCATTCAAGCTTTCCTGAGCTTCAGCCCTTTCCAATTCAGCTTGTCTTCTAGCCCTTTCGACCTGCTCCAAGGTATGGGTGAACTCGTCCTTCTCCGTCTGAAGAATCATAACTCTTCGTTCGGCCGTCGCTACTTGATCTTGCAGCGTGGTCTTTTGTCGTTGTTCATCTTCAACTTGTAGTTGAAGGTCTCGAACACTCTCTTGATAGCTGCGCAGATTCCTTTGGGCATCAGCATTGGCTCGGTTGGCTTGATCTAAACCAATTTCCAGGTCGTTGATGTCACTTTCGAGCTTCTTTTTGGCACGGAGAAGCTCGGCACGGCCTCGAGTTTCGGTTTCCAGCGACGCCTGAAGAGACTCGAGAGCACGTTGATGATTTCGACGTGTATTTTCGAATTCCTCCTCCTTCTCTGCCAATCTTTTTTCGATTTCGGCCCGGATTTGGCTGACTTCAACTTGACTTCTCATCAGTTTTGATTCCTCGGCTTCCAACGCAGATTCCGCGTCCTCCAACGCTTGTTGTAGCTCATCTTTTTCCATTTCCAGACGTCGGCGGATCTTCTGAAGATCGTGAACGCTTCGGCCGCCTTCGCCCAGCTGATCGGTGATGTCTTTGATCTCTTGAGCCAGGTTTTTGTTCTCTCTTTTTACTGTTTCCATCTGTTCTGAAGCTTCGTCCAAAGCTGACCGAAGGCGGAAGGCTTCGGTTTGTGCGGCACGTTGATCACGTTGCGCTGCCTCGAGTTCGTTTGATAGAGCATCACATTTGAGCTTCCATTCATCGACAACTTTGTCAAAGTTCTTTTGCTTCTTTTCCAGAGTGGCGGCGAGGGTGTTAGCCTAAAAAAGTCAAATTAAGAATAAATTTTAGGTTTAAAACTGATTTTTAGGCTTAAAAATAATTTTTAGGCTTACAGATGCATTTTTAAGTTTAAAGTTGATTTTTTGGCTTAAAAATGAACTTTTAGGTTTAAAAATTATTTTTTGGCTTAAAAATGTAATTTTAGGTTTAAAAACGCTCTTTAGGCTTAAAAATGAATTTTAGGCTAAAAAATAAAATTTCAGGGATATAAATGTAATTTTAGGTTTGAAAATGCTTTTTAGGCTTAAGAACGCTTTTTAAGCTTAAAAATAAATTTTAGGCTTAAAAACGCTTTTTAGGCTTGAAAATAAAAATTCAGGCTTAAAAATTAATTTTTGGCCCCAAAATTCCTCAAACCACCCCTACCCTCTCAGCATCAAGTTGAGCATCCTCCAGTTCTTGTTGTAACCGATGTCTGGCTTTATCCCCTGAGGCGATTCTCTGATTGGCTTGTTCCACTTCTTCTTGAATCTCCATAAGCTTCTGATTCATCTTCCTCTTGGCTTCTTCAATCTCTTCAGCTCGTGTCACACCTTCACCTTCATACTTGTTGCGCCATTGCGCGGCTTCGGCGTTGGCTTTGGAGATTTGACGTTGTAGGTCAGATTTGGAGTCTTGTTCTTCATCTAAAGCGTCACGAAGTTGTTGACATTCGATTTGATAGTTGGAGAGTTGGCTAGCCACGGATTGGCGATCTCTGGCTTCTTGTTCGAGTTGTTTCCGAAGATCTTCCACTTGGTTGTTGAGCTGACTCTTCAGACGGCCTACTGCCATTATTTGGTTCTCCGCGTCTTCGAGTTGGCTAAAGGTGTTTACATCAAAAAACTCAATGACTTAACGATTTTTAGGCCACTACGGCCTTCTAAAAGCTTCTAGAAGCTTCCATAACCTCAGAAGGCAGGTACTCAACCTGCCTCGCTCAAAGAAAAGGTTTAACCCTATAAGAAGCCATAGAAAGCCAAATGCCATCCCTTTTATAACCAAAGCCTACCGATTAAGTTCGCTGACTTCGGCACTAGTCCTCAGCTTGTAGTTGTTCAATTCGTTAAGCTGACGAAGTTGTTCATCATTCCTCAATTGTAGCTCCGTTAACTGTACCTCTAGACGTTTGGCCAAGCGATCCAAATCCGACTTTTGGCGTTCTTCGCGTTCCAAAGACTGTTGAGCTTCTTCTGCATCCTTTTGGGCCGCTATCTTTTCTTTTTCGGTTCTGAAAGTAGTGATTATATAGGTAATACTGAACGACAAGGTTGGGTAGATTGATATCATAGGCTAAACTATGGCCGCCGTAAGCTTTAGTAGGGCTACCGTAGGCAAGATTAAGACTACCGTATGATAAGATAAGTCTTCTATAGATTAAGGAAAGACTAAAGTAAGCGCGAGTAGGGCTACTGCAAGTTAGAGAAGGACTATAGTAAATTAGGGAAAGCTGCCAAAAACTAAAGTGAGGTAGTTGTTGGCTAAATAAGGGCGACCATACTCTAAGCTGTGGCTACCATGGCAAAGGTAGAGCTATCAAAAGCCAAAATAAACCTATAGTAAGACTAAGGCTAAGATATCTTAAACCATAATTGAGATATAGTACAGTAATCGTTAAAAACCTTACTTCAATCTCAATTTCTGAATAGTATCCAACTGATCAGTCAATTCAGCAACCGCATCCGTCTGCTTCTTCCTCATCGCTGCCATTTGAGTTTCATGTTGCATGTGAGCTTCCTCAAGGTCTCTTCTCAACTTGATCATCTCGGCTTCACGCTTCTTGTTCAATTCCATTTGAGCTTGAGTGTTGCCACCAGCCTCGTCCAATCGTTCAGCCAGCTCTTCCAACTCCTGTTGCATTTCGTAACGTGATTTCTCGGCTTTAGTTCTGGATTGGCGTTCTGCATCAAGTTCTTCTTCAAGCTCCGCAATTCTGGCTTGAAGTTCTTTGACTTGACGTTGCAGCTTCGCGACCAAAGCTTGTTCATCTTCGTAGCGTTGAATGTAGTTAAGGAGTTCGGCGTCTTTTCTAAAAAAATCATTGCTTAATTTTTTTCTATTTTTAAGCCTAAAAAATCGATATTAAGCCTAAAATTCATTTTTTAAGCCTAAAAATTTGATATAAAGCCTAAATTAAATTTTTAAGCCTAAAATTCATTTTTAAGCCTAAATTTTAATTTTTAAGCCTAAAAATTCGATATTAAGCCTAAACTTCAATTTTTAAGCCTAAAATTAAGTTATAAGCCTAAAATTCATTTTTTAAGCTTAAATTTTCATTTTTAGCCTAAAATATCATTATTAACCCTAATAAAATGAAGATTTCATTGTTCAGCCTAAAAATTCATTTTTAAACCTAAACTTTATAAATATATAAAACCTACTGTTTCAATTTGTTTTCAATGTCCATTCGAGCCCTCGCCAGTTCCTCAATATTCTCTTGAGCTACTTTAAGTTCGCCTTCCACCTTTCTCTTCTGTTTCTCCATATCCGCCTTCATTCTCTTCTCTCTCTCCAAGTTGTCTTCAGCTTGATCCAAAGCCTGTTCCAGCTTGCCTTTGGTCTTGTTAACTTGGTTTTGTTTATCCTTCTCGGCTTGTAGATCATCCATGAGTTTTCGATTCATTTCTTCTTGATGTTTTCGCTCTTTATTGGCTTTGGCAATGGCTTCATCTTGAGCTTGAATCTCTTCTTGTAGGTTGCGAATCTGATGTTCTTTGCTTTGTTTTTCGTTTTCTTGCTTCTTCAGGGCAATTTCCATGTCTTTGACGGAATTTTTGAGTTTGTCACAGTCGGCTTCAAGCTTTTTGCGATGCTTCTGAAGTTCGAGGTTGCGGTCCTCTTGGTCGGCGAGTTGTTCGTTGAGGTCGGTGAGCTAAAACAATATAGCTAAACGTTTGAATTTAAACTATTTTTGCGTCTTACAGGCATATGGTTAATATTAAAAGCCTATACAAACCTATCGTGTTCAGTTAAGGTCCCGAGAACCTTACCGTGCTCAGTTACAAGCCCAACGTGCTGGCTAGCCCTACTAAACCAAATTTCTCCCCCTTCCAACCCCACAAAGCCCAGTCAACTAATCAAAACCCCTACCTGACGTTCAACATCGGCCTTCTGAGCCAAGATCTTGGCGGAACGTTCATCACTTTCACTAGTATTTTCACGTTCACGTTCGATTTGCAAAGACAACGCTTGCTTCTCGGCCAATATCTTCTGATTCAAAGCTTCCAGGTCTTTACGTGCCTTTTCTTCCTTAGCAAAGCTTTCTTCCAACGTTTTGAAACGTTCTTCCAGTTCCTCCATCTTTTCACTCTGAAATTTTAAGGTAAAATACGATAATGTTTTATTGTATAAAAATAAATGAGCTATTTAACACTATATCAGCCCTCACAATCACTTAAAACTTATAAAAATCCCTAAAAATGCCCTAACAACGCAGGTCATCTCGACAACTTGACGTCGTTTTTAAATTTTCAGGAAGAACAATTGCATTGTCCTTATGACAAGTGCGCGTAGGATAATATCGACCAACAATCCCAGAGGTATTAAATTTCATAAATACTCCTACACAAAAAATAACTCAACTTGAGTACCTTTATCTAAAAATTTACTTGGAAAAAAATAATATTATAGTACCCCATGTCACCCACTCCTTTCATCATAACTTTGCCAAATCAAAATGTAAAAACGCAATTCTTTACCGTTTCGATACCTAACCTAAAAGTAACATTTCCACAAATTTTTGTCAAAATCCAATAACGCTACACCAAGTTATGACCTTTTAACCGAAGCTATATCTACATCAACACCGCTAACTACAATAATATAATACCTGTTTGCTTCCAGCAATAAGAGGTTTGACTTGAGAATAACATTTGAACCATGGCCAAGTTCGCAATGTGCACCATCCACGGATATTTCTTTGAATAATCTTGATACCAGCCCTAAAAACACACAATTTGGGTATCAAAGCATCAACTTTGGTCTATTACAACATCTTAGTCAATATTAAAACGCAATTTACAATTAAATTTAATTTTCTTTTAACTTAATATATTCACCAGACTGTTCTACGTCAAATGTTATCAAACTTACGACTGATGAACCCTGCGTTGATATTCATTTTGAGCCAAGAAGTAGCGACATTGTACTTGGAACTTGGAGATCATTTTACTCAACGCTTCGTCTCTCAACTCCTCCATTCTGGCCAGAACACCAGCACGGAAGAAGATTTTCGTCTCACCACATTGATATTCATCTGGTTTCAGGTCTCCACGCTTCTCAATGGCTCCGGTCATGCCTTTGCCGGCCTTCTTGTTATCGGCTTCTGTCGCTTGATCTGCAGCCAAAATTGCATATCTAAAACAAGATGAATGAATAAAAAAAGCATAATAAAAATTTTTAAATCTATTTACAACGTTTTTAACACAGTTTGGCATGGTTTAGTACCTAGTTTTACATGTTTTCACTGCCGAAAACAAATCTTTTAAATTTTTCGAAAAAAAATAATCGATAATTGAAACTCGTGCTCAAAAATATTGATTTTAAAATTCATTTTTCAGGAAAACAAAATATTGTCTCTCTTATCCAAAATCTTACCGTTGCTTGAAGTCGGGATATGTGATTCTGTTCGGAAAACCTTTGCGGCAAATTCGAATACCTTCAAGTACACCATTGCACGTAAGTTGATTTAACACCAGGTTAGCTTCAATCAAACCGGCTTTCTTCTGCTCGTTGGGGATAATGCAACGAATAAAGTGAGGATGAGTTTGATGGAGCATAGTCATGAGTTTGTTTAGAGATTCACGATATAACATGGAAACCGTGGCAAACGACGCGGATTTTCCCTTCTTTTTGCCTGGAGCTTTTTTGCCTGGAAAAGTTATATTGTAGTAGATGTTGGTTTTTGAGGACAAAATTAGTGGTAAAAGTTGGTTGGAATATAGTTCTTGGAATTACTAGGGTTTAATCAAATTTTTATTAATTTATGAGCAAATTATCGATGTTATACTAGGTCGCATGTTGGACTTTTTCAAAAATCTTGAAAATATTTTTCTCTGTTTTTCTTTTTTATACGTTTCGTTACCTAAATTCTTGTTTTAAACGTATTTTATCTTTACCAAATCACAAATATTTGATTTTAGACCTATTAAAGACCTACCTCTAGACTCATTAGCAGCCGTATCTTCCTGAGTGGTGTAGTCTGCCCACAACTCGGACAACAAAGCCATGCCATCGTTGCCTTTAAGCACACTGACAACGGTGTCATTAAGAGGATCTTTGTTCTTTTCCAGCCATCCTTTGACGTTGTACCGGACAGTACCAGCATAATGTACCAAAGCAAAGTGAGCATCAGCTTGTTTTCCCTTTGGCGGTTTTGGCTTTTGGAAGTTGGGGTGTTTGCCCAAATGTTGATCATTCAATTTTGAAGCTAAGGTTTGATCAGAAGCTTTAGGAACAATACATTCCTCGTCCAACATGGAGATGATACCCAGGGGCTGAAAGAGGTTTTTATTAGTGTTCTTTTTGTGTTTTTTGTTAGTTTTCAGGTTTGAATGGTCATAAAACTTGGATTTTACCTTGTTTCACATCAAACATCAAGGTCGATCTTTTGTAACCGTAATATGGTAAGGTATTTTACTACCATTCCGAATCTTTTAGAAGTTTTTAAAAGCAACTATACCTACCTTTTCAATCAATTCAATACAGGCTTCCAAGTCCAAACCAAAATCGATGAACTCCCAATGGATTCCTTCCCGTTTGTATTCCTCTTGTTCGAGTACGAACATGTGATGATTGAAGAATTGTTGAAGTCTTTCATTCACAAAATTGATCCACAGTTGTTCAAAACTGTTCAACTAAAATATTTTAGGTATAAAATCGAAACCGATTAAACAAGAGAAAAGTATTTACAAAAAACTGAAATTATCACTAAGAAAACTTCACAATGTACTGTCAAGCATAAGTCACTATGAAATACTGTGAAATAGGCGTTACTTCAAAAACTTACATCAAAGATCTCAAAACCAGCAATATCCAGCACACCGATGAAGATATCTCTACTCAAATCTTTAGCATCCAAAGTCATATTACACTTTTTGATCAGCCAGTTGAAAATACGAGCAAATAAGGCCTTGGCCAAAGCACCAACGGACCACGTGACTTGTTCCAAGTTTTGACCTTTGTTTACCCATTCCATACCGACTTTAACTCTCGGTTTAATGAAAGCAGTCAGCAGTTTTTGGACGTCGACTTTGAACAATTTAGCGGCCAGTTCAGCTGCTGCGCCATCTTCAACTTCTGCGTTTTCTTCACGCGGCCGTTGTTTGAACTTCATTTCACCCATGTGCATAATGGCGGCAGTTACACACCACAAGTCGAATTTTTCGGTTTCTGTGAATCTGAGAATGTCGAAGGACTCCTGAAATGTTCTAGGTAAAATACGTTCTAATTTTATTGTCTATGAACAAAACTTCTACAGTGATGACTTACATCAGTAAGGGCCATTTCTTCTTTGTCGTTAACTCCATCGATAGTGACTTCAGCTTGAGCGATGAAAGAGTACTCTTTCACTCCTTTCGTCAAGAACAGTTTTTCTGAAATTTTCAAAATTTAGCCTTATTGTTGCTTGTAAATTTACTCACGTTTCAATCCAGGAATGGCATCAGACATGATTTGATAGAAAATGTGGTAGTTTCTCTCTCCAGGGGCTTGTTTAATTACACGGGATTTTTCCAGCAAATCTGGAAGTTGTAAAATACAAAAATTTGGTGTTTGTATGGTCAGTAATTACCAAGAAAGGTTTCAATCGGTATTTATATGGTTAAAAAAATTTTTTTTATCTTTTTCTAAAAGTTAAGGCTTTTAATTTCAATAGTAAGTTCACTTACAATGCTCAATGTCACCACCAGCCAATTTACCGGCATTATTGAAGTGAATTCGAATGAATTTACCGAAACGCGAAGAATTATTGTTACGAACCGTCTTGGCGTTACCTAAATTTTATTTTTTTATAATTTTTAGAAATTATTTGCATTACACGTCATGGAAATTCAAAGTTAGATTAATACAGGGTGTCTCAAGAAATTTGCAGAATTTGAAAAATTTCTTATTCAGCGATAAAAATGGCTATAGGTACCAAATTTGGTACAGCGATAGTAGAGCAAATATATATTTTTTATAAAAAATTTTGGATTTTAAAAGTGCATTTTAAATTTTTTATCACATATTTTTAGTTGAAAATGCTTTTTTTCTCTGAAATTTGCGAGAGAATTATAAAATTTATCTATTTTCAAATGAAAAGACTGATTTTCAATGTCGGCGAAGGCTCGGCGGAGGCCGGCGGACGCGTTCAGATATCGGCGAAGGCTATAACTCGCTTTAAAATTGTCGTAAAATTATGAAACAAAAATTATTTCATTTGAAGTTATTAAGTCTACAATTGTAGGATATAAATTTTTAATATTTTAATATTTTTAAATTTAAAAAATGGGCAAATGATAAATATTTATTTATTAATATTAATTATATTATCTAATTTCTACGTTATTACCAAAACTTAATAACTTCAAATGAAATAATTTTTGTTTCATAATTTTACGACAATTTTGAAGCGAGTTATAGCCTTCGCCGATATCTGAACGCGTCCGCCGGCCTCCGCCGAGCCTTCGCCGACATTGAAAATCAGTCTTTTCATTTGAAAATAGATAAATTTTATAATTCTCTCGCAAATTTCAGAGAAAAAAGCATTTTCAACTAAAAATATGTGTATTTTTGGTGAAAAATGCCTATTTTTAAAAAATCATAAAAAATGTAAAATGCACTTTTAAAATCCAAAATTTTTTATAAAAAATATATATTTGCTCTACTATCGCTGTACCAAATTTGGTACCTATAGCGATTTTTATCGCTGAATAAAAAATTTTTCAAATCCTGCAAATTTCTTGAGACACCCTGTAGAAATATTTTTTGATGATTTAGTATAACTTCTGTATAACGAAACGCCAGGGTATTTTGACTTTGTTTGTTATAAAGGGGTTTCTTTACATAGGGGTTTTAAATCCACTGCGTAGTAGTTGGCTGAAGATTCAAAAGTTGTTCGTTATACGAAGCTTTTTTTACATAGGAGCTGGTTATACGGAGTTCCATCGTATAGTAATTTTTGTTAGAGAAAGGATATTAAAATGTTATCTTACACTGCAACTAAACCACTTTCTAATTACCGTAAGCTTCGAGTACTGGATTGGTACGGACGATTTGGTCTTCCAGAGAAGCGTCTGCTTTTCCGGATTTCTTTCTAAAAATATTTTGAGATTTTAAAGAAAGAAAACTTACGTTTTGTTGGAAGATCCACCAACCACAGCGAAGTAGGAAATTACTTTTTTTGTGTTCTCGGTTTTTCCGGCACCAGATTCACCAGTAATCAACATGGACTGGTTTTCATGTTCTGAAATTTTGTATACCGTTCAGTAAACGCTTTTGCTTACGTCTGCTAAGCTTAAAGCTACTAATTTAATCTGGGTTTTTAATTGCTATGTCTATGGCTACCCTTTTACTATGCCTATGGCTACTCTGTTTATGTTGTTGTTTTATTTTAGCCTATATAGGTCAAGAATTATAGATTTTTTTAAAGAAAAATATATAAAACAGTAAGCCTACCATTAACCATGTTGCGGTAGGCTTCGTCACAGACGGCGAACAAGTGTGGTGGCATTTCGTTTCGTCGTCGGCCCATAAACATTTTACAAACACTTTCGGAATAGATCGGTAGTCTTTTGTACGGGTTGATTACTACACAGAACAGACCGGAGTAGGTCTGGAAATAGGTTTATTTTTATGTAAAATATGTGTATCATAGCCAGTGCTTCTTATTATTGTGATTTACAGCATTAGACGAAAAGTACATGGTAAATTTTTTTGAAATAGTACAGTAGAACTTCTGTATAACGAATTTTTATAGAGAGTGTTCGTTATACAGAAGTTATACAGTATTGTAAAAATTGATAAATATAGCTTACATAGATCATCATGGAGCTGTACCTAGCCCTGAGATTGTGTAGAACGGAAGCGTCGTTCAAAAAGGTTAAATTGGCCATATCTTCACATCGATCGTATTTGGGTGGATTCATTTGTTGAATCTCATCTTTTTTCAAGGTTTTCTGTAAAATACGTTATCGTGATCTCTTTGTGTATAAACAAAACATAAAAGTCATGTAAATAAAAGTGCCTTGAAAATGAAAATTATCTTATAATGGTCTATAAAGATCGTGTAGGATGTAAAAAAAAGTTTTGTTGTTTTTTTAACACTCCAGTCAGTGTAAGTTAACGACAAGACTTTTTTTACATTTTCAAATCTTGAAAGTCCATAAAAACCAAATTTGGTTGAAGTATAATGACATTCAAAAAATTTTTTATACTACACAGAGTTAACGTTCATGCAAAGTCCTACCTCTCCCTTGCTAGTAACAACCGTGACCTGTTCGCCTTTGCTTGACTTGATTTCGGCTTCAAGAAAACCTTCTGTTGGGTCGGGTACCCAACAGTTTTTCTTGGAATCAAACTTTTTGGTCGAGTTGGCCAAGCGTTGTTCTTCGGACAGGCGCAGGAACTGCCAACCTGGATCGCTCTCCATGTCGCCCATGGTGAAGATGCGACCTCAGGGGTTTCTGGCGCGTCAAATCTGTAAAATACGTGGCGTTGCAGGTTTTAGTCAAATCAAAGAATACTATTGTCGTCATTACTCGATCAGCAAAATTTTTTCAAAATTTAAAAATTTTGAAAAAAAATAAAATTTTTTTAAAATGTTGCGGCTATGACAAAGTAAATTTTAAAAAAAAATAAAATGTTAAAAATAAAAAAAAAAATAAAAACTAATGTGAAAACGTTGGATAAATCAAGGAGTTGATCTCAGCTGACCCCTGAGTCAAGTAGGTATGAAAAGACACAAAGTAAAACGACACTCGATCCGGAGCTTTGACAACGTGCGTGGTTAAGTAAACCATCAAACTTTAAAATAGAAAATGCAACAATTACGTAATGTTTTTGGAATTTTTGGGTTGATAGGTCAAAAATCAGCGTTTAAAATTAAAATTTTTATGAGAAATGTTGATTGTTTTGAAAAAAAAATAAAAAACTAAGAAAAAATTTTTTTTTGATATTGAGATATAGGTACTTCAAATGAGTCATGATATACTCGATTTCACGTTATTAATAAAAGTGAGTCACTGTCAGACAATTGATATACTCTAACAAGATAGGTTACATATTTAGCGATATTACCATAGGTTTTTCGAAAAAGGGCTCAATTCCTTTTTTTACAAAGGAAAGACCCCATATATAGAACCCCTTCTGTTTGACCCCAAATCCCCACCCGCACGTTGAAAAAACAAGAAAAAAAACGACGAGAATGTGACCACTTCAAACCCATTAGTACTTGACATGGCGCCAAGTACAACACAAAGCCTGGGCCTTGCACTTTCAAACACTTTAATGTTAGTGCAGATCGATTATTGTTTGTGAAAACCCCCCAGCAGCGGGAAAAAACGCTTGTTGTTCTTTCTGGATAAAGCGAAGCCAATCGGGACACCCTTCATCCTGAAGGCGAATCGACGTCAGCGCGACGTTTGCTACGGCGGAGATTGTGCTCGGGATTGGAGGGTGCGGATTTGAGAGTGAGAGATAAGGATAGTGTGTGTGGTATGAGTAGGGAAAGGGTGTGATATAGGTGGGGTAGATAGATTTATTAAAACGACGTTCTTGATGTAGGGTAAAATACGTTTTCTCAAGCTAGAGCGTACTAACCACACGAACTTCGGCACAACATAATACTACAGTAACCTATCGTTATAATATTCATTCAGTATAAAGTCTGTGTAATTTTGAAGCTAATTTGATACAGACCGGGCCGGCACGTGTGGATTCGAAGGCTTGGGTTCAAAACGAGGCCCCGTATGGCCCAGCTAAGGTCTCGCAATGAAGGCCGGGGCTAAAACGAAGGGTGACTCCTGGGCCGGGCCGAAAAACTTGGTCCATTCAGACTTCATTTACAGGTCTAATATAAGCCTAGTTTTACGTATAATCCTCCCCCCCATTAAAAAAAATAAAAAAAATACGAAAAAAGTTTCGAAAATCATTTTAAAAAATTAAAAAAAAATAAAAAACCTCACAAAATTCCACTAGCCATTACACAATTGTAAATCAAGCTCTGTCACAGAAGACAGAGGAAACGTCGTAGAGAGCAAAGCAATCCAAAGTTCCCAAGCCGATCCGGAAACAAAGCCGGCGGCTTGTCGAAAATCGGACCCCTCAGGCCGCGCGGATTGATTTTTGTTTGCCCCTCTCCATCAGCTCGCAAATGTGACATAGCCGGGCGGATATATTTGCCATAGTAAATGGTAATATTAGTTTTTATAAAGTATACTATGACTAGTAGTTAGAAAAAGAAGGACGGTATCAAATACGATGTTTTTATGGTACCAATAGAGGAAAATAATCTCATTTAAGTACCAATAAATCCCCGAAGTACAGTTTTAGTACTGCCATATACTCATAGTACCAGTTAATTACCAATAGGTCACCACAGTACTATTTAAGTACCACAAATCCACAATAGTGCTACTTAAATACCTCTATTTAATTACAGTACCAGTTAAGTATGAATAAAGCTTCATAGTACCAGTTAAGTACCAAAAAGACTTTGCAATACAATTTAATTACCAACAAATCTTCACAGAACCATTTAAGTACCGCTAACGCCCCACTGTACTATTTTAAGTATCACCAACTTTCAAAAGTACCATCCAATAACCATCATGGTCTTATAGCACCATGTAAGTACTACCAAATACCCATAACACTATTTAATTACCAAATGGGTAGAGCAGGTAAAGTAAATCCTCACAGTACCATTCAAATACCACCATATCTTCAAAGCACTATGCGAGTACTACTATATCCCCTACAACATCATACAAGTACTACCATATCCCCCGCAGTACCATTTAAGTACCACGTGAGTCGCAAACGCAACGCAAAAATTTTTTGGGAAGCGGGCCGGATTAAAGTAGGATCAAGCGATCGGGCCCCGTATGTTATACAAACAAAAATCCCATCTTATTGTTAGTTCGTTTTTTGTATTTTTCCTGCTATGATCTCGACTGGATCGTTCGCCCACTCAACTTTCGTCTTCATTCTCGTGTTTTCGTTCGGATGAATCTTCCGACGAAACTTGAGGACGAATCGGGATTGGTCGAAAGTTTATAGGAGGGGGTTTCGTTAGGAAAAGGGTAGGGTAGGGAGTGGAAGGCAAGGCAAGATAGAGTCGTTAGGGCTAGGTCAAGGTAGGCATAACGTAAAGGAAGCCTGCAGTAGAGTAGATAAAGTAAGGATGTGTAGGGTAAACCTAGTACAGTACAAAGCTAGTATACGGTACAGCCAAAAAAATATTCCCTCCGCACCAAAAAGACCGCCCCCCCCCCTCCCTCGTCGCTTAATAACATTACAAACCTTTTGAGCATAAAAAATAAAAATCCATCCAAATTAGTATAACATTTTTATTATTAATAATATCAAGTAGAGATCAACACAAAAATCATGTAAAAGAGAAAGTGATATGCGTACAAATTGGTCGAGAACTTAACAATTCTCATGTATTATAATTACGGTAACTATTTATAACAAAAGAAAAAGGGCAAGTCTTACTAAAACATGATAAAATTCGCAATATTTGGCGTAAAATCGACAGGAATTGATTTTTTGAAAATTTTTAAAAATTAAATTAAAATTTTTTAAAAAATTTTAAATTTTCAAATCTTAATTTAAAAATGAAAAATGGAGCTTTAAAAACAAAAAACCTGTCATAAACAAAATCACAGTCTTCATCAACAACATAGGCATGAAAAAGGAATATACAATTCTTTAAAAAATGAAGTTTTAGAATCGACCAACAGCTAAAATCGACCAAAAATTAGGCTTTCAAACTGAAAATCGACTGAAAATCAGAGTGACTTTCATGCTTAAAATCGACCATAAATTAGGATTTCTAGCTGAAAATCGGTTGTAGATTTAAAAATTAGATTTTTAAATCTACAACCAAAATTTTTGAAAAAGAACTTTTAAAACTTAAAAAGCGGTCGAAAAGTTCTTTCCATTTCAAAAACTTTCTTCCATTTTAAAATCCACCTCCTCTTCGTCCATTATCGACGGTCCATTGAAGTTAAACTTCCTTAACTGGGCCGCTTCTTCACTATGCGGATCAATATGAATCTCTTCTTCATATTTCGGTGATTCATGTGGCAAGTTCATCAACAATGTAGCCAAATCGCTTCCATTCTGTAGCCCAATCTTTTCAAAGTCCATTCCAATGATATCCTGCTTCTCGTTCAGCTTTTGTTGAGCCTTTTTGCGCTCCCTGGTCACTTGATGTTTTAGGTAAATATCGAGGAAGCCGTTGCCCATTCGATTCGAGTAGTCTTCAACGTTAGGTAGGAAGTTGGAGACGGCGCTGAGTTGAGAGAAGCATTCATCGATGAAGGCGCGACGAGTTGCGGCATTGGCGACACTAAAAATAGAGTAAATTAGGTATTTTAGGTGAAATTAAAATTAAAAAAATAAAAATTTCAAGATAAAATTTTTCGACCAGTCGATAATTTTTTTGTCAAACTGGGCAATTTTATAAGTTAAAAAGTCATCAAAGCTCTAATTCTAACGTTTTTGGAAACCAAAACTTTTCCAAAAAAATTATCGACCGGTCGATAATTCTTTTTTCAATTTTCTAAAATCCTTACCACAACTGAGGCTTCAGTACTTCACTAAAGTATTTCCCAAGAATCTGAACGAAGAATACTCGTTGCCTTCCGGTTCTTTTGATTCCTTCTGTCATTAGTGCATCTAGTACCATTTTTCCCTTCGGATCGTTTCGTATCACATCGAGTATGTCAAATTGAGGTAGTTCCTTCAAAGCTTCCAGCTCTCTGATGGCGGCGGCAGATTTTGAGACCGAACCAATGTGACTAGTGTTCTTGGGGGTTGTTCTGTTCGGCGTGAATTGTCCATCTTTGGGGGTGGATATCGAGGCTCCAGTGTTGTAGGGAGTGTTGACGACCGATTGATTAAGTTCGGCACTTCGTGGGCGCGAGTTTGACTGTAATAGTAAAATATAGTATTGTGGTGCAAGATGGTACCATTAGTACCAAAATAAAATAAAACCCGTTTTCCGTACTATTCATTACGAATAGCTCTATTTAATAGGAAAAAACTTTAAAAATACTATAAACCCGTTAAAGGTACCAATTAGTACCACTTACATTTAGTTGAATGATTTCGGGATGAGGTGAGCTGGTGTGGATTGGAATGTTGATCAGGCCATTAGTACCATGAGGTATTTGAGGTTTTTGTTCGAATTTTTGCTCATAAATCTGAAAATTTTAAACTTCAAAAATGTTACCAATTAGCCCAATTTTGAAAAAGTAGTACCAACAGTACCAAAAACAGTCCCAACCTCAAAAATATATCAAAAGCTTACATCTTCGAAGACAAGTTCATATTTGACACCTTGTTGTATCTCAATGAAAGGTAGGTCACAAGGTGGTACTGTGCAGTACTCGTCCAGATCTCGTTCGAACCTTCGCACTTCGACCAGCATCATCTGGTCTGGTACCAAATTTTGGGACTTACAAGCTTTTTCGAGGTTCTTCGAGCCAATATTCCCACGAACATTGGTCGCAAATACACCTTCTTGCTTCTCTTTGGCTCCACGACGGGTCTTTATCCTTATTGGGAGACGGGTTTGGGCTCTAAAATGACATTTTAGATATAATTATTTGAAAACTTGAATAAATAACATAGACAGGACCTCTTATTTTTCAGTATAATACAAATAAATCAAAATAAACACGATTCGACATCAAAATCAGCTCTTTTTCAGCCCAAAACCATCAGATATTATCCATGCCAAGTTTTCCCCCTAACATAACACAAAGCTAAAAAACCTATAAGAACCAAAACTTACGTTGAAGTATCATTAAATATACTTGCACTACATTTAAAAGGGTCCTTGTACTTTTGTAGCACTTCTTGTATCACATTCTCGGACATGGGTAACGCTACACATAGCGCCTTCTCTGCCTCTTTTAATATACTATTTACGACATTGTTCGTGCTTGTTAAAGTCTGAAAATGAGGTTATTTTAATGATATAACAGTAGCTTTAAAAATTTATAAAACTTTCTTTAAAAATAAAAAAAATATATTTTAGGTAACAAAAAAATTTTCATTACCAAATTTCAGATGCCCAAAAAGAGAAATCTCTTTTATTTTTAGTTAAATAATAGAAAAAAAGCTCTAGTTTGCCAATCAAAAGTACTTTTAAACCCATAAAGATTTTAGGTAACAAAACATGTCATAGACAACATCAGACTCCCAAGCTTTAAAAAGTAAACCCAAAAGCACCAAAATAGCTTCCAACAGTACCTATAACAAAATTTCAATCAAAATGTTGATAAAGACTTACTTGACAAACAAACTGGTTGGTAATTAGACCAGTAGTTGAGGTTTCGGCCATCTGGAACCACTAGTCCTGAAAACAACAAGATTTTAGGTAATAAACAAGGATAAACAACTCCAACGCGTTTCGAAATAAAACCTACAACAAGAAATGTATTCAACGCCCCTTGTTTTTTCACATATCCTGCACAAAATTCCCAAACATACGACGCGATATTAACATAGCACAAGAGAAGAGTAAACCAGAACCAAAAAAAAACGAAAATTTCGGCGAGAAGACCAAAAGAAGCAGAACAAACACCTTCTGTGCCTGGCACTTCGTGCAAAAACCGGATTATTCGTGTTCCAATAACGGCTTTTACAACTTTTCATTGAAAACATAAAGAACAATAAGGAATAACATCGAAATGACGTGTTTTCTGGACGATATTTTAAAAATGACTAAAACAAGAAAGCTATAATTATATATTTTTAAAATTAACAGTAAAATAACATATTTTCTTAAAGATGCAGTAGTAAAAACGATTCATTTTGTAGAGAAAGGACCGTTGAGTGACAAGTTTTTTGGAAGCTATCATGACGGATTTTTTAGAAATCTATTTTCTGGAAGAAGCCAAAGATTTATTTTTGTTTGTAAAAGTGCTTATTGTTTCAAAACTGTGTTAGTACCATTAACATCTAATGTTGGTAAGTTTATTTCTGTTTCTTGCGTCGAAATTTAGACCAACTACCTAATATAATATAGGAAACGGAAGGTCAAAACATTTCGGATGGGACGATTGGAAGGAAAACTCAAAGTATTGGACTAGACTTAATTCTTATGGTGCTCGTTGGACATTCGGATGTTTGGAAATGCGTGAGTATGATGCTGGTAAGTTAGTTTTTGTTGCTTTGCGTCGAATTTTAGACCAAGCATCTAGCACAATATCGGGAATGGAAAGATAGAGCAGTTTAAACGTGGTTTTTAGGCGGAAATTAAAATGTTGTACTAGATTTAGCTATTGTGGTATCAACGGGCGTCCAAAGGTAATTTTAATTTGTTGAATTAACTTTAGACCAACTACCTAGTGTAATATCGGAAATGGAAGGGAAAAGAACTTCAACTGGGACCAAGTTCAAGAATGTGGACTAGAATTGGTTCTTCTCTTTATTTTTAGACACTTATAGGTAATTTTTAGTTAGTTGAATTGAAATTTAGGTGGATAACTACTACAACATCGTGACGGAAGAGAAGAACTTCAAAAACATCGACTCAAAAACCGAACATTCTAAACCGTAACTAGTTTTTGACCAATTATATCAAACTAAAAGTTAACAACTAAAGTAAAGTTAAAAATGGAGCAGTTTTGAGTAAAAAGAACCTTTAGATATCAAAAGCGCGGCAGTAAAAACTAAAACAACGTAAGCAGTTTTGAGCTCGCTGGAAGGAAGAAAGGGGGAGACCCTATTTTTCGCCATGGTCGGACGCCGACCAATTCACCCAGAAACGGTGGGTGAACAAAAAACGTCGAACTATGGGGGGATCCCTTGATCTCTCCCATTCGTCAAGTGCACAAAATGTGTGTAGAGACCCGAGCCTTTGGTAAAAGCGCCCAGTTTCCACCCTCCTATTCTTCTCTAATCTATGCTGGGTTTCTCGTCCGGTTCTCCTTCGCTTCTCACACTTCTACCAAAATTGGAAGAAGCGGAGGTCGAGATTTTTGCAAACAAATCGAGGCGACACAATTGACAAAAAAAATTGGGAGGAATTGCCTTCGGAGGGCTTTTGTCAAATTGGGACATGGTAAATAAGTTATTTGTTGAACACGAAAATTACTGGTCTGCAAGGCGTCAAACTAAACTTCTGGGACTCTATACTAGTAGTTTATCAAATAGACCTTAAAAAAGGGTAAACAAGTCAATGATTTAAATTTTAAAAAGAAAAATTTAGTCAAACCAGTACCATTTTTAAGATCTAAATTTGAAATTTAGTACTAAATTTTTTTAGAAGTTTACAATAATTAATAACTGAAACTTTAGTCCAGTTGTAAAAAGTCTCGCATTTTGTAATTTTAAAATTAGTATATATATAAAAAAACTTAGTACTAAAAAACGGCTATACCCAAAACTAATTTATTAAAAAATCTTTTGCACAAAACCCCTTATTAATCGCGAACCTTTATTAAAAGCCCTAGTCGAATGCGCATCTTAACTAAAAAATTTAGACCAAGTGCGCATTTTTGCCCAGAACTCTAACCCAAACGCGCATTCAAACCAAGTATTACATAAGAATTGTTGGCTCGAAAACGCCCAACTATCCTATTTTCTCAGTCCAAACCGGAGTCGTTTTCAGTCGAAAACGTAAAATGCTACCAAACCTCTCCAAAGCAACCAAAAACGTACAGAGCAGCGGGCATAATATTTCCCAAAAGTCTCACACCACTCGTCCCGAAGCCCAAAAGACCTTCGGTCCAGGGGCAGGGTCTTGGCTGACAATATGTGTGTGCAGCCCAAAACTACGCCTATGGCGTATGAAGGAGGTCGGGTGGAGAGTGCTGCGACACGGGGGGCGAAAGAACCAATTCGAACCAGCAAGACCTAATTCGCCTCTTCGGGGCCGCTCGCCTACTGCCCGAGCGCCACAAAAGCGTTCGAGCCCCTCTCTTCCTCTTCGTGTGCACTCTTCGACTGTGCCCCAATTGCTCTAAAACGAAAGAGGAGAGAAAGAAGGGCGATCCAGTGTGGTGTGGTGATGATGGTGGTGGTCGGGGGGACGGGCGCAATATGTTCAACACAACCAAGGGGACCGCAGCGACCTTGATTTCCACACGGGATTGCGCTCGATAGGTTTCACAGGTGCTTTTGGGGGCAACAAGCTTTGTGCGGGGTTATATGTGGAGGAATGGTAAAAGTGGATGAAATGAATGCATTTTGAACATTGTAGTTCAAATGCGTTTTCTTTGTATTATAGTACATTAAAGTGAAGCCAGCCAAGTTGAAAGTGATTATGGAGTGAAATTTGCAAAAATTGCTTACAATTCAAATTTGAAAATCTACAAGAAAATGCCATCGAAATAAACAAAAATAAATCTGAATTGATTAAAAATACAGTATGGTCTTGAACATTTATTTACATATAAAAGTAAAATGGAGAAAAAATGGCAGAATTTTTGCGTAGACTGGTATGAGTAATTTGTAAAATACGTCCAAAATGTGTCTAAATAATTACGATACATAATATAAATTTCAAAAAATAAAATATTTTTTACAAAACTAATGTTTGAAATTGCATGAGAATAGTACTAAAAGTCTAAGAAAATCAGCACTAACAGTACTAATGACCTTTTTGAATCTAGTACTAAAAGGTCTGATGATTTCAGTACTTTTAGTACTAGACTATGTGCTAGTGATATAAGTGAGCCAGGACTAAAACCTTAAAAAGACGTTGATAAAGAAAGGCAGGACTAGAATTTTGTCAGCAGTATAGATATATAAAGTAATATATGATATGTAAGTGAAAAGTACAATAAACGAAAGACTAGGTGCATACTTAAGTTACTAATTAATTATTAAAGATTTAACAGTACATACGATTTTCTATACCTATTACCTTCAGTAGATATAAAAAATACGTTAAGCTAAGCGTTCTCTTTCAACGCTCACATTTTTCTTCTTGACTAGTCATACTGGCTCTCCCCGGTACGGTATGTTCTTGGTATACCTAGGGGTTGGCGTAGGCATTGGTGGGTCAATTGTCACCGCGCTGGCTGTATGAGTGTGTGTTGGGTTTAGAGGTCGACGGAGATATGCTTCGTTTGCGGATTCTGTAACAAAAAGAAGTTATTATTACTTTATGTATTTTTTGATATTGTAGTAGGGCACAATGTGAGTGTTTCAGTACGTGGTTAGTCAAACTACAGTTTAGTGCTTAACGCACTGTGTTGATGCAAATTTTTTAATGATTAGAAAAACACATTTACAGTGTTATAACAACGTATTTACTGTGTTAAAAAATGACATTCATTAATTTTAATCTGCGGGCGAAACGAGAAAAATCAGCTTTTTTGTACAATTACGAGACAAAACTAAAAACAATAGTGCCAAATTGACCAACAATATCTAGTACTCTCTAACCTAAACCCTGAATCATCTTTTTGACTTCTTCAGTTATAGGAATAGGCTTGTCAAAGTGTTTTGTTGGTATATCAGGCTGTTTCCTAGTTTCGCTTAATTGTTTTGCCGGTATATTAGGATGTCTAGTAGGTATATCATTAACTTTTGCGCCAAAAAGTTTTAACGGCGTATCAAAAGTTTTGGTTCTTGATAGAGAAGACTTATTTGTAGAATGTTGTCGAGTAGCATTCGATTTTTCAACAATAAATGAGCTAGAGCGACAGTCAGCTAGCTTGGACTTTTGACGATACATATTGATGTAACGCTGAGATGTTGGTTGAGATATGATTACATGAGATGCTTTAAAAGTTTAGTTTGATAATTTTTATTAATTTTTAAAATACGTCGTTGAACTTTTCTGTTAGTCAAAATTAGTCATTAGGGTTGGTACACTAGGTCAAAATTTTTTGAATATTTTTTGTCATTTGTCACTGATTAGTTTGCATCTTCACAGTAGGGCACCCAGCGTTAATTTATTGGTTTAGGTAATAAAAATGTTAGGGTTTTCCTTTTCATACCTACTGGAGAGTCTCGTATAGTCAGTGGCAAAATGGTACAGTTCTCTACTTCAACCACTGTTGACTCGTGGGATTTATCAAGTTCTAAGCGCGTAAAATTAGCGTCATTTCTTATAATAAAACGGTTGTGAAGTTTTAAAAATTTAAAGTAAGAAAATTTTCAATTTTTGATAGATTGGTACCTTGCTAAAATATTGCTTAACTTACCCTGATTTCTGGGCGGTTGTAGGTTATGTTTCTGGAAGAAGGCGTTAAACCCGGGGTCTTGAGGTTGAGCGTAAGATATGTTTTCTCCATATCGTCTAGGTTCCGATTGCATTGGTACAGTAACATGATGTCGTCGTTTCACATCAGTTACGGGCGATATGGGTAGCGTTAGAGGCTGTTTACTGTCGTAATTCGAGGGATATGGGGAATTGACCAGGGCTGGAAAGTTAATACGGAATTCCGGGCTTGAAGATCATTGATTTTAAAGCTAGGGACGTGGCTATGGTGGGGAGGGGAAACTTTTTGTAAAAAAATATTGAACTGTTTCACAAAGGTTTTGTATCAGAAAATAATAGCGACAAACTTACAATGCCGGTCTCCTTTGATAATATGATAAATGGCGTGTAATCGAGTGGCAAGACTTATGATAATGAGCACTGACAGTAGGATTAAAACAATAATTAGCGTTATGAACAACAAATAAAATACCCATGCGTTTGGTACCTAAAAGTGATAAATAAGATTTAAAATAAAAAAAATTTTAAAGTTTACATTAGCTAGCGAAATCTCTTGTTCACATTTTAAAATGTCCTTTACGCCTAGTGCCTGGGGCTACTTTTAAAAAAGTTTTTTTGAGAAAACTCTTCTTTTTGTCAATTTTTCAAAATCAAGCCTTACCTGAGAAATAGTGTCCCCGACCTGACCAGTCATAGAGCCCGCATCAGTTGCAATGTTCATAACCGAGGTGTCGAAGTTGTCGAGAGTTTTGTTGATTCTCGACGTGATCCCCACGATTTGATTATTTATATGTTCCACTAGGATTCCTAGCTGATTTAGCGTGCCACTCAGTTCTTCGATGGTCCGATCCACCGACATTTTGTCGGTGGACTTGGTACGATATTATAGTAGATCAAGTGTAGTATAAGAGGCGTAGTATTAAGTGCATGCTTTGAGAAATCTGAAAAAATTTAAAGTTTAATTTGAGGATGGGAAGTGTGTTATTAGGTCGTTCAAGTAATTATGTGCCTCCTTAACCCTAAAAATTTTCTTTTACTGGGGCGCAGAATTACTTAAACATCCTAATAGAATAGTCATAAAATATGGGCAAGTAAGAAATGTTTTGTAATAAATATTATACACCATTATTTTAAAAATAGTACATATGGGGTTTACAACTTTGTACAACACAACGCCAAAAAACTCGGATCCAAAAATATTGCCAAAAAAAAACAAGTCATAACGGCTTTTTAAAACCATGACTTAAGGTCAAAAATTGGATTACAAAAGACAGTTGTGTCGCCAGTATATATCATCTTGGACGTTGTAGTCATGGGTAACGTAACTTGAACAAAAAGAAAGAACTTGTTTTGAAAGACTGGAATTTGGACTAACTTTTAAAGTTGGCTTATAGGTTTAGTTAAGTTTTTAAGCCATAAATTTCATTTTTAAGTCTAAAAATTATTTTTTTAATTTAAAATTTATTTTAAAGCCTAAAATTTGTTTTTAAGCTTAAAATTTATTTTTTGAGTCTAAAAAATTTTTTTCACTTAAAAATTCGTTTTTAAGCCTAAGGTTTCATTTTTGAGCCACGAATTCATTTTTAAGCCTAAAATTTATCTTTACCCTTGAAATTCATTTGAAGCCTAAAATAACTGTTTTTATAGCCTAAAATTATTTTTTAAAAGTAACATTTTTTTAAGCCTAAGCTTCATTCTTAAACCTGCAGTTCTTTTTTAAACCTAAGATTTACTCATAAGGCTAAAGAATAAAATTAGAAAATTAGATCAAATCGTTATAAAAAATATACAAACAATACCCAAAAAGTCCGTAAAAACCAAAAAAATGTCATTTTTGCTTCAAACCAATTCATTATGCAATGACTGTATAATAAAAATCAAAACAAAAAGGATTCAGAATCGTTATTTTTGTTCAGACTTCTACAAAAAAAAGCTGGACGGTCGTTTCTTTCTTTTTGGACACAATGAGAAGACGTTTCGTTTGGATTATCCTCATACAAACACCCCTCGCCGTAAGCCTACTTACCCCTGCAAAGTTTGTTTTATACGCAAAACATCATAAGTGAACACGTTGGGTAAACGAAACAATAATTGAGTATTTTTATTGGCTTTGGGGAGTTAATGAGCACGAGGGGGGGGGGACGTGAATTTAAAAATTTTAAATTATTAGACTTAAAAAGTGAAATTTTATTCTTAAAACAAAAATTAAGGATTAAAAAGAAATTTTAGGCTATAGCGTAAAAAAACTAGGCTTAAAAATCTAAGTTAGGCTTAAAAGTTAAAATTCAGGCTTAACATGAAATTTCAAGCTCAAAAATTAAATTTAGGCTTTAAAATGAAGTTTTAGTCTAGAGAATAAAATTATAAATTTAAAGATGAGATTTGAGGCATAAAAGTAAAATTTTAGGCTTAAAATAGCGCGCCTGACTTTCTTTTTAAAAATTTTGTTTTTTTTATTTAAAACCCCCAAAATCAGCCTATAGGCTATTTTCCACGCCGTTGGACGGACCCGCTTTCTCCCCGCTGGAAATATGGAAACATGAAGGCGCGGACTATTTGTTCAACTGATAACAGTCCGCAGTTTTCAGGTTTCGACCGGCGCAATAAAAACGTTTTGCTGTATGCTTAAACACAATATTTATAAATATTACCAAATTGGAGAATTTTATGCTTATAAGGCTAGGTAAATCTAGGATAGTATGACATAGAGCTAGGGTAAAGCTAAGATACTATGGCATAGGGCTGGCAAGGCTAGGGCAGAGCTAGAATAGTTTTCCATAGGGCTAGGATGTAAGGCTAGAGTAAAACCGTGATAGGTCTTGTATAAGGCTATGACTCTAAGGCTTATAAAAAACAAAAAAAGATGTAAAACGATCCTGCTCTGCGTAAGGTAAAGTCTAGAATAGGGTTCAATAGGGTAGGGTTAAAAAATTTATTTAGTTGCTGATTTTTTCTAGATAAGCCCAAAATTAACATATTGAGAATCACCAAACAGCCCCTAGGGAAATATAGAACGGTTTTTCAGAAAGAATATTCAAAGGATATCTTACCGCTCTTATTGTTAAAAGAGAAAGGTCATTATGACTCAGTTTGGTATCAATAGAACGGGTCAAACGTTTCAAAAAATTTCAAAAATGACACAAAACAAACATGGGATTTTTGTTTAAAACTATTTAAGTTTTAAGCCTAAAATTCATTTTTAAGCCTAAAACTTATTTTTAAGCCTTAAGTTCTATTTTTAGGCCTAAAATTTTATTTTCAATCTTAAAGTTAACTTTTAATTCTAAAATAAAGCCCAATCTTGGCCAAAGATTGATCTGATGAGACCAATTGCAAGACTAAATCAATTCCTAATGACCGCTGAAGAAACTTATTGTACGTTCTTTTTAAAGCAATTCCAGTAGTCATCACATGACGCTTGTGCGGAATGCACAATTATCAGACAGCGCGCATCCCTTGATCGACCCCAAACAAAACAAAATTGAATTGAATTTCAAGCAAAACATGACTAAGTGTAGACAAACAGGCCCGTTTATCATAAAAATTCTTGGTGAAGGATTCCTGGGAGTGGTACTTGAGTCATGATTATGTAAATTTAGAGGGATTTTTATATGACTTTTTAGACTTAAAATAGGATTTTATGATGGACAATATGGGAAATGATTGATTATTAGGTTTGGTATGAATAACTACAATAAAAGTTGAATTTTAGGGCTTAAAAAGTAAACGTACGGTCTGAAAATGAATTTTAGGCTTAAAAGTCAAATTTAAGCTTAAAACTAAATTTTAGGTTTAAAAATGAATTTTAGGCTTAAAAATAAATTTTAAGTTGAAAAATAAATTTTAGGCTTAAAAAATAAATGTTGGGCTTAAAAAAGAGTTTTAGATTTAAAAATGAATTTTAAGCTTAAAAAAGAAATTTTAGGCCTAAAAATGGAAATTAAGCTTAAAAATAAAATCAAAATTTTAAAATAAATTTTAGGCTTGAAATAATTTTGTAGGCTTAAGAATGAAAAATTAGACTTAAAAGTTAAATTTTAGGCCTAAAAAGTTATGTTTAGACTTTAAAGAAAAAAATTAAAAATTATAAACAATGAAAAAACAAATCAACCCTCTCCACTTCTCTTCCTAAAAAATCAAAAGCAAAAATTCAAAAACATTACTAAGAATTTGAATATTTCGAAAATCCTCTTCAAATCACCGCCGGCGACACCGTTGACCAGAACCCGTTGGCCCTGAAGTGGTGGTTATCGGGAAGCGAAAGTCGACGCCGCGATGCTTTATCTTGCTCGTTAGTCACTTCAGTTCATGTTTGCCCACTGTCTCACCTTTTTTTGGACTCGAAATCTACCTGAAGGAAGAAGGTGGGGTGAGGGGGAGAGTGAGCGAGCGCGCAGAGAGTGATTCCAGTATGAAGACGAACAGTGGGCCCCAAATGAGCAAACAAAAATCGCGAACCAAACCGTTTTGCAATAGGCCGCCTTCAGGCTGCGCTTTTTGAAAGCACGAGTTACAAAAAGGTTTCGAATTAATGGCCGGAACATTTTGTTGGTGCTAGGCTCAGAAAGGGGGCCTATTAGATCCGGCAGGCTCAAAAAAAACAATGTTGAAAGGGCCGGGCCGTGTGGGCCTGTGGTCCAGGCTTAAATGAATGCTCTAGGGTCCAGCACTGAAATTCGGTTTAAGGCTTAAGCGGTTTGGAAAATACTTAATCTACGCTTACTAAGTCTAAGTTTAAGCTTAATCTTCCTAAGCCTACGGCCTCTTAATAAGCCAGCTTTAGTCCGGTTAAATAAGCCAGCTTTGGTCCGGTTTAATAAGCCAGCTCTGGTCCGGCAACAAAAGATTTGACTTGAGAAACATGTAAAACGAATCTGAGAGACCCGGTACCTTTACAGATCTGCCTAGTAAGCAGAAATGGTCGAATCCCATCTTTTGGATAGTATTTTTAACGAATTTACTCTAACCAAACCTATCAGCTTATTAAGCATTCACTTGACATGCCTTTTGCAAATAATATTATTTACTTCTGTGGACTGATAAAAGGTTGTTTTCTTTCTCTATGAGTAATAGTTTAATAGAGTCAACAAAGTCGAAGTTATCTGATAAGCTACTCAAAAACATTATGATTAATAAATTTATTTGAAACAGAATGTCAAACAAAAAATAGTATAACTTCTAATTAAAAATGAGTAAAAAGCTCGAGAACATTCATCTGCCTCTGCCGTGAGTAGCTTTCTTCCGTATTCCAAGCGCTAACAGTTATTCACATTTGGCCGTTATCTGTCGGTAAATTTGTTTGGATTGATCGACGGCACATGTTCTTTGATATGTTGATTCAACGTTTGGTTTGCTGTAACTGTAAATTTTTTTAAAAATTTTTTGTGGTGTTAAACTACAAAGGGTATGGTAGGGTAAAGTAGGGTAGGGAAAACCAAGACAGATAATTAACTTTCCAAATCTTAGAAGTTAAAAATTTATTAATCTCCGCAAACAGCAACACTATATACAGATAATGGGGTCTTCACAATGAAATGTGAATGTTATCTTGTATTGTTTTCATAATTCTCGTCTCCTCTGGACGATGCATTTGTATGGTGCTATCGTTAATCCACCGCCGCTGTCTGCTTTTATTAATTCTGGGATTTCCGATCCGGCTTTGAACTGAAAATAATGTTGATATAAACATTATTTTTCAATTTGGCCTAAAAATTAACGAGCTATTTTAAAAATATTCACTTTTTTGTGTTTAAATATTTAAATTTTTATTAGCCTTATTATTTTTTAGGCTTAAATTAGGCTTGTTCTTAAAAAACTAAAACTCACAGTAAATTGGTTGAAAAGGTTGGCCAAAAATATGAAAAGTTCCATTTTGGCCATGCTCTCGCCCATGCAAGATCGCTTTCCCATTCCAAATGGCACATTTTCGTCGTATGACTTTAGTTTTCCGTTTTCCAGAAATCGTTCAGGATTGAAATCTTTTGGATTTTCGAAAACTTCTGGATCTTCTAGGAACACAGAAATCTGTGGCACAACATGTTGACCTTTCTTAAAACTGTAACCACCAAATTCACAATCTTGGCCAACTTTTCGAGCTACATTCTCACCACCGAGGTTTGTTCGACGTTGGGTTTCCTGAAAACGGAAAAGGTAAAATTTAAAAATTTTTGAAATTTCAAAATTTTTGTTTTTTTCTTAGGGTAGGGTAAGTTAGATTAAAGTAGGATAGGATAAAGAGGGCGAGGTAGGGTTTTAAACGTTTTTTTCAACTTACATTGATCACAGCATTCATATAAGGCAGTTCATTTCTATCAGACATGGTAATAATCCTATCACTTCCAACTACCCTGTCCAACTCTTCAACCATCTTTTCTTGAACTTTTGGATTATGTAGCATAAACGCGATGCACCAGCAAACAGTATTAGTCATCGTCACTTGACCAGCAAACCAAAAGTCTAAAGCGATGGCTACAAGTTGTTCTTCACTGTAAATGCTAGCGTCTTCATTATTCTGAAGTCTTCGTTGTCTTTCCAACAGATAAGCATCGACGTAGTCATCTGCCTCTGTTTTGCCTTCAACTTCAATTCTTTGTTTATGAACATTGATTTCATGCATGATTGAAGCTGATAAGGCTTTCATAGCTTGTATGAATTCTTCACAAGGTCCTTTACAGAACGGATATTTGTAAGCGTTTTCGTCGGTTGACCAGAGGAGGATGGCAGAGTGGAAGAAGAGGCGGTTGACGTCTTCGGATTGCTTTTTCCATACTCGGAACTTGTCTTCATTGTTCTAAAATTGAAATTTTTGAACTTCTTTTTTTTTGATTTTTTGAAATTTGTTATTTTTAGGTTTTTGTGATTATTTGGCCGGTTGACAATTCGACAACGAATGCTATTACTAACAAATTCAGTGACGAACAATATCACTAACTAGTATTAAAAACGACGAATGCTATCACTGGAAAATAATCAAAACGATAATTCTATTACTAACCATGGACTTAACCATCATTGTAAGTGTATGTGGAATGTTTTCAAGTACTTACATTTTCAGTAAATCGATACCCAAACATCAACACATTGATGACGGAGCTTACAGCAATGTCAGTGAAAGGCTTGATGTCTACCTCGTCATGTAAGTTGATTTCTTTGTTAATACTGTCAAGCATTACTTGTGTCTCTGCTATTATCTGTAATTTTATTGGTTTTTAAACTGTTTTTTCTTATTTTTGTTAGTTTTTTTTTAAACTTATGGGATGCTCCTTTTCAACTTTATATTTTTCTTGTCTTGTAACATAAAATCCTTAAAACTCACAGTAGTTTGCATCGCGCTTTTGCCCATGCCAAAATCTTTAAAGATTTTAATCCCAAATCTCCTGTGTTCTCTAGCCAACGCACCACCAGTGAACAACAATCCATAAGATCCACCTTTTGTGATCTTATCCAACATGCCAAACTGAATTCGATCAAAAAATATGTCAGCATTTTTGACAAACATTTCATTAGCCAGCTTATATTCAGCTATGGCAATGTAGGGTGTTTCTCCGGACCAGTATGTGAACATCTTGCCATATTGTTGTTTCCATGTTAAAAACGTGTCTGGCCAATGTTTTGACAAGTATAGCGTTAGTCGGTTTCCTACTATAGGTAGAGGCGTTGGTCCTGGAGGTAGATTGCGGCGTTTGTAAAAGTTGTTGTAGAATACTATTAGAGATATGGCAAATATAATAAGTAGTCCAACAGCCATGATCTTGGCCGTTGGAGCTGGCGATGTTAGTTTATAATCAAGGTGTAGTACTCTTTTATTTATAAAAAGAAAAAAGTATCAAGTGTTAGAACCCCGTAGCCTTAATATCAAGCTATTAAAGTCGGTTTTCGAATGCAATAGTATACTCGACACCTTGCTTTAAGTAGTAGATTCAATATTACTTTCTGACCGGATATCCAATATTGAAGCAAATCCCAGGATCAGATTATGATAAATGGGTGGAGAGTAATGCTAGCTCAATAGGTATTACCTTTTACGTGAGAATTAACTGAATACGACAGGTATTACCTTGTTTTTTAACGTAAAAGGTATTAAAGAATTTTGATTCAATATAAATTAATCTAATACAATCAATAACACTAGCTTAATACAATAGGTAACACTTAATAATGGATATTGGTTGAATACAATCAATATGGTTATCAAAAAAAAATATTACCTTGTGTTTTTACCTTAACCAGTATTACCTTAAATAAAACAATATGTAATAATCCCAAGGTATTTCAATGATCAAATGACGACAAATGTTTTTATTACCTCGTAGATCATAACTGTTTTTTACTACCGGCTTACATCGTTTACAACAGTCTGATCGTTGATCAGGATTTCGTTTCGGATTTTAATGACTTAAGTTTATTTATTAAAACATTACTCTTTAGCAGTGCATAGGGTTCAAAATGGCTCTTTTGAAAGGCTTCTAAAGACTGGTCAAGGGCAAAAATGACAGATTTGTAAGACTTCAATTGGCAAATAAGTCGTAAAATTACGGTTTAGTAAGGCTTAAAACGTCAGGTTTTTAGGCTTAAAGTGGCTGGTTGGTAAGTCTTAAATTTAGTGTTCAGTAAGGCCTTACATAGCTCTTCATTAACGGTAACTTAGTTTTTTTGTAAGGCTTAAAGTGATTGTTCAATAAGTCTTGACATTGGTGTTCTACGGCTTAACATGGCAGTTCAGCAAGGCCTTTGGCTCTCTTCAAGAATCAAAAATAAAATTTGTTTTATTTTTCAAAATTAAACGACCACAGTTCAATGCAAGCAAGGAAATGGATTAAATATACAGACAAAAACACACCAAAATAAAGAGATATATTGTATTGCATTGTAGAAATGTAGACACGGAACAATGACACAAAATATGGTATCCTGGATTACTTCCGCTGGATTAGCAAGTCTGACCAGGAATTGCTATTGTAATACATACAAGCGTACAAAGTCAATGATTACACCCCACAGGCATCTAAAGTCAATTGTATTCTTAGTAACACTGTATTGAAATTGGCATTTCTTTCAAATTTCTTGTCACGGCTTATTTATGTTATGTTTTCTTTAGAGATAAGTAGCGCAAATTTGCCTTTACCGTCTTTTAGTGCTTCGGGCTTTCTTTTCAGGCAACAGAAATATTCTTGGGTCTATATTCAATTTTTTAACCGTTTTAATTTTAAAAAAATGATTTTTGTAACTGATGTTTTTAACGAGACTTTTTTTGTGTTGTTGTACATTTCAAAATTTATCTTTTTAGTGGTCTCAAGTATAAACTATGGTTCTAAAAACAGTCAAAATGTTGCTGCCAACGATCTACTCACAACTTCAAACACCAGTTCTAAAAAATGTTGTCTACACGACTGCGAAACTTGTCTATGGCTTATTTGGTTTGGTCTTGGGATTCAAGCTACTGTTCGTATAAACTCTACTACCTGTACAAAAAGCTGAACAAAAACATTTTTTAAAACAACCGTGTCTTTTTTATTTGAAAATTGTATTTTGTAAAAAAATAAACTTGTATTATAATTTTTTAGTCAATAGGTTGAGCCGTTTTACTATAACTTTATTTTGTTAAAATTTATGGCTTCTAGACCTGAAAACAGTCCCATTGGGCTCCGGGCCGGGCTAACGCAACTTTGAAAAAAAAAAAACTAAGCCAAACCGTTTGCCGGGTGCTGGGGCTAAAAAAAAGAGGTCGAGTGCTAAGACTAGAAAAAGAAGCTCCAAGAGATCGGTCTAGGTCTCGCAACTAGACTTTTAAACCCGTCGAGTCTTGGTTTGAGGTCGGGCCTTGGGGTCTAAAAAAGATATTATGTCTGCCTGGTCTTTTCAAAATGCTTAGGTTTCCACATATGGGCTTACGTTTAAGCTAAGGCATAGCTCTGCCTCTTGCAGGTCTGGCTGCGCAACCTAAGCTGGGCCCTGGTACCTTGGTTTGTACCCCGGCCTTCCAAGAAAAGAAGAACTATGTATGCCAACCTGGTTCTTTTCAAATTTGCCTTGAACTGACCAATCTTGGGACAAGGCCAGCTCGAAGCCGAGCCTAGTAGCCTCTCTTTCAGGTCTACCTCTCATTGCCCTTGACGTGAACTTCCTTTCCAAACAAAAATAAATGAATATCATAAAAGTTGTTTGAAGGTCAGCCGTCTGTTAGTTTAATAAAAGCATAACGGCGTGGAAATTAATGAGTGTTGAAAAAATATAATGTATTTTTTTAATTTTACCGCGATTGAAATTGTTTACAAAGACGAATTTACGGTTTTTATAGGATTTTAAAGGTTTTTTATTGTCGTAGGCTTGTTTTGTACATTAAAATTGCTAGTCTATTACCTAAAAATTGTTTTTTTTTAATTTTTAGCAACAAATTTTATCAAAGTTTAGTATTTTCAAAGCGTTTTTACAGTACCTTTCTTACTAAAATATAAGTTACTATTCTACTCCAAATTATTGTGATCACTGGTTGTTACTTTACTGTTAACAAACATATAATTCAACAACACCAATATTACAAATGGTAAGTCAATGGGGGGTTTTTATTATCAAAGCGACACGTTAATGTAAAAAATGCTTGAATTACTTGATTTTCACGTCTTTGTCATTTGATTTTAATTAAAGTCGAATAGACTTTTTCACAAATTTGCCTGGTTTTTCATTTTACCTTTGCAAATCGTTTGATTTTTGGTTTTGCTCATATTTGTTAGCCTTGCTCATCAATTGGTTAAGATAAGTAAGGCAAAGTTGTGTTGGAAGCTTACAAGGAAGTTCCTTCTCCTTGCCCCGCTCTGATTGAGTTCAAACTTTTTATATAAAAAGATTGTGTAATTATAAGATCTTCAGCAAAGTACTAAATCGCGCTTTTCAGGAAAACTTGAGAAAACCGGAATTAAAAAATTACGTTTTGGATTTCCCGCCAAATTGGTATTGTGTTTCAAGCTTATAACTTTCTCATTCTTTAATTTTTAATTGTTTTTCTGTTTAAATAAATCTAAATTTTTTAGTTTGTAAGCTTAGCTTGTCCATAAAGCTGAAAAAAGCACTTGAAACATAATGCCAAATATGCCAAAATAACGGGAAACTTATATATTTAAAATTTTGAACTCAAAATCGCGAGCTAAAAGCTTTTATGGGTACAATTGGTGATAAAAAGAATTAATATCAAAATTTTGAGCTGATTCTGAGCGAGGCAGGTTGGGGATTTACCTTGTCAGTAGTTTTTCAAAGTGGTTATCTGGGTAACCTTTTATGATCTTTTGTCCTATATAGGTTTCGTTCTAAAACCCGTGGGATAATTGATGCAACTGTCTTGTAAAGTTAGATTTTGTAGACATTTAGCATAAAGTTTTTTATTTAAACTCTAATAATAATATTAATTTCAGCCCCAGACATTCCACAAAATGAACGTGCTACAGAGAAGGCAATTTAGCTTTGTAGCCTTTGTATTTCAATTTATATTTATTTTGATATTTGCACTGTTTGTACGCTATGACTTCAACGCAATGCCGCATGGAAAATCAAGTCAGATCTATGTCAACACTGATTATCCTAGTAAGTTTTGCACCGTGATAAGCTTGCTTTAATTTTCAGAAATCTTTAACGAAACTTTAAAAAATATAGTAAACAGTGCTGTAACTTCCTAGCCAAAACTCCTGTATACCGAACACCTCTATAATGAAAGTACTTTCAGTGTTCCAAGACATTCACGTTATGGTGATGGTTGGTTTTGGATTTTTAATGTCATTTCTTAAACGATATGGTTTTTCATCGATATCTATCAACTTATTATTATCAGCGTTTGTCATGCAATATGTTATGATCCTGAGAGGATTTTTGAGCCATGACTTTGTTACCACTGGCTTGTTTAAAATTTCTATCAATGAGTGAGTTTACTTTGATACGAGACTTAAGCTGAGCTCTAGGAGTGAGGAACGGCCGGGCTGGCTTTAAGCTAAATTTAGGTCTGTCCGGACTTGAGGTAAAAATGAAAACGGGCCGGGCCTCAAAAAGAACCCCCCCCCCCCAGAAAAAAAATTTTTGAAAAAATTGAACTTGGTCCCCCCTGTGGATTTTTTCAAACACCGCCCCCAGACCAAAAGTCCCTGTCCGGCACTGGTCGGGTCAACTCAAAAGCAAACTGAAATATACTGAATTGTCTTTCAAATAATATTTTCCAGTTTAATCCACGCAGACTTATCATGTGTAGTAGTACTAATCAGCATGGGCGTCCTACTCGGCCGCTTAACTCCAATACAATTTCTTTTTCTGGCTTTTCTAGAAACTTCATTTGCGACCCTACTAGAACATATCTTATTCACAATTCTTCACGTTAACGACAGTGGCCGTGCTTTGATCGTACACTGTTTTGGAGCCTATTTCGGGCTTACTGTAGCCAAAGTCTGTGAACGTAGCACATTATCTGAAACTGATACTCAAAGTGGGTACCTCGAACACTCGGAGCTATTTTCTATGATTGGTACTCTATTCTTGTGGATCTTCTTCCCTAGCTTTAATGGTGCTACACAGGTTACTGAAGATGCGCGATACAGAGCCATTATGAACACTTATTTAGCTATGGCTTCGTGTACTTTAGTGACGTTTATGACATCAAGTTTGAGTGATCAAATGGGAAGGTTTAACATGTTGCACATACAATCTTCGACCTTATCTGGAGGTGTTGCTATTGGGTCCGTTGCTAATGTGGTGTTGTACCCTCATCATGCATTGTTAGTCGGGACTTTGGCTGGGCTGGTTAGTGTTGTGGGGCATGTGTTTATTACGGTAGGTATTTAATGACGTTGCATAGTATAGTATAATATAGTATAGTATAGTATAGTATAGTATAGTATAGTATAGTATAGTATAGTATATGCAAAAATTTTTCTAAATTTAAAAAAATAAATTTACTTTGAAAAGGAGCACAGAATTATTTGAACAATACATATAACATTAATAACGTCCCAAGTTTTTAGCCAAAGCTACTAGAAAAACGTTTTCAACTATACGACACCTGTGGCGTTCACAATCTGCATGGTCTACCTAGCTTAATATCAGGCTTTTGCGGGGTTTATCTTGTACTACATTACCAGCCGGAAGAATATGCAGAGAAGTAAGAAAATTGCTTCAAAAAGTAATTTTAAATCTTTGTAAGAAAAATAAGCCTAAAATAATTCTTTTGTTACAGTATCCACACAATCTACCCATTTTGGAAGGGTGGTAGCATGGAAGGTGCTAATCGTGACAAATATATTCAAGCTGGCTATCAATTGATGGGAATGTTCATAACATTGGCTGTAGCAGTATTTGGAGGAATTATTACTGGTTTCATTTTAAACCGAAAAATTTTGAACAAGGTTCAGTTAAATATCCCTAGCTTTGCTGACACTAATTACTATGTTAATGCTAAGTTTTCGTTACTTGGGAATGTAAGTTGAAACAACAATACCCTATCCTACCCTACCCTGACTTTCACAACCTACCCCACGTTTTAACAAACTCCTTTCAGTCAGAAGTAAGAACCCCTCTACCACTATACCACTCAACACAGACGGCTAGAATTCGAACTACAAGTGAAAATAACAATGGCAATATTCCTTCAATGATTCCACCAGAAAAGGCGTTTTTCTAAACTCGAAATTTGAAGTAAGAAGTACATATTTGTATATAATAGATCTAAACTAATAAACTGTTATGATAACCTTTAAAAAAGCCCGGCTTCATTTTTTGGCTTCTTTAAAATTTGCTTGATTATTTCATGACTAGCTCAATTTACAGTGGAACTCCTGTATAACAAACTCCTCTACAACAAAACTCTTGCATAACAAACAATTTTTGAATCCCCGTCTTCTACTGCTCAGTGCATTGAAAACTCCTGTATAACAAAACTCCTTTATGACGAACAAATTTCCAGTCCCCGACTGATTCGTTATACAAGAGTTCCACTGTATCTCTGATGTTGATATTTAATATTTATTTATGACCGGGGACTGGGGGGGGGGATTTCCTCTTCCCCCCAGGAAATAAATTTCGAAAAAAGTTGAACGTGGTCCCCCAGTGGATTTTTTTCGACCCTCGTCCCCAGACCAAAAGTCCCCGGCCCTGACTCTATTATTATTTATATGTTTTATAATACAAGCAGTAAAAATTTACATTACAAAAAACGGCCTAATAGAAAGAATTTTTACGTCGTTTTACTAGGAACTAAATTTTGTGTTTTAAAATCGAAAAAATTTTAATTTTAAAAATTATAGTCAAAAAATACTTAACAGATTTATTATTCTTATATAAGCACCAATTGATAACGCTTTTTGATTATTAGACTTAAACACGTTACCTTATTCAAAATTGTCATCTTCTTCGTTAGGTATCTCCGAACCGTCATCTGAATCACTGTCAGAATCAGAAGATCCTGAATCTTTATCAGAATTCACTGATGAATCTTCTTTTTGTGTACAGCCAATATCGTTATCTTTCCATGCTTTCTTAATAAAACTAGGCGAGATTTCAACAGCATTCGTACAGTGGCTAGTATAGGGATTACTGAAAAGAAGAATTTTAACAAAAAATTTTAAAAACTTTAAAAATTCAGGGTAGAGTAAAGTAAATTTTAAAGTTTTGACTTACGTTATCTCTTTGATCATTTTCCCGTTAACAAAAAGTATAAAACCATTGCCTTTTTTGAGGACCTCAATATTAAAATCTTGGTCATGTCTTAATGGTGAAGGAACCTTTAAGGTCCTGTCTCAAGGATGTTTTTTACGGCGCCATGCGAATACAATTTGATTTTTCCATTTTGATGTGCTGGTTTTGAAGAAAACGTTAATGTGAATTGGAACTTCGCAGCAAGTTGAGTTTACCTGGGCTTCAAAGTTACCCTAAAGCAAGCTGTTTAAATACGGTTATTATATGCCGACATAAAAAACCCGCCACACCTTGCCTGTAATTTCGTGTAAAAAATGGCTTGTTCTTTATGTCGGCACCTTATAGATTTGTAAAGCAGAAAAGTCAGGCCCAAATTTTTCGGTCCGGTCTGGGAAGAACTTTGGTTTACTCTAGAGATCACGTGTTCCAGCCCTGCATTTTTAAACATTTGCTTCGGCTTTGCATCGGGCCGAACGTGGGCAAGGCTATGAGTTTGGCAGAAAAAAATAAATTCAAAAATCAGGACCGAACCCAAAAGGCAAGACTATGTTAGTGGTATTTTTCAAGTCTATTTTGTTGAACACGAATTCTACAAAATTTCTCTAAAACTTACCTCAACGTTGTTCATCAACGTTGTAGCGATGTATCCTTGGTTCGGGCTAGCTTTCCCAATGAAATGAAATTTTTCTCCTTCTTTCATGCAATTACAAAATTTTAAAACTCGTGGTCCGTATTCTAGACCAGCTACGAAATTCAAACAAAGCAATATAATAAAGAGGTGAAAAACCGTCGACATGTTCATGGCTAGCGCAATAAATAATACACCATCAATTATACAAGATTTATAAGAAATTCTGTCAAACTAATTAGCATTACAATAAACTTTTATTTTTATTGCAACAGTCCGTAAATAAAAAGTTGCTTTTAAAAATCGGTTGTTATGTGTGAGGTATTTTGTGTAACCAAAAATTAGGAAATTGACTAAAAAAATGATTGTTTCAGTCACTCAAATTTAAAATTTTTGAATTATTTTGGTTTTCAGCGATTGTGTTTTTCCATTTTGAAAGTAGTTGGTGCTACCGAATGGCCGATGGAAGAGATTCTGCAGATCTGTCATTTAACAATATTGACGAATGGTAGAGCAGTAACCAGGTCTTCTGTTACCGTCAAAGCAGTGAGATATTGGCAAACTTTATGATCTGTGCTTATTTTACCTCTTCTGTGAAGCTAGGTAGACAAATGTGAAAAATGAAAAATGTGTTGGGTGGTAGAAGCAAGGATTTTTACGGTAAGCATGACAATTTTTTAAACATTTTTTTAAAGCCGATCTATAAAAAATGTTAATACGCCCTTCTACATCTTTTTAAACTGTAGACGGAAAAAGGTTCAGGTGTAATAATCGATAAATGTCCGTCATACAAGAACTAGACAATCTTGTATGTTGACATATAATAGTTAATTTTTGACCATATTCTGAATATTTTTTAATATAAGCCAAAACGCAAAAAAAACAATAAAAATTAACATTTTAAAAGAACACCTAAAGTAAGATAAAGTGTTTACGTCAATTTACCAGAAAGTAAATTTTTGTGTTTTAAAACATTTTTTTATTTTAATAAATCTAAAAAAAGCTTGAACATTTTTATTATATTATTATAAGCATCAGTTCATGATGCTGTTTGACAATTAGCCTTGAACGCAATACCTTATTCAAAATAGTCATTTTCATCTGTAGTTATCTCCGGACCATCATCTGAATCGTTTGCAGAATCAGAAGATCCTAAATTTGTATCAGCATTTAATGATGAATCTTCGTCTTGTGTACAGCCAACATCGTTATCTTTCCATGCTTTCTTAATAAAACTAGGCGAGATTTCAACACCATTCGTACAGTGGCTAGTATAGGGATTACTGCAAAGAACAATTTCAACAAGGACTTTTAAAAAGTTTAAAAAACAAATTAAGGGAAATTCACAAGTTTTGGCTTACGTGATCCTTTTAACCTTCTTCCCGTTAACAAAAAGTACAAAACCATTGCCTCGTTTAAGGACCTCAATATGAAAATCTTGGCCATGTCTTAACGGTGAAGGAGCGCTTAAGGTCTTGTCCCAAGGATGTTTTTTACGGCACCATGCGAATAAAATTTCGTTTTTTGATTTTGGTTTGCTTGTTTTGAACATAAGGTTAAAGTGCATTGGAACTTCACAGCAAGTTGTGTTTACAAGGGCTTGAAAGTTACCCTAAAGCAGACTTTTATATACAGTCAAGTTTGTAAAGCATCCAATTTAATTGTTTGGTCCGGTCTGGGAGGAACCTTGGTTTACGCCCTGACCCTAGAGATCAAGTGTGCCCGCCCTACGTTTTTTCTCTGTTTTTGCATCGGGCCAGGCCTAGTGTGCAGGGTTATGAGTGTGGCTGGAAAAATAAATTCAAAAATCCGGACCGGACCCAAAAGGTAAAAAAACTCTGCCAGTGGTTGCTTTTCAAGTTTAATTTATTACATAATAGTTTTACTAGAATTTCCCTGAAACTCACCTCAACGTTGTTCATCATCGTAGTAGCGATGTATCCTTGGTTCGAGCTAACTTTCCCAATAAAGTGAAATTTTTCTCCTCCTTTCATGCAATTACAAAATTTAAAAACTCGTGGTCCATATTCTAGACCAGTTACAAAATTCAAACAAGGCAATATAATAAAGAGGTGAAGAAACGCCGACATGTTCATGGCTATTGCAATAAATAAGGAACCATAAATTATAAAAGGTTTATAAGGAATTCTGCCAACCAAATTAGCATTACAATAAACTTTTATTTTTATTGCGGTTGTTCGTGGATAAAAAGTTGTTTTTAATAAAAAAGGCAAAATTAGGAAACTTACAACGGAAATGGTTTGTTTCCGTCTCCCAAATTTACAATTGTTTTATTGTTTTGCTTTTTCAGCAATTGTGCTTTTCTATTTTGAAAGTGTTTGGTGCTACAGAGGTCATTGGAATTGATCCCATTATCCGCCATTTAACAATATTACCGAATGGTAGAGCAGTAAGCGCCGTATGTTATCTTTAAAAGTAGTGGTTTACTGGCAAACTTCATGATCTGTGTTAATTGTACATCGTCTGTGAAGCTAGGTAAACAAAATTTGAAAAATGCGTTGGGCGTAGAAGTAAAATTTGCTACGGTAAGCATGACAATTGTTAAAGGGCCACGAAAGGTCCCTCGAAAGTCATTGGCGTTTTGTTTCAAAAGTTAGGCAGTTTTTTTGCAAAAAACGTGAGAGGATTGGTCTCCAGTTCAGTTTCCCATTTCGAGGGACCATTTTTTAGTCGATCTATGACAAATGTAAATTAGTCTTTCTACATCTTATTACAGACTGTATGGAAAAAGGTCCAGCAGAAATAGTCGATAAATGGCCGTCGTACAAAGAACTGTACAATCTTGGATGTCATCATATAAAAATTGTTTTTTTGATTATTCTGAATATTTTAAATATATAAAAATTAACATTACAAAAGAAGACTTAAATTATAATTGTTTACGTCGCACGTCTGTCTGAAATGGGAAATGATCAATAGTGGCTTTTCGTTGCGAATTGTTTTTAAATTTAATTTTTTGAAATGTAACGAAAAACCAGAAACTTCCATTTCAATTTTTTGTTTTATTTCAGACACACGTGCGTCGGCTTACCAAGAAATAAAGTTTTGTGTTTTAAAACATTTTTTTTACTTTACAAAATGTTGAACAGTTTTATTATTATTATAAGCATCAATTCATGGTGCTGCTTTATAATTAGGTTTGAACGCACTACCTTATTTAAAATAATTATTTTCGTCTGTGTTTATCTCTGGCACGTCATTTGAATTGCTTGTGGATCCAGAAGGTCATTCTGAATTTTCAAGTGATGAATCTTCGTCTTGTGTACATCCAACATCGTTATCTTTCCATGCTTTTTTAATATAACTCGGTGATATTTCAGCACCGTTTGTACAATGGCTAGTGTAGCGATTACTGCAAAAGACAATTTAGAGGAAAAATTTTGCAAAGGCTGCCTTTCTAAATCTTCCCGTCTATAAGATGTTGCGCCCGCCATTGACTTACGTGATCTTTCTAATCCTTTTTCCGTCAACAAAAAGTATAAAGCCATTGCCTTTCTTGAGGACTTCAATATGAAAATCTTGGCCTTGTCTTAATGGTGATTTAGCGCTTACAGACTTGTCCCAAGGTTGTTTTTTTGAGCACCATGCAAATAAAATTTCATTTTTCTGTTTTGGTTTGTCCATTTGAAAAAAAACGTTAGCGTGCATTGGAACTTCGCAGCAAGTTGAGTTTACAATGACTTCAAAGTTACCCTAAAGTAAAGAGTTTGAGTAAAATTAAATTTTTAAAAAATTTATTGGCCCGGTTCAATTTGGCTTTAATTTAGGATTGTATAGATTATGTGTGCCGGCCCTGCTCCGTTCAAATTTGCTGCGGTTCAACCCCAACCCAATGAGTTTTCATTTAAGGGGGGGACCACGTTCAACTTTTTTCGAAATTTTTTTTTGCGCCCGGCCCTGTTTTTAACTATAAGTACAGCGGTTGCAACTTCATGTTATATCAATCAAAATGTAAGTTTTAAAATATTCGTTACGTGGACTTTTACAGAATGCATGTGAAATTTACCTGAACATTGTTCATCAACGTTGTAGCAATGTATCTTTGGTCAGGGCTGCTTTTTCCAATGAAATGAAACTTTTCTCCTTCTTTCATGCAATTACAAAATTTAAAAACTCGTGGTCCATATTCTAGACACACCACAATATTAGAAAAACTTAATATAAGAACAGACACCGCTAGTTCATTCATGGCTAACTCAATAAGTAATAAACCATAAATAATAAGAGGTTTATAAGAAACTCTGCAAAGCAAATTAGCATTACAATGAATTATTTTTATCTTTGCTGCCGTAAATGAAAAGTGGCTTTTAAAACGCAGTTATTATAATATATACGTGCGGTAGGGCTAGCGTTTGAAACAGAATGAAAAATCAGAGAACGTACAGGCTGGGTATGTCTTTATAGGTATGTCTTCAACATTATTATTTATTATATAAAATGTATTCATTGAAATAACGGTTGTTATGGTAAGCATGACAAATGTTAAAACTTGTTTTTAGAGACAATCAAAACTATTACTTTATAAAGTCTTACTACACGATGAATTGTAAAGCTTTTTTAATGTATTAACCGATGAATGATCATTACAAAACAGTCTGGACAACGTGAGATATTGTCATATATATAATAAAAGGGGTACCGTAACACACACCTATAAGTACTTTTTGAAATTAAAATTTTAATCAACTATTGCTTTAAGTGTTTATGATAGTTTATAAAACTTTTCATAATCAGACAGGTGTCGCCTTAAAAAACTTCATCACCGTACTTGTTCCAGTCAAACTCTTCATCTGAATCATCGTCCGATTCGGAGTCAAAGCCAGCCTCTGGCACTGTGCAGCCTTTATCATTATCCTTCCATGCTCTTTCAACGTAAGAAGAAGATATATCAATCCCTCCAGTGCAATGTGAAGTGTAAGGATTACTGTAAAAAAGGATTTAAGAAGTTAGTCTATTAAAAGTGATCAATAATACTTGGACCATCTAATAGGTAACACTCACCTAATTTTCTGTATAAATGTTCCATTCACATGAAACTCAAATCCGTCGCTAGTTTTGCCAATTGTAAAATGATAAGGTTGATGGGCTCTCAAAGCTGATGGTACAGGTATGACTTTGTCCCAACTGCCACCTTTTCGTTTCCACGCAAACAAATATTGAAACTCAGGTCTTCCGTCCTGAGTTTGAAAGCATACATTAACATGAAAAGGTGTTTCCATTACAGCACTTGGGTCTCCTGTCTCTACGTCGCCCTAAAGATATTGATATAAGGGAGGTTGAGAGCCTAGAGAAAGGGTAGACGGGGGTATCTCTTGGAAAAAAATAAGCCCTAGCCCAGAACCCTAGCCCAGAGCCCTCGCCCAAAGCCCTAGCCCAGAGTCCTAGCCGAAGCCCTAGCCCAGAGTCATAACCCAGAGCCCTAGACCAGAGCCCTAGCCTAGAGCCTTAGCCCAAATCCCCAACGCCTAGCTTTAAAGTGTGTTATAGTACCCAAGATCATACTAACAAAACTTTATGGTATAAAAAAACACCTACCTCAACATTGTTCAACAACTGCATAACAACATTTTTCTGGGTTGTCTTGCTATTACCAATTAGATGGAATTTTTCTCCGGCTTTCATACAATCACAAAACTTATAAGCATGTGGTCCCCATTCACCACAACTTACTAAATAGGGTAAAATTAAGATGACAAGGCAAAAAAACGTTTCTTTAAACATGCTGTGGGTTAATAAGAAAAGAAATAAAGCGTTTAACAAGTAGACGGATGCAAGTAATAAAAAATAAATTGAAAGTTATTAGCATCACAATATATGACTTAGCTTTTTAGTATTGTATGGTATATAAAACAAAATGAATTGTATAAAACGTATGTTATTAATAAAAATGAACATCAGTTGAATTTATATACGATGATAAGGTTTATCTTCTACAAAAAATCAAAAATAATATGAACAAAAGATATATTAAAACCGATATGAAAGTAGATCTCAATACATAATGTGACGTCCTTCAGATGTCGCAACCGCCTTGCGTGCCCGCTCACCAGCTACTAACCGTCTTCTGTCCCGCATCCTCCCCCCTCCCCGTCTTGTAGTGCTAGCAACATAATGCAGAATGCCAAGCGCTTCGTTTTCGCGGCGGAACTTAAAGGGTGCGCTTGTGCATGGTACAAATACACACAATAAAAAAAAATAATAACAGGATTAATAGTTTATTCAAAGCTAATTCACGAGTATTTATAAAATTTAGAAATTAAATATTACAATCAATCTTCTAGCTCTGTGCATCCTTTATCGTTGTCTTTCCAAGCTTTTTCAATGTTTGTATAGGATACAAATGCTGCATTTGTACAATTTTTAGCACGGGGAGTACTAAAATTTTGTAAATTATTACCTTGATATTTTTTTTCTGCTGTAGTAAAATATTTTCTTCAATAAACCAGACTTGGACCGGGATAAAGCAAAATTGAAAAAGACAGGGCCGGAAACTGTGGGCTCGAGGAGGCCCGAACTAAGGCCCGGCCCGGTTCTGTTGCTTACTATAGGCAGAGTATGACAGTTGATCATAAGATATAACATACGCCTAAACTTTTCTTACAAAAAATTTTTTAAAGATACTGTCCTGTTATAACATACTTGATGGTCTTGATCAACGTCCCATTCAATCGCAACTCAAAACTTTCGTGTTTTTTGGTTACAGTGTAATGAAAAGCTTCGTTTCGTTTCAATTTCAATGGCATGGTTTCAGTTTTATCCGAGAAAACAAGTCTTTTTCCTCGTCTAAACTTGTACTGATTGATTGGTACGCCTTTTGAAAAAAGCATGTGAGCTGAGAATGGTGTTTCAAAAAACTTGCTTATGAAGTCTGGGTGGTCGCCCTGTAATTAACTTTGTATAAGTTTAGTTTAGGCTTATATGTGCCGACCCGCACACATAAATTTGCTTTGAATTCGAAAATAATGACTGAACTGAAACATACCTTAGGAACATTATTAAGCAACTGGATCATAAAATGCGTTTGATCCATTCGACTTTTACCAATAACATGAAACATTTCACCGTTTTTCATACAACTACAGAAGTGATAATCAAATCGTCCGTCTTCACCACAATTTACACCACTCAGTAAGTAATTTACAGCGAAAACAAAAACTAAGAATTTATATTGCATAGTTGCAAGCAATCTAGAAGGCCTATTATGCTTTTATAAAAGCAGTATTAAATTATGCTTCCTCGATAAAAAAGAAAATTTAGCATTACAAGAAAATTGGAATTGTTGATTTATAAATAAAATTTCATAAGCTGTTTTTGAATATGCTTAACAATCTCAATTTTAAAATTTAGCGGCAATCTGTCCAAAGATAAAAACGTAGTTTCAAAAGTGGTACAGCTAAGGAACGAACCGTACAACTCTAACCTCTGCGATGAAAAACTGGCAACTTTACCTTGGGATCCCTGGAACTTAATGATGAGATTCTGAAGTCAGCGGTGAAAGAAGAAAATTAAAAACGACAGGAGAACATGTCAAAGAGCTTAGAGTTTGTCACACTACTGTGCAGAATCATCTGAATTGTCGAAATAAAAAAAAGGGTCGCAGTCTGGTAAAATCCGCCATTCTTTCTTTTCAACCTAATAGCATGCCCACACGATTTATTATACAATAACAGTGCAATACAAATGAGCAAATTATACGCTTAATTCGAAAAATTAATAAGCCCATAAAAGACATGGTTTGCAATTCGTATAGAAAAGCAAATTAAGTTGCTTTATATTCAAAATTTTTAAATTTTATAGGTTTATCTTATATAAAACTTTATGTTTTACGTTGAATATTATAGTCATGCTTAACATAACCTTCTTCGTTCTGTTGCTTTTATTTAATTTTTTGAATTTTGTTTCTACTGATGATGGACCAAATGTTTTCCCTTTCTGTGATTGTATGAAGAGTGGCGAAAAAGTTCATGTTATTGGTAGAAGTCGAAGTGATCAATCTGATTTTGTTATTCAGTTGGCTAACAACGTTCATATTGTACGGTTTTTGAAAATTTGAAAAAAAGCTAACTTAACTTTTAGCTTTAGTTTAACCCCAAGCTTTAGCCTTAGCGAGAGGTGAGCCAGCTTTGTCTTTGTTATGAAAATGAAATTTCAGGGTGATTTGAGATATGGAGTAGAGAGGACTCATGAAACTCCATTTATAGCTCACATGTTTTTTAAAAATGGAAAGGGCGTTAACGGTAACAGATACGTGTTTTCGTCCGGTAAAAATGAGCACATCAAAGATAAGGAGGTTACTGTGCCTATGAAATTGAGGCAAAATGAAGGTTATCAGTTTACTATAACCAAAAAAGGATTGAGTTTTGAACTACGCTTGAATGGAACTTTGATCAAGAAGTTGCCACCGTAAGTCAAAGGGTATAATAAAGTAAGGAAGAGTAAGGTAGGGTAGGGTAGGGTAGAATAGGGTAAGAAAATGTAAAAATTTAATTAAGTATTACAGTAACCCCAGAGCCAAGCGTTGTACCAATGAAGTCTACATATCGTATACCGATATCAAAAAAGTCTGGAAGGATAACGACCGTGGTTGTACAATGCCAGAAAAAGGATTCACTTATAATTAAAAACTATTTTTATTTTACAACGTTTTTTATATAGTAAAAATTTTGGGTCTCATGAAGAATAATGCCCCCAAACATGAAGAATAATACACCATGTAATTCAAGAAGAAGAACATACTCGCGTGAAAACTCAATGAAATAAAAATAATTTGTTGCAGTAAATTAAAGAATTTAAAAAACTTTAGCAGCCGAGGCCAAGTTTGGCCAAAGAAAAATTAAAAGGATTTCTGAGATCTGCCATTTTACGCAAACTGTCAAATCTTTTGTTGCGGGACTTTAAACTAAATCTTTAGGGCTTTTATTTAGGCTTGGCTTTCAAACTTAAACGTTCCGGCGCGGTCCGGTTCCGTTAAAATTTAATTCGTGTCATATTTGGATCAGTATGTTGATCCTATTGATATAAACTAGGCTTTATATGTCCTGCAATATAAGGTTATAAGATTTACCTTCACTTAACAATCAACAATACAGGGTGCGCCCAATGATCTGTTACACGGTTTTTTAATCAAATATTTATTTTAACAACAAATATAACTAAAACAACAAATAATAATAGTAACATGTAGTACTAGTTATAACATAGTCAATCGGTTTCAAAGTGTCCCCCTTTTGCAGCTTGGCACAAGCGTAAACGCTTCAAAAAGTTTTCAGAGACGGGCCGCAGTACCTCCGGTGACAGTTTGCCCCACTCTTCGATCAATGCTTGTTTCAAAGACTCCAAAGTTTGGTGTCTTCTACAACACACTCTTGCCTCCAATATCGACCAAATACTGTAATCCATCGGGTTGAGATCGGGGGAGTACGGAGGCCATTCAGCTGAGGTGATAAAGTCCGGAAAATGGGCCCGACACCACTCCTGTGTTGTTTTGGCTTTACGGGTTGGAGCAGAGTCCTGTTGAAACGTCCATTTGGTGTTCTTGAAGTGTTCTCGGGACCAAGGGAGTACCACAGCTTCCAAAATGTCCCTTTGATACACTTCTTTGTTGATCTGCACGCCCTCATCGACAAAAATCAAAGGGGTCTTGCCCGAAGCACAGATACCGGCCCAAACCATAATGCCCCGAGGGTGTTGACGACTTGCCACGATGGCTTCAGCTTTAGGAGGCACTGTTGAGTATTACCTGTCATTTTGGGGATTGTAGGCCTCTGTACAATGTAAATATCTTCTCATCAGTGAAAAGAATTCGTTCACATTTTTGACCAGCGGCCCGCTGGTGAAGCAGTTTACATCTTGTGAAACGTAGCGCCTTGTTTTCTTCAGTTAGCTTCTGAACTTTTTTGAGTTTGTACGGCTTCATCTTAAGATTCTTTCTCACTATGCGCCTCAAAGTAGTTTCTTTGATTCCCGTCTCCCGGGCCATCTTTCGTACTGGGGTCCGTGGATTTCGCATGAAGCGCTTCTTGATCATCTGTCGATTGGCCACGGTGTTAACAGATGGTGGACGCCCGCTTTTAGGTCTGTCACGGTCATGTCCAAGCTCTTCGAAACGTTTTACGGCTCTGTAGACTGTCATTCTTGGAATATTCAACAATTTCGCAATTTTGGAGTTACTGTTCCCTTCATTATGAAATTTGATGACGGCAGCTCTCATGTTTGACATCTAAAAACAGACAGACAGTAGACAATGAAGACTTAACTTTTATGATTATACAATTAAAAAAACACGGAGAATAAGACAAAATAAACAATTTTAAATAATTTAACCGCAACATTGAGAAAACGACCGGTAAAGTTTTGTAACAGATCATTGGGCGCACCCTGTAATATAATTATAAACCAATCTAACTTTAACTCATAATTCCAAATGACTGACCGTTCTCCTCTTGTCGTGCTGGCGTTTACATGGTGCGGAATGCCAACTGCTGTTCGTAGTCGTGGCGGGTCCTAAAGGGTACGCCCGTGCTAGGATTATAAAGTGATGTTTATAAAGTATTATAAAAGACTATTCTAAAGTAAAAGTTCAATACAAGAAGAAAAATTATACGCTTAATTCGAGAAATTTAATAAAAGCCCATTAAAGACATGGTTAGCAATTCTCATGAAATAGCAAATTAAATTGGTTTTTATCAGAAAATTTTAAATTTTATAGGTTTTTCGTATAGAACTTTGTATTTTATTATATTGAATAGTCGTCATGCTTAACAAAAGGTTCTTTGTCCTATTAACTTTTTTAAATGCTGTTAGCCCTGACGACGGACCAAATGTTTTCCCTTTCTGTGATTGTATGAAAAGTGGCGAAAAAGTTCACGTTATTGGTAACCCGGACTGATCAACCTGATTTTGTCATTCAGTTGGTTAACAACGTTATACTTGTACGGTTTTTTAAAATTTAAAAATTTAAAAAACTATTAGTCTAGCCTTAGCCTCAGTTTCAGTTTTAGTCTTAGCTTTACCCTTAGCCTTAAACTTAGTTATGAAAATGTTATTTCAGGGTGATTTGAGATATGGAGTAGAGAGGACTCATGAAACGCCATTTATAGCTCACATGATTTTTCAAAATAAAAATGGCGTTCACATGAATAGATACTTGTTTTCGTCGCGTAAAAGTCTTTTTTATAAAGATAATAATTTCTTTAATGAGACTATGACGTTGAGACAAAATGAAGGGTATCACTTTACTATAACCAAAAAAGGATTGAGTTTTGAACTACGTTTGAATGGAACTTTGGTCAAGAGATTGCCACCGTAAGTTATAAATTTTTACTTCTCCTTACTGTATCCTCACTATGGCCTTACGTTTGACTTGACGTAGGGTAGGGTAGGGTATTGGAAAATTTATTTGAAATAATACAGTAATCCAAGAGCCGAGGGCTGTGCTAATGAAGTATTCGTATCGTATACCGATATTGAAAAAGTTTGGAAGGATAACGATAAAGGTTGTACAATGCCAGAAGATGGATTCACTTATGATTAAAAAACTTTTAAATTTTTCATTTTGCAACACTTTTAAATAAAATAACCATTTTAATTTTAAATTTGTGTTATTAATAAAACTTAAACTAATGTTTAAAGCCATTATTGATACGCTGCGTAAAAAGTAAAAAATAAGTTTTATCCTCAAATTTAATATAATATTACATATCATTATCCAAAGAAAGCAACGCATTGACTATTCTCATCTGCCGTGATCTCCGGGTAACTGCCATGATGAGCCTTAGGTGGTGGATGAGGTTTACGTGGTTTATGTTGAGCTGGTTCTTCTGGAAACGGTTCTTCTGGAGCTGGATCCTCTGGAGGGTCTTGAGCAGGTTGAGTACATCCGGCATCGTTTTCTTTCCATACTTGATTAATATAAGTGTTTTCTTTGATGTAGATGCCTTTAGCACAGTGTTGACTGCGGTCGTTACTGTAGTAACGTAAAAATAAGTCTTGCATTGAATTAGCTTTGACATTAGCCCAGAGCATTAGCGAAAGCATTAGCCAAGAGTTCTAGCTCAAAGCCTTAGCCCGGAGCCTTGGCCTAGAGCCCTAGCCCAGAGCCTTAGCCTAAACCCCTAGTCCAGAGCTTTTGCTTTTGCTCTTGTCTTAGCCCCAGGGCTCTAACCTACCCTGCAAGCTTCACTTACACAAAAGTTTTGATTAAAGTCCCGTTCAACCTCAAATCGAAGCCCTGTCCATGTTTGTAGATCTTAAAATGATATCTTTGGTTTTGTTGTAGAGTCATCGGCACGTTTTCCACTTTGTCCCAGTTGGCTGTTACCGGTCCAACCGCAAATTGATAATGCATGTTAAGCCCAGGCACCGATGGATGTTGGAACCAGGGATGACAATGAAATGGGGTTTCATAGTAGTTGCGCTTTTCTGGTGGAGTGTCGTCTGGCTAGAATATTGTCGTAAAGATAATAAAAAAACTTTAAATTGTTAAATAAGGTCAATTCCAAGTTTAAAAAAAAGTATTAATTACAGTTTTTTAAATTAAAAAAAAATTGAAAAAGTCAAAAATATTGTTTGTGAACCAAAGTCTATTCAAAATTCTTTAATTTTTGATAATTTTTAAAATTTTTTGAAATTAATTTTAAAATTAGACAATATCGTTTTGTAAAGCCTAAAACGTTGTATCATTCGCTAAAGTTTTGATACCATATCTGGTTTATTGAAAAAGTTGCAACCTTTTAAAAACATAAAATTAACCCAATTTTCAGAGAGGAAGCGAACTTTTTTGATCTTTGACTAAACTGCATAACTTCGACATAAGTCAAGGTACCAATCCAAAAATTTAATAATAAACATAATTTTAGATGTTTTACAACTTCTTAGCTAAAATTTTTAAAAAGTCAAATTTTTTTATTTTGATTACGGTAGTTTACTTGTAAATTTATAAAAAAAATTATTATGAATTGAAAACGACAAATTTTATATTTTGCCCACCCTAACCTATCCTATTTTACTTTAACTTATCCTTCCCTGCCCTAACTTACCCTGCCTTACCCCACCCTACCATAAAATAAATTTTTATCCTTCTCTACCCTACTCTACTATACTCAACCATAAATAAAATTTTTATTCTATTTTACTTTGGCCTACCGTCTAAAAAAATTGAGTTTTACAAAAATTTTTAAAAAGTACAGTAATTTTCCTACCGAATCCGTGTTCAAAACATGCATGATAAAGTCATGCTGATCAGGTCGACTCATCCCAATAACATGAATACTTTCACCTTCTTTAAAGCAATTACAAAAATGGTACATCTTAGGAGCTTCTTGGCCGGCATTTACAATTTCCACAAGAAAATACAATACACACAACGATATTATCATGATGGTATGTTAGCACAAAAGCTAGGAATTGAAGTAACAAAAAATTGCAAACATATCAAAGGTTTATTAATTTATTAGCGTATCATTTGCATCTATTAAATTATACGTTCAAAGAGAATATTATGCGTTTATGCGGTCGTACTGAAACGATTGTTGAAATATATTAATATAGCATAATGTGAATGAAGGGGTCGCTCACTTTTGACGTTTTTTGTGACATTTCATAGCTTTTTTGGCTTTAAAACTGAACATACAATAAATAGCATGAAACTGCAAAAGTGATTTGTTTTCATAAAAATTTTTGAACAAACTACAGTAACCCTGAAATACAATAAATTTTAAAAATTCGAAAATTAAAAAAAAATAGATAAAAGTTAAAGTTTAATAAACCTAAAACAACATAATTTCACAACTAAACACATTTTTAATAATGAAAAAACACTAACTTCCAAATTCACTAACTTCCGTATAAAATAAATCCGCAGCCTGCACAAATTCTATCAATTCATTCGCACAGTGCGCAACAGAAAACAATTTTTTGAAGCAATTTTTAACGAAAATTGGATCAAAAGAAGATACCAAGACGAAAACGACAGAAATGTGATGGCAACATGATGCATTTAGTGTGCCAAACCTGATCAATGAGTGGAGCTGGTCAAATGTAAGTTTTTTCTTGGTTTTTTGTGAGTTTAGGTTTGGAAATGGAGTAAAAACATGGATAAGATAATGAAGAAGAGCTTTTTGGGTTTGCGGTAAATTATTGTGATTTGCTAGGCTTAAAAGAAGCTGTGAAGAGTTTATAAAGCTGTAAAAACGTCTTAATTTTGTTGGATTTTGAGAAATATTGTTTATGGCATCTGGTTAGGGTTTAGTCACTAAAAACGGACATAACTTTTTGAAAATTTGGTATAATATCAAGTTATTGCTTTTATAATCTTTTCAAGGGTCTTGCAAGCAGATCTTGTCAAAGTTATGGTATAAGAAAAGGTTAGAATTTGAGGAGAAATGAATAAAAAGTTATTTTAACCATGAGCAATATTACTCATGCCTTCTTTTTTATTAGTATGGTCTTTCCTCTGTGTTTTTGATGGAGTTTTAGTTTATTTACTGAAATGTATTTTTAGGATTGAATTTAGGTATTTTAAGAACAAAATTTGATATTTTTATTGTGTTGTAGAAGGTTGGTTGAACTAAAAAATGGTTTATTGAGAAGATATTGCGATTTTAAAGTTTAGCATAATCTTGGTAGATATAAAATAATGTGAAGAATGTTTTAGAAAGCACAGATTTGATGATAACACAGTGAACTGTCAATTTTTGAGCTGTGAACAACTTCACCTTGATTCAATACCTCCATGCCGGAAAAAATGTGCCAATTGGATAAATGTCGCTTCAGCTGGTGAAATTTGTGGATCTAATTAGGAAGGATATGAACATGTAAGTTGATTTTTTTAGGTTTTTAAATTTTTTTAGGTATAGTGAAGCTACTATAATATTGAAAAATGGGTTAGAATGAGCTGAAAATTTTAAAGTCAGGCTTTAAACTTACTTTTTTAAGCACAAACCGAGTGAACTTGATCAAACTGATTATAAGAGTTATGTTTTTTTTGTAATTTGAAATTTTACATCCCAACTACTTTTACCCCGCCCGAAATTGTAAAACTCTTGGTTACGCAACCGACTTCTTTACCTTTATTGACCCGATTATTTGTCCAAGCGATGGGGACGAAGAGAGACAGCGAAACGGAACAACAATCGCTTTCACGGAAATAATAGTACTGCGTGTCTAACGCGCATTACCAGCGGATTACTGGGTCAGTTTTGATCTTGACACGCTTTTTCGAATTTTATAGTGACCGAGAGGAACGATCGAGGTTGGGAACGTTGGCCAAGCCGGAGGGTTTTGTGGGTATAAAAGTGATTGGTAGGGTATATTTTTAGAGGGGGTAGATTTTTATGGTACGGTATATTTTTAGGGTTGGGCAGATTTTTTAGGGAAGGGTTACACTTGTAAGGAGTTAATTATTTGGCCTCTGGGGCTTTGTTTTGGGCTTGGGCACTTACAAGTGTTAGGCCCTCCTGGTCCCTTTTAATTTGCTTTGGACCGGCTCGACACGCCTCGGGGGCCGGGCCTTGTAGGCCCTCTTTCAACTCTAGGGGTAGGTTTTTCCAGGTTATGGGGTAGGGTAGGGAAGAGCAAAGTACAGTAGGATAGTGTACGACTTTAATTTTGTAGTGTCCATTTCATTTTTCGTAGCGTTAATCATTTGATTTTCCAACTTTTACCGGTCAGTATGTTTGTTCCGTTTCCTTGAATAAACACAATTTCATTGAAACCCTCACATCAAGTGAGAATTAGGAGCGGCTAATCCGTCGTGGCTAATTCAGTAGCGCTCGGTACCGCTGATTTTTTTATCCGTTTTTCGAAATTTTACGCGGTTTTTTATAGTTTTAAGGTAAAATGGACATGAGTACTATAAATAAATAATAGTACTATTGGGTACGATCTTTTTTATAGTGTTAGAACTTTACAAAATTTTTATTTTTATTAGCAAAGCTAGGTATAGAGGTCTGATCTTGCGAAGTCCTACCTCACTTTTAGCAACAAAGATTGAACAAACTTTGCGTGGTCTTACCTAACTAATATTATGATTTTATAGTATAGCCTTAGAGAAATTGCAAGAAATGTTGTTGCGCAACGTTTCTTATGTAACTTTATGGTCTTTTGTAATATTTGCCTCGATGTAAAACGACCCAAAAAATTACTGCGAGTACGGCAATTTTACTTTGAATCTTTGTGGGCTATTGTTTTTGATATCTCTTGGATTTCACGGCTGAAAAATACCGCTAGGCCTAAGAGCTGGCAAGGATAATCTTAATGTGTTAAAGTTTTCCTGCGGCGCTTAAGCTTAGTAAGCCAAAGCCTACTAAGTTTATATTAAGCTTAAGCTTACTAAGCTAAAATCCACTATGTTTAAGTTTACTAATCTTAAGTGTATTAGGTAAGCCAACTAAGCCAAACTTTACTAGGTTTAAGTCTGCTATGCCAATGTCTATTAGGCCTAAGTCTACTAAGGCAAAGTATACTAGTCTTAAGCCGGCTAAGCCAAAGTCTACTAAGCCTATGCCTATCAACTCTAAGCATACTAATACTAAGCCTGTCTAGCTGAAGCCTACTAAACTTGTTAGCTTTAGAAGTTTTTATCTCAGTCTTCCGTCAACCAAAAATACCACTAAAAGTTTTCGATTCCGGTCAATTAAGTCCCGTTCATCACACCATTGACTGTGGTATTGTCGAGCCGTCAAATTAGTAAACAATTAGTATAGTCTAGGCCTCAAGCATAACGCTCCGAAGGGCTATTGTGTTAAGAGAAACGTGTAACAATATCTGAAGAACCTTTGTGATGGCCACGCGACGTCTCGATTTCAGGTCTGCGTGGATTTGTGATGGCCGGCCGCGCGGATAAACGGTCGCGGGGTTGATTTTTTTCATGTTTCTTGTTTGTTACACGTGTTGGCGGGCCTAATAACCGACCAGTCGGGTTTCGGAAACCGTTTACGAACCGGTGCCAGGATTTTTAGGAGGGGGTTTTTATAGATAGGACTTTTCCTAAATTATGGGAGGGGCTTTTATAAGTTAGGCTTACAAGGGAGTTGCGCCAAATATCCCATGGGTATTAGAACGATACCTGTATAGAATGCAAGGGCAAAAAGTTACCAAGAAAACTATTTTCAAAAACTGCAAACTGGCCTTGGCTAGCGAGATATTATTACATAATTTACACAGGGTGTCCAAATTGAACCTTCTTACTAAGAATATTGACCGTACTGTAACTTGCTAACCAAGGATATGTAGCAGATTTTGAAAATGGTTTTCCCGGTAACTTTTTATGCTCTTTCATCCTATATAAGTATGTATTGTTCTAAAACTTGAGGGATATCTGGTGCAACTGTTAGTATGGTCAATTTGAGTTGTAATCGAAAATGGTTAGAGAGGATGGAGGGCCTTTTTTGAAAGGGAGGGTAAATTTTTTTTGATTTTGATATGAATTTTAGGCCTAAGCTGAATTTTAGGCTTATAAGTTAAATTTAGGCTTAAAAAATAAATTTTAGACTTAAAATTTTTGTGAAATTTTGGATTTTTTTTTGTATTTTATACCTGAATGTTAAACCTTCCACAAGACCTGAAAGGAGATCCACTAGGCCTTGTCCTAATTTGGTAGGAATCGGACTGACAGTTCTGGGCCCGAGGGCCGGAAACCCAAACTAAAGCTCGTCTCGGCTCTTTTACTGATCTACTTTTTCTACATATTTTATTTTCCATCTCACCTAAAAAACGAAAAGTTCAACAACCTTTCATCAGATCAAGGTTATTATAACAAACATTGAACCGCCTATCAGTAATAGCGGTTTCAACCGCCGCAAACAGTCTCTTTTCGGTCGATTCCAGCTCATGCGTCAACACAAACTCAAGTGGGGCCTCCCGGTCCCGATGCTTAATTTCTTTCTTCAAGGCTTGGGGGCCACTTGAGCAAGTGGACGTTTAATGACCGCTGCAGATATTGGGGGAACGGACTTGACAAAGAATATGTTTGTTCATCATGATTTAACTGTTTTTTTTTTGTTTTGGCATGGGTTTTGGGAAGAGTGGGGATTGGTTTAGGTTTTTGATTGTGTTTTTTTGGTAATAAAAGAGGGGGTAAAAATTTGTCTTGGCCTTTATGGGGGTGGTTAGAGGTTTATGATGATTTAGAAATCTTATTGATGGAGGAGGGAGGGGGATTGATGGATGATTTAAAAGGTTAAGAAAACGATAGTCTAATGATTTTTTAAAAAAAGTTTTGAAATATAAAATTTTTAGGCTTAAAGATGTAGTTTAGGGTTCAAAGTGCATTTTAGGTTCAAAAATTATACTTTAGGCTTAAAGTGACTGAAAAATGATATTTAAGCTTAAGAATGATATATTAAGCAAGAATGATATATAAAGCGTAAAACTGATATTTTATGCAAGAAATGATGCTTTGGATTTAAAAATGCATTTTAGGCTTAAAAATTAAAACATGCTTAAAATTATGTTTAGACTTAAGAATGAGATGTTAGGCCTAAAGGCGAAATTTTAGACTTAAAAATGATATTCTTGGCTTAAAAATTACAAGTTGTACAGTGCCGGCGGTAAAAAATGGGACACGACGGTTTTTAGTGTAACTTTCTTAAAACTAAAAGAGTAAGGCACTTATTTTCGAATATAGGGTACGGTCGAATTACAGTAACTTTTTTGCATCGACAAGAAAAAAAATTCCTTTGCAATTTCGTTGACAAAAAGATTGCAAAATCGCAAAAATGTTAAGCCTTACTCTGTTAGTTTCAAAAAAGTTACAACCAAAACTGTCGTCAAATTAGAATTAAAGTTAAGAAATGCATTCTTAGGCTTAAAGATTACAACTTAAATTGAATTTAGGATTTAAAAACGAAATTTAGATTTAGTATAGGTAAAATACGATCGATTTGGTTGGCTCTGTTTATTAAAGTCAATGTCTGTAACCCATTCCAGACCAATTTAGTTTTATTTTTACTTTTTTTTGCGTGGAGATATTTAGTTTCGACAATATAAAATAACTTGAATGTAAAGAAGATTGATTTTCAGACATGCGGAAGCCGCTATACGACATGGTAGTATGGGTAATAGCCTTTCTTTTTACAATTTTCAATATCACAGTGGCAACTGAAATGGTAGGTGTTTTTGGTTGGTTGGTAAAATACGGTTTTGCGTTGTGCAATTGTCTTGTTTTCATATTTGCTCAGGCCGGCCCGGTTGGAAAATTTTTGAACCTACTTTTAAAGCCAGGCCCTCGGGGTGGATCTATCTTTTAGGCCCGGCCTGTTTCAACTTTAGCTCAAGATCGGTCTAGCGTAATCTTATGGCCGGGCTGGGCTTACAGGGCTCTTTTTTCATCCCTAATGGCGACATTTTGAAATTCCAGTTCCACTCAACAACAAACAACGCCTCTTCGGGTTTGGCGGGTAAGGCAATGCGACACTACGCCGTCCCAGCCTATACCGGCTCAAGTTCTCCACAGCTGTACGCTGTACAGCCTCAGTATCCTCAATATTACTTTGGTGAGTTTAAAATTGATTCAAGAAAATTAACTTTGAAATTTTTTTTAATTTTCAGAAGTTTTTCAAAAAATTTTTTTTTGAAATTTTTAAAAAATTAAAAAAATTAAATTTTAAGTTTTTCTTTTCAATTTTATATGACACAAAAGACTCATTTTAAATACATTAGGTGCAGTTTCATAAATATTTGATACTTTTTTTAATGTTAAAATAATTGTGCGTCTAATTTCAAAAATTTATTTTGGTGGGGGGCACAGAATTATTTGAACAACATAATAAAAAAGGTAAAAAATTTGGTACCTTATCTAAGGCTGCTCGCGTTCATAAGGTAGCAAGAATGGGTATAAAACCGGGTTTTATGAATCTTAACGATGATAATGTGCTAATGAAAATGGTTTTTAACTTTTTTAAAATTTAACCTTAACTTTGATTTCTAAAAATGTGATACTTAACATACTAAAAATGTTAGTTTTATACCTAAAAAAAACACTAAAATGTTGCTTTTAAATCTCTACAAATGAGATTTTTTGGCTTAAAAATCATTAAGTGTTAGATTTTTGATCCTAAAATTGCTAAAAATTGGTTTTTTGGCCAAAAAATCACTCAAAATGAGCTTTTTTGGCAAAAAAGTGAGTAGCTTTTTGACTTAAAAACTAGTTTTTTTTGGTTGGAAACTTACTAAAACAACGATTTTTTTACCTAATCTTAACCCTAACCCAATAACTTATACAGGACCTCAACCTACGAATCCATGTTTATTACCTCAACAAGTCGGCACCGGGCCCTACCGTATCCCACGATGGTATTTCAATCCGGCTCGACAGGCCTGCGAGCTGTTTTACTGGTCGGGTTGTTGTGGTAACAGTAATAACTTTCAAACTTACCACGATTGTCAGAAGCGGTGTGAAGGTAAATTTTGGCATTTTAACTTACAATTTGATGTTATTGTAGGTTACGGTACTTAAATTTTAAAAAATTTGAAAAAAATAATTATCGACCGGTTGATAAATTTTTGAGTATTTTTTTTTGATTGGTGAAGTTTTACAATGGTATGTGGGCTTTATTGTTCATAAATAATTAAAAATTATAAAAAAATTATCGACCGGTCGATTATTTTTTTATGTTTTTTGAAAAATTCAAGTACTTTTAAGGTATGCGGACGTTAGGGCCAACTTAACATAGTAAAAACTACATATTACTGTAATAGGATACTGTAGGTAACATAAATATCATTAACCTACTGATGTATAGCCAACATACCATAACATACTCTACTAGTCCCATATAAACATGGCTAGCAGTGTACCAATCTAATCATGAAAACCTACTAAATTTAGGAGGCAACGCCGCCAAACCTAATACTGTGGTATTTGTGCCGTTTACACTAACATTTACAATGAAACCGACTGGTAATAGTAATCTGAAACCGCTCCCAACTGCGCCCACCGCCAGTTGTCCGCCCAACGAATGTCCGCCTGGCCATGTCTCGGTACCACCAACTCCATTGATACAAGTACCACAAGTGGCACCATCTCCACGCCCACCAGTACCAGTTGGACAACGGGTAGGACCAAATGGGCAAATAGTACCAAGTTCACCATTGCCAGTACCAGGTGGGCCAAATGGAGTACCAGTAGTGCAAAGTGGACAAGGTGGACCAGTACCACAAAGACCCGTTTTTCCGCCGCGGGTAGAACCAACCTTTGTACCAGTAACTGCGGCTCCAGTAGCACCACCTATACAGTTAAGGCCTATCATTCCGGTTCCAGGTAAGTGGGTGTAGTGATGATCAATTCTGAAGTTGACGTATTTTACTAATTTTAAAATTTCAATTTTTTTTGAAAATTTAAAAAATTTTTAACTAACCCCTTTAGTGAATGCATGCGAGTTCGAACTCGATCAAGGTGTGGGTTCAATGGAACTAATGCGGTACTATTATAACAAAAAACTCCGCCTGTGCGAGGAGTTCAAGTATCGCGGCCGCGGCGGAAACCGCAATAACTTTTTATCCTTACCTGAGTGCCGTAATGTGTGTCCAGGTAAATTTGATGTGATAACACTGAATTCACCTGTTTGTATCAGCACTGAGTTATCACCAGTGTTTTGCCGGACCGGTCCGGATGAGAATTTTTTCGGTCCGGTCCGGTACGGCTCTATTTTTTTTGCTCAGGTCCGGTCCGGTCCGGAAAAAAAATTTTTTATTTTTAAAAAGAGCCAAGAGCGCTAAAACTGCTTTCTTTATGTTTAAAAACTCTTAAAAATATGTTTTATTTGCAATTTTTAAAACAGTTTTATTAAAATTAAAAAATTTTCGGTCCGGTCCGGTCCGGCTTTATTTTCTTTTGGTCCGGTCCGGACCGGACGGGTCCGGCAAAACACTGGTTATCACAGATGGCACAATACATTTCTTTGAAGAAAAAATGAAAAGATCAGAGCAATGTTTTATTAAACTTGATGGTTAATATAAGAAAGGTCATAACTTTTTTAAAATCAAATGAATTTTACAAAATTTGGCAGAAATGTCAACTAGTATACACTTCTACTGTGTGTAAACTTTTATCGTGCTAGCTTAAAGTTGCTATGAGTTCTGACCAAGTTTCTGGACCAAAGTCCTAACCAACTTGATCGAAAAAATTCAAAAAATTATAACTGATAACCAGGCAGTAGCTATTATAAAATTTAGCAATTGGGCTTACAAGGTTCTTTTCTTACAATATTTTAAGTTTCATTACGATGGTTTTAGTTTTCTTTGGGTTATAATCAAAATTAGAGACCAAAGTTATATTACACTAGACCTTTTGACCTTTAAACAGTCATAACTTATGTCAAAGTTTATAAAATAGCACAAAACTTTTTAAACACGTAAAATACAATTTATTTTCACTAAAAACATTAAAACCACACGGTATTGAACATGCACCTCCACAAAATTAAAAACAATTAAATTCGCCTTCACTTTTTTCACGATTTTTCACCAAAGCTCAATTTTTTTTTTCAAATTTCATTTTTATGTTCACAAAATTTTTTAGAAAGCCCATCCCCATGTTCTTACGGAGAGCTGACACCAGCTTCTCAACCGCTACAATGTCAACCCGGTTCGACAGTCGCTCAAACATGTTCTGGAGAGCAGTTCTGCCACGTTGGAGCTTCGCCTCAAACTACTGTCTGTTGTCCGAAGCCGGGTAAGGGTTTTAAAATGATTTTTTTTAGGATTGCTTTTTTGCGGCATTTTGAGAAGGCTGAAAATGAAAATTTGATTTTAGAGTGAGAAAATTTTGACATTAGGACCTAGTTCATCGTATTATTTGGCGAAAATTATTTTTTTTTGGTCTTGATATATCCATCATAATACCAATAAAGTAGAAGAAACTGTGATGCTTCAACTCGTATTTTACTTTATTTTGCATTTTTCACGCTTGTGTACCTATTATTTTTACTTTTTAATTTATCTTGTTTTTCATCATGGTTAATATAAATAGTTTCGAGCTAAAACATACCTTCTACTGCTCATAAAACTTGTTTTTTAGCTGACGCAGATCCCTGTAACCAACCGATAAACAATGGCATTGGAAATGCCAACTTACAAAGATGGTATTTTAATTCAATGGCGCAACAGTGCCAGCCAATGCAATACCGAGGTCTTCAAGGAAATGAGAACAACTTCTTGACTCAGAATGCTTGTCAAGTGCAATGTCAAGGTATGATTTTACTTTCTGTTTTGTGTTTTAGGTCTAAAAAGGTTGATTTTTGGATTTTATCGACGATTTCACGATATAAAAATAGACGAACGACTTGGATAATATAAATTTTTGTCATATTTCAATGAATTCTTAGCGAATATGGCAGATAATACGCTTAAAAGAAGCGGAATTATCTTTTCTATCTTAATTTAGTAAATTCAACTATAATACTAAGTATTCATTAAACATTTTAGTGAATCCATGTCGAGTAGGTATACCCTTCCGAGGTCCATCTGGTGGATTGGCTTATTGTTCAGCGAATGATGCAAGTGAATGTCCAACAGGTTATTACTGTCATATTGGTGGAAGTCCAGCTACAAGTGTCTGTTGTCAAGCTTTAGGTAAGGTTATAAATTGAAAAATTGTTTGGCTTATCTAAAGTAATATAAATTGGTGTTTTTTCGTGAAAATTAGGTTGTTTGGTTGTGCATTTGTATTTTATCATGTTTTTAGTATTCATTTGCTTTACTTTTTTAATAATTTTGTCGTGGTATTGTTGTTGAAAAGCTTCAAAGTGATGGATTTGGATATTGTAGTAGATAACAAACCTGACTTTTCAAAAAAATTGAAATGAATTGCAACTTTAACTTAACCTAGCATTATTAGAATGCTGAGTATTGCTGTATATAACAGTGTGTTGTGTGAATAACAAGTTTTAGATGTGAATCTGTGCAAAGAATCAAAGGAAGAAGGCGAAGGTCTGGAAAGACTGATCCGGTACTATTTCGATGTGGAGCGAAAAGAATGTCTGCCATTTGAATATAGAGGTTTTAAAGGAAATCCGAACAACTTTATGTCTAAATTGGCTTGTGAAGTAAGTTGGAATTTGAAAAAATTGAAAAAAGGTTGTAGGTATAGGGCCTTGTGATTGATTTGTTCAAAGTTTGAGTCTAAAGTTGAAGTTTTTTAAAAACTGATTTAGTAGGCTTTGTAAAGCATACAATTTTCTATGTTTACTGAAAGTTTTGAGTTGTTAACTTGATTTATGGCAAAGTTATGATCAATTAAAACTGTCAAAAATTGAAAAAAGCTCGAATTTTCGTGGAAAATGACGATTTTTTCATAACTTTGGGCTGTAACTTTGTTAAAACTCAAGCTTTCTTAACAAAACTTGATGATTACAAGCATCGTTTTATGCTTTTCTAAACGTATAATAAAGATTGGGTAATGCATTTGTTAAAAAATTTAAAAAATGAATTTCAGCGCCGCTGCCCAGTCTGGGTGAATCCATGCGCCAAAGGTCAGCCAATTCTCGACCTTACCAACAAACCCGAACTTTGCCACCTAGCCAAACCATGCCCACCAAACTACTATTGTCATATCGGCTTCAACGACGACACTACAGTATGTTGCCCAGCCAGTGCCGCCAACCCTTGTGTAGTACCGTACTCACAAGGCACCGGCAATCACATTATTAACCGATGGTACTTTAACAGCATTTCAAGACAATGTGAACGTTTTGTATACAAAGGAAGTCACGGTAACGAGAACAACTTTCTGGTTCGAGATCAATGTGAAGCAACGTGCCCATCGTTCGCGAACCCATGCCCGACTGGAGAGCCACTAATGGATTCGAATCAGATTCGGCCAAGGTTTTGCGACGTCTTTGACGAATTCAGCTGTCCTGACACGCATTTCTGTCATTTTGGGTTGACTAACAAGACTCAAGTGTGTTGTCCAGGGAAGGTGGATCCATGTTTGTTGGCACAGTCAAGAGGAGAAGGACATATTCCAGAGCCAAGATGGTATTTTGACATTAGTCAGAAACAGTGTCTCACGTTCTTGTTCAATGGCATGAAGGGCAATGGGGTAGGTATGGGTAAAATATTAGAAAAAGATTTAAGCTTAAAAACGAATTTTTAGGCTTAAAGATAAAATTTAGGCCTAAAAGTGAAATTTTGGTTTAAAAATGAAATTTTAGGCTTAAAAAAGAAATTTAGGCTTAAAAATGAAGTTTAGGCTTAAAGATGCAATTTAAGGCTTAAAAATGAATTTTAGGATTAAAAATGAAATTTAGGCTTAAACATGGAATTTTAGGCTTAAAAATGAAAGTAGGCTTAAAAATCACGTTTACGTCTAATAATGGCGTTTTTAGAACAATTTCGCTACAAAAGAAGCTTGTGAACGAAAATGTCCAGTATTCGTCGACCCATGCCCTGATTCTTTTTCATTAAACGTGAATGGAATCGAATACCATCCAAGTGTTCACTACCAAAAGTGCAGTGTATTGGCACCGAATTCATGTCCAGTCGATCAATGGTGTCATATCGGGGAAGATGCTAGTACTACGCTTTGTTGTCCTAACGGTAGGTTTTTGAATTTTTTTATTCTTATCTTACCCCTACCTTTCCCTTCACTTCTGCTTTACTTTTATCCCTACTCTTTCCGACCTTACTCTTCTCCAGTTACCCTGCCCTACAGTCGCCACCAGGGTAAATGGAATATTTCTTTCTATTTTTCTTTGCTTATTACCTTAGGGGTTTTAAAAATTTTTAAGGCTTAAACATTTTTGGTTTACAATTGTTTTTAAGGCTTAAAGGTTATTTCTGGGCTTAAAGGTTAATAATTAAAAGAGACTTTCTGAGACCGTGAAGCATCCTGTAACAGGCATGTGCACTAGAAATTTACCCCTGTTTTTATTTGCTAATTCCATGAGATAGACGGTTTTAAGGTATGTGGTAAAGTGATTTCGGAAAAAATGCCATTTTGGCACTTTTATGCCATTTTTTGTTAACATACTGTTAAAATATACCAAAAAATCAATAGTCCGCCAAATGTTCTGAAAATTTGTACACTTACGTTTTTGACCATGCCAAAAAATATTGTAATTGAAAATTTTTTTCTATTGGTACCGTAACCCACCGTAATCCGACCGGTCGATTATAAAACTGCAAATATCTAAAAAGTTAACACGGATCTTCATAGGCAATTTTTGTATATTTAGAATCTCCATGAAATTTGGATTATCATAGGCTATATTCCCGTTTCTAGTCCGATGGGTTTTGGGGGTTTTTGGTCGACTGAAAAATTACGGTAACATACTGCCTAAAAATTTAAAATTTTACTATGGCTTTGCTAATGCACTGATAAGTCTAAAAAATTGCATACTTACGTGTTTTACCATGCTGAACAACTTTGTAACATAATTTTCTTCCTGAATGTACCGTAACCCACCGTAATCTGACCGGTCGATTATGAAAGTGCAATTTTCTAAAAATTTAACACGGGTGTCCTTATCCAATTTTAGCATATTTAGAATCTACATAAAACGTAGATATTGATAGGCTATAAGCACATCTTTAAACGGCCAATTTTGAGGATAATCGGCCGGCCGGATTACGGTAGGTTACGGTACTTTTAAAAAACGATTTTTTATTACGAAGTTGTTTAGCATGGTCAAAAACATAACCATGCACAGTTTCAAAGCGTTCGATGCATTATTGGATTTTTAAAAAAAATTGTTATTTGCACGGTCTGCTACCGTAATTTTTCAGTCGACCAAAAACCCCCAAAACCCATCGGACTAGAAACGGGGGTATAGCCTATGCTGATCCAAACTTCATGGAGATTTTAAATATGCAAAAATTGCCTGTGAAGATCCGTGTTAACTTTTTAGATATTTGCACTTTTATAATCGACCGGTCGGATTACGGTAGGTCACGGTAACAATAGAAAAAAATTTTCAATTACAATATTTTTTGGCATGGTCAAAAAGTACAAATTTTCAGAACATTTGGCGGACTATTGATTTTTTGGTATATTTTAACAGTATGTTAACAAAAAATGGCATAAAAGTGCCAAAATGGCATTTTGTCCGAAATCACTTTACCACATACCTTAAAACCGTCTATCTCATGGAATTAGCAAATAAAAACAGGGGGGTAAATTTCTAGTGCACACCTTGCTTCACGGTCTCAGAAATCGTCTTTTAAGCTTAAAATTTGTTTTTTACTTAAAATAGAATTTAAGCCTAAAATTTGATTTTTAAGCTTAAAATTTAATGTTCGTATCTAAACTTCTATTTTTAAGCTCTAAATTCTATTTTTAAGTCTAAAAGTTTATTTTTAAAATTAAAATTCTATTTTTAAGCCTAAGGTTTTATTTTTAAGCGTAATGTTCGTTTTTAATCCTAAAATTCTATTTCAAAGTCTAAGTTTGATTTTTAAGCCTAAAATTCATTTTTAAGCCTAAAATTTTATTTTTAAGCCAAAATTTTATTTTTAAGTTTTAATTTGAATTTAGATCTAAAATTTCATTTTTAAACCTAAACTTCTATTTTTAGGCCTAAATTTGATGTTTCGCCAATAAATTTTGTCTAAAAAATCAAAAAAATTCTTAAAATACACATACTGTTATATATTCTCTTAAAATTATATTTAAATTTCTATTCAATTTACACTACATGTAAAATGTCACTGCCATCACCATCGTCATCATAGTCTTCGTCATCCCAATATCCACCGTATTCTCGGGGTATCTGAGGTCGAGTATCAAACTGAGGATGTGATCGTTTACTTCCAAGTTGTTTTATCATGTCATAAGAGGTATACCTTGAGCTATAGGTAGGACAGTAAAGTTGATCTTGAAAGTTACCACGTAACCACAAAGATACTGCCATTTTCTGACCTTTCTCTATTGGACAGCCGGCATGAAGGCTGTTATATTCTCTGTCATCGTTTGAGTCGGCGTTGAACCATAGTAGGAGATCGCCTGGAGTGAAGGGAGTTGAAAATTAGAAATTTTTGAAAATTTTGAAATTTCGAAAGTTTTTAAAAATTTCAATTTATTTTTTTTTAGTTTTTATTTTTTTGATTTTTTAATCATCATGAAGGAGCTAACCGTATTTTACTTACCAGCCCCAGGCTGAACGACCAATTCCAAGTTAGGGAACACCGTTCCACCCCCAACCTCAGCCGGTTGCACGATAAGCAAAGCTGTGGCCATTCGATTGCCAAAATACTCAAACCAACCGTTATCGTAATCTATGGTCATCGGGAATAAGTGGTCGTAATGCGGAGCGTAATGACCATTTTTGTCGTATTTTAGAATCTGAACACGGGGTTTAGAAGGTGGAGTAGGGTGGGGTAGGGTAAAGTTAGGGGTACAGTAGGGGTAGGGCAGAGTAGTGTATTGTAGAGAGGGTTAAAATAGCAGCCTACCCCTACCCCTACCTCAAGCCCTTAAATCTACTCTTGAGTTTAAACCTACCTTACCCTACTCTACTATACTCCTACCCGTTCTTTTACGCTTGGTATACCTTACCTATCCTAGCCTCCCCTAACGGAACCCCTACTTCTACTTCTATTACCTCGTCCTGAATCCTACCTCTAAAAGTTAAAAAACCTACCTTGTCTGCTCTAATCCTCTTTATTCTATTTACCTTATCACAATCTAGGATGACTTAACTATAGCAACCTCAGGTTTTTAGTCTTTGCAATTTCCTACGGTACATTTCTGGTATTCTACAGTATTTCTACCCTTTTCTTGCGATAGTCTTACTTCTGCCTTACACTTTTATATTTTTAAAAGTATAATGGCTTACAGCCAGTCGAAACAACTCCGTATTTTACCAAAAAACCTACCAAAAAGTTCTCAGCAATCGCTGGATTTAATCGTAAATTTTGTTGAATTTTGTGAAACAAGGGTAGGATGCATTCTTCATGTGGTTCTAACCATAGTCCATCAGCTACTCGGCCTCGGTGATTCATAGCGGACTCTGCTCCTTCTACTACTTGTTCCTCCACTTCACTGAAAGTTTAGGTATTAGGGTAAAATTGAATAACACTGGGCATGGTGGATGAAACTGGCCAAATATTGGTGATTTTTGACATTTGACCAGTATCATTTCCTATGACGAGTTTATATGATATGATGCTTAATTTTTGTAATATGATGCTTAATCATAATGTACTCTGACTTCCGGAACTTGTTCTGAATTTCTTTTAACATTGTCTTATTGCCAAACTTGTGGAATCTGATTAGAACTGGTTGAATCGATAGGTATTCAACATCTAGTAAAGTAAAGTGTTGAGATATGACTGTTTCACAGTGAAGTTCTGGGTTTTCGAATGGAATTCTGGGGTTTGTACATAAGATTAGGTCGGACTTTGTCCATGTATTCTTTATGTCCTGAAGTTGGTAATACAATTTTGAAATAATTGCCAAGTAAAAATGCTCAGTTATACGAAAGTGCTTTGGTATAACTAAACGTTGCTCCAGTAAACGATTTGCAACACGTATTTTACAAAATTCTTACCAAATTTTCCAGCAGATGATCAATACGATTGCCAATAACAATATGAATCAAAAAATGTTGTAGTAGAGTCCAGTGTAGCTTCCAATACATCTAAAAAACCAAAGAAAACTTAGGTTCAGTAAGCGTTAAATTCGAAACGGATAAATTATGCAGGACAAGTTCAGCGCAAGAAAGTAATAGCAAATGTTTACCTTTTGCGGAGACTTTTTCCACCTTTTCTGGAGTACTGGTTCCAGGTCAAAAAGTGCGAAGAAATGTTTTGGACCTTGAGGTTTTTTGCTGTTTTTTTTGGGGGGGGGGGTTAAATTGTTTTATCTTTAGTCTTGTTTTAGTTGAGGGGGGGGGGATGGGTACAGGTTTGAATTTATAAAACTAAAAAAATTTAAATTTGAAACCTTGTTATGTCGTATTTTACCTCCATCTCAATTTTCTCTACATTGCCTTACTCCATCTTACACTATTCTACTTTGCTCTACCGTTTCTTAATCTACATACACTACCCTAGCTTTCTGTACCCTTTCTTACTCCGTCTTACTCTACCCAGTGTTTTGCCGGACCCGTCCGGTCCAGACCGAAAATTTATAATTTAACTTTTTTTTCGGTCCGGTCCGGAAAAAAATTTTTTTTTTATTTTAATAAAACTGTTTTAAAAATTGCAAATAGGACCGGACCTGAACTTTTTGGTCCGGACCGGACCGGACCTGAGCGAAAAAAAAATAGAGCCGGACCGGACCAAAAATTTTTTCGGACCGGACCGGACCGAAAAAATTCTCATCCGGACCGGTCCGGCAAAACACTGACTCTACCTGCCCTGACTTGCCCTTTCCTTCTCTGTGCTTCTTTGCCTTGCCCTGTCTTGCCCTGCTTCACATTGCCTTGCCTTGCTTTGCCTTACGCTGTCTTGCCCTGCCTTCTATGTTGTAGCCTTCCTTATCCTGCCTTGCTTTTCCCTGCCCTTCTCTGCTCTAACTTGCTCTGCCCTGCTGAATTCTACGTTACTATATCGTACCTTGCCCTTCTATACTCTCTTTTCTACATTTCCTACGATGGTTTAACGTATAATTTTAAGCCTAATATTAGAAATTGATTTTTTGGAACCAATTTTTATAAAAGTATTTTTTTTTAAATTTGAAATTTCACCTTCAATTTTTTAGCCGGTGATCCATGTTCATACGCACCGCGAGTTGCTGGTGTTGGAACGGCACGTTTGGAACGATGGACATACAATTCGTTCGCTGGTCGATGCGACTTGTTTATTTATCACGGTCAGAAAGGCAACCAAAACAATTTTATGAGCCAGGAGGAGTGCGCCGAGAAGTGCATTGGTAAGGTGCTATATAAAGGATTTACGGCTATCTAGGGAATTTATAGGTGGAGGGGTATTTCTAAAGGGGACGTTGATTGTTTATGCTTAGATTTGTAAGCTTTAGGCTTATTTTTTTGTCATTGAGTTTAGGTAATGAGCCTACTAAGTCTAAGCCTACTAAGCCTAAGCCTACTAAGTCTAAGCCTACTAAGCCTAAACCTACTAAGCCTAAGCTTACTAAGCCTAAGCCTACTGAGCCTAAGCCAACTAAGCCTAAGCCAACTAAGCCTAAGTCAACTAAGCCTAAGCCAACTAAGCCTAAGTCTACTTAGCCTAAGCTTACTAAGTCTAAGCCAACTAGGCCTAGGCCAACTAAGCCTAAGCCTATTAAGCCTAAGCCTACTAAGTTTAGGTTTACTAAGCTTAAACCTATTAAGCCTAAGCTTACTAAGCCTAAGCCTACTAAGCCTAAGCTTACTAAGCCTAAGGCTACTAAGTCTAAGCCTACTAAGCCTAAGCCTACTAAGCCTAAGTCTACTAAGACTAAGCGTACTATAAATATTGTTTCCAGGTCGAGACACCGTAATCGCAGCGCCAACCATGGATCCGCCGAAATTCGAAAACCCATGTAGTACCGGATTTCCGCTAGTATCGGCACAAAATGAGATTTTACAGTGTATGGAGTCAAGACCCTGTCCTCGAGGCTACTATTGCCATATTGGTGGCAACGACATTACTACTGTTTGCTGTCCTGCTATTGGTGTGTTAGACTAACACATAGTGTGATATTGATTAATCTTGTGGCTTTTTGTTAACATTATTATTGGTTTTTTTGGTTTTGCTTTGGTGTGATATTGTAGTAGGGGCTTAGTGAAATCTTGTTGGTACTAGTGGTACCAAAAACTATATTTTTTTGGGATGGTACTACTGGTACTAAAAAATTAAATTTTTTAGTTTTGGTACTACTAGTACTGAAAAAATTAAAAAAATTTTTAAATTTGAAATTTTTTTGAAAAGTTTAATTTTATAACTCTTAACCTCATTTCAGGATCAGATCCATGTGGACAACCTCTTGATTCCGGTACCGGAGGCATGAGGCTGCAGCGATGGTACTGGAACGCTCAAGCCGGTTGTTGTCAGATGTTCAACTATTGTGGACTGAGAGGAACTCAAAACAACTTTTTGAGCCGTGAAGATTGTGAACAGACCTGTATGGGTAAGTTAACACCATTTTTTAGATTTTGGGTTGTATTAGAAATGGCATTTTTTGAAGAAAAAATGACAGTTTTTTGGATTTCACAGGGGATTTTTTTGCCATTTTTTGGATTTTTAAAATGATTTTTAAAGGTTTTTTAATTTTAAAATGATTTTTTAAAGATTTTATGAAATTTTATATATTGATTTTGGTCAAAAAGTTTGAGGAAAAGCTCATTAAACTTAAAAAAGACAGTTTTTTGGACTGTTTTTGCTTATTTTTCGACTAAAAAATGAAGAAAATTTCACTTTTTCAAGTTTTTTTTGTTTTTTGAAGTGATTTTTCAATATTATGTGTGTCTTAACTTACTAACGTCTTCTTGACAGTGTGTCTAACATGGACAAAATTTAAAAAATTTTTAAAAAATTGAAAGAGACTGGCTAATAATGGCAATATAAAGGTATCTGTGCAGTTATTCACGGTGGTATAGGGTCATTTATTACATTGAACCAAAAGTATCGGGATAATTTTCATTTATTTTTCAACTAAAAAGTGTCCCACTACTTTTGGTTTGACCTAATAAGATAACAATGGGTTAAATTGGCTATAGGGTTCGGTATAAAATAACAATATGGTTAATGGTCGGTAAAATTAATAAGGTGGTAGAGGGTTTTATATGTCACAAGGTGGTAAATGTTGTAAATGTAATGGGTTTTTTAATCGTAATGCGAGCTTATGCTGCTCAATAATACGAACTGACAATAATAAGGGTATTGAGGTCGACATAACAATGGGAGTGATAGTAGGAGGTTTTACAGAGGTTTTGAGAGGTTTTTTATCAGTGACGTCGCTTGAAGTTTTGAAAGGTTGTAATGGTTATTTACAAAATTTTTTTTGAAAAAAATTTGAAAAATTAAAAAAAAATTTTGAAATTTTTGAAATTTTTTGAAATTTTTACCAAACATTCGAAAACCTCAAAATTTAGAATACGACTCCCCATGTGCCGGGGGTCAACCGGAAATGCTGTCCCCAAATCGACCGAAGCAATGTGGTCTATTCAATTCCTGTTCCCCAAATTATTGGTGTCATATGGGTGCGAAACCCCAAACCACTGTATGCTGCCCCAATCGGGTACCCCCCGCACAGGTATGCCGCTTGCCGATGGTTTGTGGGCGCGGTAATGCGAATCTACAACGCTGGTACTACGATGTGAATAGGGGATGCTGTGTTATGTTCGTTTATAACGGAAAGTACGGGAATCAGAACAATTTTCTGACACTGCAGGATTGTCAGAAGGCGTGTGTTGGTAAGGAGGGGCGTAGGAATTGAAAAAATATGGCATGAAGATTAAAAAAATGTGGGTGGCTTAGGGGGAGAATTGGTCTAATATTATGTTAGGCTTGGATTTTAGGGTAAAAATAAGAAAAGTCTGAAGTAGTCGAGCTATAAAAATTTAAAATTTAGCCCAAAAACCATATTAACATTGGAATTCGTCTCAATGAGGACAAGCTACAGAAAAAAAATAAAAAATTATTTTTTTGAGGTTAGGTAATACCAATTGGACGTGATAACATGCACAGAAACCTAAAAAACACTTTCAAACCCTCAAAAAATTGGTCTAAAATACGATTTTGACAATTTTTAAACCTACACACTTTAAAAAGAATAAAAAGTTAACAAAAGCCCCACACCAATACGAATAACTCACACTAAACCCAACTAACACAACTAAACAATTCCAGACCAAACTAACAAAAACCAACTCCAAATAATAACCCCTCTACCACAAATAACCACTCCAAACTCACTAATATCTACCACGCCAATCCCGTGGAAAAACCACTGCCCCCAAGGCGAACCCTTGCTCGAGAAGCTGGTCACACAAAATGGTACTACCTTAGCCATACGACCAATAAAATGCACCTACGAAAACGACCGAGAAGTTTGTGGTGAAGCACATTGGTGTTTCTTGGGCGTGACGGCCGATGAAAACATGTGTTGTTCGGGGGAAAGTCGACAAGAATCGGCCTGTTCAGGAATGGCACTACTTGATAGTGGCGCTGTTTATGAAGGAGAGAAACCGGTGCTACGGTGGATGTACGATGTGAAGACGAATGAGTGTTTTGCGTTTGGATTCAAAGGCTCTAAAGGCAATCAGAACAACTTTTTGACCGAGGAAGAGTGCTTGGCCATGTGTCAAGGTGGCTTTTACTAACAATTTTTTTATTTTTGTGATTTGTATTAACTTAAAATTTGAAATATTTGGTTTTTGAGGTACTAAAGAGGCTAGAAAAACAAGTATTTTAATTTTTTTTATAAATTTGATCTTATCATAACTATAGAGGAAGGCTATAACAATTTCAAAGGAAAACAAGAGGGACCTTTTCATAACAATTGCCTTTCAGCAATCAACCCCTGCAAGCTCCCAGTCCCGCTGCCGCTAGAGCAATGCATCCCAGGCCCCAACGCCTGTGCGGCCCGCCCAAACATGTACTGTCATGTAGGCGCAGTACCTCAAACAACAGTCTGTTGCCCGGCCGAAACCCCAAATCCATGTGAACTACCACTGGACCCGGGTCTAGGCCGTGACAAGCTGGAGCGTTGGTTTTACAACGCTCAATCCGCCATCTGCCAACCCTTCACCTACAACGGTATCAAGGGCAACCAAAACAACTTTTTGTCGCAACTCGAATGCGAAGAACTTTGTGTACCAAACCCCTGTGCGGAAGGTAGACCATTCGTTGGTGCTGATGGTCGACCACAAACCTGTTCGCCAAGTGCGAGCATGAACACTTGTCCAGCTGACCATTGGTGTCATGTTGGAGCAACACCGGTTACTACAGTGTGTTGTCCGGCTGCAAGACCTAACCCATGTAACTTGCCAATGTCAACTGGCGAAGGTGATGCCTCGTTGGAGCGATGGTACTATGAGCCGGCTTCGAAAACGTGCAAACCGTTCGAGTATAGAGGGTTGAAGGGTAATCAGAACAATTATTTGTCACAGAGAGCTTGTCAGTTGGCTTGCCAACCCTTGGACAACCCTTGTATTGGCCAGCCGGCTACAACTCCTTCTGGTCAGGTGTTGTTCTGCTCGGCTACGAATAAGGACACGTGCCCAGTTAACTTTTGGTGCCATTTGGGTTCGACTCCCGAAACTACTGTTTGTTGTCCTGGAGGTAAGCTATAAATACTGTAGAGAAGACAGTGTTTTACATTTTGTATGCTTTATATTATTAAGAAAAGTATCATAACAAAAAGAAAAGATTGAAACACAGAAAAGAATTAAAAAAAAAAGAAATAGAATAAGAATAGAAATCGAATAAAAAAAAGCAAATCAAGATAAAAAACCCAATTTTAGCAACCAACCCATGCTCAGTCCCACTAGCCCCAGGCACTGGAAATAGTGGTTTGTCTAGGTGGTACTACAACACAGACGAACGTCAATGTATTCCATTCCAATATAATGGAAAACGTGGCAATCAAAACAACTTTTTGAGTCAAACTGAGTGCGAACGAACTTGTCCTGGTAAGGAAGGCTTGTTATAACATTTGGTAGTGGTATTATAGTACTGATGTAAAACAATGTAAAAAGGAGCTTTCTGGTTACAGTATAGTACTTTAAGCTTACACTTAGTCATTTTGAAGGCTGTTTAATAACTTTAAAACTATTCACTATGAAAATTAAAATCAATATAAGACAAATGCTTATGGTAAAGCATAACACTCACTTTACAGAACAACTATGTCTATTATCGATTGACAAAGGCGCTTGTTCTGGTCGACAAACACGCTTCGCTTTCAATCGACAAACGGTATGTTTCGAACATCAAATTAGAAGCTATATTAGACTACAACTAATAACAACAATTAGAAGGCTTTCATTAACCAATGATTCATGAAAAGAGGTGTTATTTAATATTAGGTTGTCCGAATATGGATGAGCCGCTCAAAGTGCCAAACTTTTACCATTTATTAGGACAATGTGATTGAATGATACAATAAAATAGCTTTAGAGAAAATGCAAGAGAAATCGTAAAACACTGCTTTCAGAGTCAATGTGTTCCGTTTGAATACACCGGCTGCGGTGGCAACTTGAACAACTTTTTGACGATGGAAGACTGTGTGGCTACGTGCGGCAATGTTGGCTTTTAAATCTAACATTTCTACTGAGTTTTAAAAGTTCAAAGCTATGAAATGCTGACAATTTTTTTGTGATTTGTCAATTGTTCGCGACTACAACAACAACGTACTCGTAACGTACTGTAACTTTAGCTTTGTTTGCTATAGATATAGTAACGTAGCTGATCTTTTACAACCGCACACAGTGACATTAGTCGGCCTTTTTACAACAACATACATGGGGATCTCAAACATATTGATGTAAATCTGTATACACAAACGTCTATACCTGTTGATATAATTTTAGTTACGCGCTTTCAGCTAATAATAAATATATTTTATAAACTGGTTCAAGAGTATAGTGGGGGGGAGGGGAGAGAAAGTTCTTGTCAGATTAGGCTTGCAATTAGACTTTAAAGGGACTTACTAGGCCTGCCTTGAGGCTAGGCCAAAGCCAATTTGAAATGAGCCGGGCCGGATCGTGCGGGCTTGAGGTCAGGAGCTCAAACCAGAGCCCGTAACGGATTAGGTCTAGGCAGGGGCGTTAATGCATGGTTTTTGGCAGTGCGAAAGAAGAGAAAGGCGGTCATTTTTTGGAATTCGACAAGAGATACTACGGTAGAATTTTTTTGATAAAAATTAGGGCATTAGCCATCTATAAAGTTGCTAGGCCGGCATATATTGTCCCAGTGCCGGGGCTGAAATTAATTCTATGCTTTTTACAAGCCTAATTCAAACCGTTAATGTTTTAGAAGTTTTTTAATTCTGTTGCGTCAAAACGCTACAGCATGCAAAACTACGTAGATAATGATTAATTGCTAAAAATAGGCTGGACTAATTAAAAATTAATTGATGTTTCAAAGCGGATTTTTGTTGCTTTATAAGAGTTAAACGGCCGAAACTTTACAAGCTTTGCCGGGCGGAGCGATTTTGGACTAACAAATTGTAAGGGGAGGAGGGGGGGGGGCACCCTTATGACCCTACCGTACCCTTAGCTCTGCTTTGGCTATTTCTACCTTTATCGGTACCTCAAACTATATGTAGGTTATATAAAAAAAAGTTTACTGAGGTAATCAATATCAATGTTTTCTCTTAACTATTTTTTGTAAGTCGCAAGTAATGATTACAAGTCAAAATTTGTCAAACCAAGAATATCCAAATATTCAATATGCGAAAAGAATATGACGAAAGCTAAATTATTATTTATTACAATGACGCATGTTTTTCCTTATCAGACTTCCGCTAAATTTTTGACTTTTGTTGAACTTGTTTTGATTATATTGTCGTATTATGTATGGACATAATTAGAGAGGACGTGGTTTACATAGACATAATTAAAAATGGCATGGTTTTATAGACGTAATTAAAAAACTCATGTATCTTGTAGACACAATTTAAAACCAAGGGTAATATAAAAATACAAGGATATCCAGAAAATTTTGGTTTAAATATGTTTACTGTCTGTGTTCTTCGTCATAAAGTAAAGTGGGGCCCGGAATGACATATCTTGTGGTTTGGACTAGACTTGAAAAGAGGTCCACTAGGCTCGATGCGGTGCTTAAGCAACTTTGAAAGGCGACGGGCTTGTGTGACCTGTGTTCCGCAGCTTATACCAAGGTTTTAAGGGGCATCTTAGGTCCCGAAATGAAAGATTTGACTCGCGAAAATTGTAAAACGAAGTTGATGGATAGGACTGGAAAGTTCGGCGTTTTGACAGGTTTATTAAGGACGTAAGGACAGAATGAAGCTACAGTAGTGAGTTTAAAACCCGTGTATCTTAAGGTAGGCTTGAGTGGGAAGCTACTGTATATGATGATTCTATTGGTGATAGATTATAAGTTGATTTAATTGGTAATAGGTTATCGTTTATTAATAGAGCGCTATTTCTGGTACATAGATGATGTTACTTCACTTTTACACCAAACCAATTCTATAGAATTTAAATATTTGCCACGATAAACACAATAATGACGAATTTGGTTTGCTTTAAAACATTCTACCCGACTATGAATTTTTTTTTGCAAATGCCGTTTACGCATTCTAGAAGTCTTTTTTCAAATTTTTACACAATTTTTTTGAAGGGAAGTGAGGGTGTAATAAACAAGGCGAAATCATGTTTCGTGACTTGAAAGATGATGACATACTAATTTCATCGTACTCATTGAGCCGTCATCTTTTTGCGCTTTTGCTTTCGTATGTATAGGAGGGAGGGGGGGGAAGTGCACACTCATATACGGTATTTATAAGCTCTATTTGTAAGAGCTTGTAAGTACAGTATATGAGTGTGCACTTTTCTTTTTTGTACGTGTGTAAGGTTTGAGTAGATGTCATAGTGGGGGGGGCGGTAATATACATTATGTAATAGAAGGGGGGGGAGGGGGTAATATCCATAGAGTTTGTGTGAATCAAAAGTGAGGTATAAAGTCTCAGATAATAGAAAAGAACAATTATTGTTCGAGCCAATTCTAATAGGTGGGTCTATGATCAAGGAAGTGTGGTAGACAGTGTAATTAAAGACCGGAAAGAAAGAGGGTGTGGTGTTAAGCGTGAGTACTGTAGTTTCTGCGTCATAATTTTGATTGATATAAGGATATAAAGGTAGTTTGGAAGAAGAAGTTTCATAGCTTTTTACTTTGGTACTGCACGTACTATAAATATACTGAAGGCATCGAATTTCGACCCTCGCCATCTAGGATTGTTGTTGACAGAGCTGTTGATTTTGGCAAGGAAAGAGGAAGGTGGTATTAGACCAGAAAGGGGACTCACTAGGTTCGGCTTTGGTTCAAAATGCTTCGAGCTAAAACAAGGGTCTGGGGTGCACCGACAAGAGCTCAAAGGGCCAAAACCAACGTCCCAGAGGCTTAGTTTTGGTCTCGAAACGACAGGTTTGACTTGTTTGAATCTGGCAGGCCGAAGCGATTTTGAAAGGGCTGTGCCGAAAAGTTTGTCTTAGCCCGTTTTTGGTCTAGGTAGTATAATATTGTTTTTTAAATTGATTTAGCTGGCTAACAATTTTTTTTTCAAAAATTTTTTTGAAAAGAATTTTTTGTTTGCTCTATCTCACTTGTAGGTATGCTAATAGCCGTACTCTCGAATAAAAATAGCTTTCTCAAGCTAATCGTACTACGAAGCGGAGTCTAATTATTCAAATTATTCATGTCAATATACAGTCGGTACGACGCATAACATGCGTCTTATGACGACAAGTACACGAATTCAAATTAATCGAATTAATTTGTCAATTCATTTCATGACAATGCTGTTTTTTAATGACATTACGGTTTTTTGATGATACTCGTGGTTTTTGGTGACAGTGGTACTAGTTGGTACTCAATTATTTGATATATTTTTGATATTCAACCATGGGATATAGTGTACATGTTGTCTTGAATAACTAATTACCTGGTGGTTAGAATAACAATGGAATTGGTATATATAGGTATATAAGGAAGATCTCTATCTGTAATATGACAAGGAATGTGTACAAAATCTTGTGGGCTTAATATATATTTTGTTATACGTACAGTAGGCAAAAGTATTAGGCTCCGGACTGAACGATATATCGATACTAATGTTGATGAATGTTTCTTGCTAGGTTTAGGGTATAGTATGATATATGGCTGGAAGGTGATATATATCTTGTAATTAGATTCCGAAATGGATTACTCTTGTTTTATTGGTCGATTTTTCTGTCGTAGCTCATTAAATTTTGAAAAATGTTTTTTGTTTTACAATTTTTTTTCGAAAACACTAATTCATTCTGCAAATTTGTGCCATTTCGTACAGTATGTAATCATAAAATTACTGTGTATGGCTTTAAAGTTATAAAGCAAGCTTTAAAAATGAGAGAGCAGGTCTTAAAAATTATAGGACAGGGCTTGAAGTTATAAAACAAGGCTTGAAAATTACAAGTCAAGCTTTGAAAATTATAGGACAAGCCTTGAAAATTGTAGGACAAGCCTTGAAAATTATAAATCAAGCCTTGAAAATTATAGGACTAGCCTTGAAAATGATAGAGCAAACCTTAAAAGTTACAGTATTACCTTCAGAACTTAAATTCAAGCTTAAGACACTAGTTATGACGAAGAACGATAATACTATATGGTAATCAAATTACACTTTGTTTTTCTAAAAATGTAGTCATAACTTTGTTTTTTCTCAATCAAATTTAAAAAGTGTTTACGTTTAAAAAGGGCTATAGTCAGAGTGCTGGATTGTCAATTGTAGGCGTGTGGAATTGCATGTTATGGCAAAAGAAATACTTAGAAAATGGAAATGCCCTTACGTTTTCGGGTATATATGCTTTGTCTTTGGGAGTTCGGATGGAAGCTGAGGATTGATGTTGGGTGGTCTTTTGTAGTGTTATGTATTCTTCTGTATTAGTTTATTCTTGTAGGTGGGAGTGGTTTTTGTCAATGAAAAGAGGCGGTCAAATTTTTTGCAAAAATTTTTTCTTAAGCACAATTGACAAATCATTTTTGAGTAAATAGCTTTAAAACCAGGTTCGTTTCAGGCTATTGGCAAGTCAAATCTTTCGTTGCGGGACCTAAGCTGGGCTTTTGCGGCCTTGGATTGGGCCTTCGGCACATGCTGCCATGACCTTTGAAAATTTGCCTTAGCTGGGGTAGGCTGAAGCCGGGCTGAGCCTAGTGCTCCCCTCTCACCTTTTAGGGTTAGGTGTTTTTCTGACGTAAATTGGCTTGACTGTTCTTTGCAAGGTATCTTTAGTAGAACATTTCTTACTGTATTGTTTGCGGATATAAAATTGTCGTTCTTCAGAGTACACAGTGTAAAATTGAGTTTGTAGTGTTGCACGAAATCTAGGTACAAATTGATATTACGTACTCATAGATGGTATGCCTACAGTAAAGCCTCTTTTTAACAAATTGCTTGGGGATTTTAGGTTTTTTGAATGAATTTTGTTATACAGGAGTTCTACAGTATATAACAGCAATTTTTGATGTTCAAACTTCTACGTTTTGTAGGCCGCTACATTTTTTGTATTGAAAATGTAGGTATAGGTACCAGAATAA